CCACCGAGGGGCTTTTAGTGGGCAAGAACCCCAAATAACCCTGTCATGTAAGGTGACAGGGTATCTTTTGAAGATTTCCCCCGATACCAAAATAAGGTCCGTCCTGGTAAGTACCACGACGACCTCACAGAAGACCGGCGTGAAGTGGAAGTGTTTTACTTCTGCGTTCCGTCTGGTGATTTAGGTGACCGGATCCTACTTTATTAAAAAGTGGCAACGCATCTGTTGTTGGAAATGTCCATGGATGGGTTATAACTTAAAATCATGTAAGCCGCCAGCTGGTTTGCTAATTTTGAACATGAAAAAAATTGATTTATATTTTGTGCCGACTCAATCTAGATATGATAATGGCAGAAGGATGATGATGTGTTACTATTATGCAACTCTTACACCCTGATAAACTATTGTGGCTGCCAATGGTGACTTTGAGAGAAAGACTGTTAGTACATTTGCTATGCTGTCAAATAATTAGCTGACATTTTATTGAGTCTCCTAGCAACAGTCTTCAGTGGTCCTAAGAGTTTAACCTGATGTTAATTAACTACAGCACGCCGATATTTTGTGAGGCCGTGGTACTTACTGCGAGCCTACCCATCCCTTCAACAACCGATGCATGGCCCTAACAGCTTAGCCAATGCGCTCAAGCGAATAGCTTAGCAACTGCACCCGGCATAATTAAAGATTACTCTACATTTTAATTTGTATAGTGCCAATCCCTGCACAATAATTAAATATTAAAATTTTAAAAAAGGATGAAAAGTTTTCGCACCTTCGCCGCTGCAATCGATTCAACGTCTTCCGGATCCGCGCCCAGACGCATTAACTACTAAGCTAAACGGCTGATGGCGATGCAAAATAAGAGACGTTGAGATTTTCTTCGGTGTGACGATCACCAACTCTACATTTATTTTTAATTTGTACTTTTCAGTGAAGAATAAATATATTTAGATTTTTAAGTAAACAAAATAAACAATAATTTACAACGAGCTAATATCATACGTTTTGAACCTTTTAACTTGGCATGTTTTCCTAAAATATTATGTACGCCTATTTAAAATATACGTGATTATTACCTAATGTACATAAAATAAACACAAATAGTAAAAAGTCAAGTACTAAAAAAAGTACTGATTTCTTGATTTTTTCTCATTATCCACGCAGCAGTCTCGGCTGTTGCACAATTGGGCAGGCTCGTCCGGGTAGTACCACGACCTCACAGAAGGCCAGCGTGAAGTATGACAAATACTTTCGCGTTTCGTCTGGTGAGTGAGGTAGCCGGAGCCCAATTTCCAAAACGGTTGTCAACGCATCTGCAAACCGGGTCAACCCATCGTGTGTAGCATATGTCTATGGGCGGCCGTATTCACTTAACATCAGGTGAACCGTCTGCTCGTTTGGCAACTTTGCACATAAAAAAAAATAAAAAAAAATCTTGATTTCGAATATTATACATATAAAATGAAATCAGTTTACGGATTTTATTTTTACTCGATTTAGTTTAGGTGCACTTATGAACGCGGGTAAGAATTATACTTAGATTTTATGACCTCTATCAACCCTGTAAGGACTTAACTGAGTCATAAAAAGAGTAATATTCAAAGGGATGTTGTTGAGAAACAAAAAAAAAAGTAATTTTTTTTATTAATGGAAAACAAAACCGACTTCAAATATCTTGCTCTGTATTCATTTTATAATTGATTTTCAGGAGTTCCGTAGCTCCGGAACAGGAGTTCCGTATCTCCGGAGTTCCGTTTTCAGGAGTTCCGTATCTCCGTAGCTCCGTATCTCCGGAGCCCAAGATCCAATACCAATGAAATTAATATGCGACCACATGGGAAGCACCAGCTTTCAAATAAAAAAAATAATTATCAAAATCGGTTCACTCTGTTGAAAGTTCTGAGTTAACAAACACAAAAAAAAAATACATTCGAATTTAGAACCTCGTCCTTTTTTGACGTCGGTTAAAAATTGCAAATTATTAAGATGTAAATATTGGAATGTTTAATGACTCCGTGGCACAGATGCCAAGGTATTGGTTCGTGCGTTCGATCCCCACACGGGACAACTATTTGTGTGACCACAGATACAGATAGTTCTTTCGCATCTGGGTGTTTGTCCGCGTGAAATTTATGTTTGTAAAACCTCCTTGCAACACAGGATAATGTTATCCTAAAGTGAGGAGAAATTTTTTTCTAATATAATATAAAAAATGTATTTTTGTATTTCAGATGGACTGTTCATCGACCCTTGTGGGCCGGTCTGCTAGGCAACCGACGCAGTAACATAAACACTCCGCCCAAAACTGAGGCGGGTGCGTTGACCCCACCGTTTATGAACAGAAAGAGTACGAATGTCCATCTGGCTGCAAGGAGATAACTAGAGTATTCGTAAAAAAGCACAACTTTGCATCCCAACGATTATGGTTCCTACGTACAAACAGAACGAGCTCTTTTTGACATGAAAAGATAACTCAACTCAAATTTACTTACGTTGCTCTATTTAATACTTTTTTAGTTATATATAAAAGAGAATGTATGTGTGTATGTGTGTTCACCTAAAACTCGAGAACCGTTAGCCCAATTGACGTGAAACTCGGAACCTGACCACTTCGACGAATATTCGAGGTTCAGGCTAGGCGCCTCGAGCGCCCGGCCACTTCAAGTCCGGTGAAACTATAAAGGCCCCTAAGGCCAACAGTGGCTCATCAAACCCAAAAAAAAAAGAGATAAGAGACAAAGATCTAGCTTAAGGGTTTAGACTTGTAACAAATTCCAATAAACGTCACAGGCTAACAAGTGTCTATCACTTACACATTTTGAACCGGTCCAGATTATGGATATGGGTTATTCCTTTAATATCAACTTCACTACGGTTACACTGGTAACTGATAGATGACATTAGTGACGTTAAAAATTAAAAAAAAGTGTTTTATTTATTTATTTAAAATGGTAGATGGTAAACTGGTTCTAGGTGAAGGGAAGCGCACCGGGCACCAGCTAGTTTATTTATAAATCAATTCATATAATGTGAACGAAGCATTTTCAACTATTCATCAATTATATCATTACTTCACAAAAATTGTGCGAAATGGGGAGCAGACTACGTAAACAGAGCAAACGTACACATAGAGAGTCATAGAAACGAGAGTATTTCCGCTAAAAAATCCAAATTGAGTACGTCAGAACTAATACTGGCACGCTGGCCTTCACTCTGGCCGCTGAAAATCAATGGCAGAATGCCAAGCGGCTTAAATTTAAAATCTTCTCTTATTACTAGATATGCCATGACTGGTGAAGAAATAAAAAGCATCTGTTTATGGTTTATTGTAACTCTTCACAAAAAAATTATAAATAAATATTTTTAATATTAAATTTTACAACATTTCAATCAAAAAATAATGTAATCAAATAGAAGATCAATTTCTATCATGTACGGAAGGACAAATGTCGATTAAAAATATTATTCGCGAAAAAACAAAGAATCTTACAAATTAAAAGCTTATAATTTTAGAGTTCCTTGAAGGAAAGAATTAACGAAATACTTTTTTAAGATTTTTTTTAGAAAAAGTATCCATGCGGAATTTGAATTTCATTTTTTTTTCTATGCATGCCATAATATTCATAAGCATAAAAACGATACTGAGATTTATATTATCAGTCATTAAAAATTACTCAAATAAAAATGCATAAAGATACATAGCAATGTACACAAGATTAACCAAAGAGAAAATGGAGGAGATACCAAAATCATACCGACAATTCACTTTCAATCAAAACCACTTTATTGCACAAACGATGTTTTCTTCACTTTCAAACAAGTTTACTAGAAAATACATATAAAATAATGTACTGTTTTCAGTGCTTTATGAAATCAATATTGTCTACATAGTGGGATCTGTTCTTTATCGCCCCAGATATCACCCATAGTAATTGTAAAGAAATTAGTGTTGTGCTGCTTTTTATATCTACCCATCCGCCATTTCCCCGCCTTTTTAACCTCTGCAAGTATGAGATATAAAAAGCGTACAATGTGGCATACACAAGGCAATTAATAGCGCAAAATAATAAAAAACATCGTTCTTAAAACTGTGTATATGTGTTAATATCATCTATATGTCTATAACGTAGGCACCACTCCACCTACACAAATAACAAATTCATTTTCAAAAAACTTTGTATACAGACTGATTAATAGCAATTGATTTATAACTAGAGAAATGCTGTACCTTAATAAATAATTGTAAGTATCAAAAAACGTAACTAAAGTACTTTACGATAAATATTTTCAAGGAATAAAATAGCATAAAAGAAAAAATATAAGACACGTACACGTACACATACAATACGTATAAGACACATCTTAAAATTGATGGCATACACTCGTTTATGTGGGTTGGAATGTAAGGTTGTCATGTTGTCAACTATATACACGCACGTTTAATACGTGATACTACTTGTGATTATACTTGAGTTTATCTTATATCGAGACTTGTAAAATAAATCGCGCAAGTACACATTGTGTGTACTCATGCTTATTAAACTGGTCTCATAACACGTTATCACTTAAGAAATTGGACAGAATACTAAATTTTCTACTATGGACGCCAAACATTTTAGAACATTGTTGTCAATAAATATGTAAAACTTAATATAAAAGTAATACTAAAAATGTCTAAAATAGTGCACAGTTAAAAAAAAGTGTGTGCGTGTAACCTTTACGCGCGATTGAAGTAAAACTTCTTTGGCGTTGACGGCATATATCACTGAAATGATTAAATATTTAGTAACGTCATAAGTATGTGTCATATTTTTAAAATATGATCTGACTTCCGTCAGAAAAAGCGTTACTTCCGTCAGAAAAAATCTGAGTTACTCCCTAATCGCACCTAAAGAAGTTTTACCTTAAAAAAAAGTAATAGGAGCACTAAATTTCATAAAATATAATGCTCTCATGGTCATCAGTTTTGATTTTGGTATATAAAGATCTTTTAAAAAAGTTACCTTGTTTACAAGAATCCGATGTTAGTCCTTCAGAGTGCACTAATTTATATCACACTGTGTATCCGAACGCACAATTTTAAATTTCGAACCGACTCGCGTCGTTACGTCGTTCCCGCTAAAAAAGAAAAAAACAATGACAGAATGGCGGCAAAAATGGCGATATTCAATCACAAGTATGTTCCAATTGGATTGTTTGCGTTGTTTAGAGTTAATTTTGTTTGCCGCCGCGGGTTACGACAGGCGGACCGCGCGGAGTGGACGTCGAGACTGAGTTTCAGTGGGCGGAACGCCGCCCTGCCCGCGAACAGCAAACGCGTCATCGCCGATGAAATATTTAAGCTCGGCCTAATTTTTCTAATAACATAAACCCGGCTCAGTGTGCACGTATCAATTTTCCTAGCCTGCGTCGCGATAGGAACTCGAGATTATGGTACTAAGTAAATGTTAATTTTTACACAAGAACATGTGTATGATTTGACATATTTTCTGTTACATGCTGGTTATGTTTTTTTAATTTTACACGTTTATAGTCCGGGTTTAAATTCATATAAGGGCGTAATATAATTGTGTCGATATCTGTCAAAAACAACAAACGTTTGTAACTCATATTTATAAAATTAATCACGATTAAATGGGTAAATAAATTTTTTTAGTGACTGGGGACGCAACTGGCAATGGTGAGTATTAATCGTATTTGAATTATTAATGTTCATAAATCGACGGTTTCTTTTTTTTATGTGAAAAGATTGACATCTGCTACACCCGAAGGTTGCAGATGACAACCCTTTGAAAATTGGGCTCCGGCCACCTCACTCACCAGACGAAACGCAAAAGTATTATACTTCCACTTTACGCCAGTCTTCTGTGAGGTCGTGGTACTTACCCGGACGAGCCTGCCCATTCGTGCAACAGCCGAGGGTGCTGCGTGGCCCTACCACCCTTCTTTTTTATTTATTTAATTAAACGGTCAGCTAGTATATTCATCTTAAAACTAAGTTAAATATCATCTTGGCAGCATCCAACATTCGATAGATCGACTGCTTCAAGTTTCATTCGCGAACGGAATATTTTTTTCATAAAGCACATGCCATTATATCATCTCTATCTCAACCAAGTGAAGTTATATGAAAAAATTTTTATAATAAAGACTTGTCGCGATAGCTCATTGTACGGTCGCTCAATTTTTATTCATTATACTCGAGCAGGCTGAGCTAAATTATCGGTGTGGGCTCCAACGAAATTGTTAATTTTAAGTGCTGACATATCACGGGCTCAGGGTGAAGGTAATTATGAAAAAATGAAAAAAAAATATGCAGGACGAAACATCGTGAGGAAACTTACATATTAAACCTGAAATCTGGAACCTGTAACTTGGAAACCTGCAGGTGAACCGCCCGCTCGCTTGACAATCCTTACCTATATCAAAAAACGCGAATGTGTGTATGTATGGATGGATGTTTGTTACTCTTTCACGGAAATTCTGAATGGATTTTAATGAAACTTTACAATAATATAGCTTATACATCAGAATAACACATAGGCTGTAATTTATATACATTTTTTATTTTATCTTTAGTATATCTGTCTTTCTTTCTGAATGTGACGCCTTCAGCCTATTCTACGCAGACGTAGTCGCGGGCAGCAGCTAGTTTTCACATAAAAAGAAATTGTCAAACCGTGTTATAATTAAATGTTGTCGTCAACTTGTTTCATCATGGAGTAATCGCAGGCACACATGGACATTACTAAAACCAGGGGACCAGACGTTGCCGCAAAATTATTGAACAAAATTACCTACCTTTTTAACGTTGAAATAAGCAGAGCTTTCGTGCTAATTTTTCCGTGCGTGCATCAATAAATAAATTAATAATAATATTACATTAAGATTACACTAATCTTCATCGACAATAATTAAAAGTCACGTACATCCGACCCGCACCGCGATAAACCGGTGTGTTATTTTAATTATTCAAATTTCCCGCCGAAACCATTCGTAATACAGCAACAGATGCAATCAACGCCGCGAAAGTGAAATAGATCATCGAGATTAGCTTACACGAGTGTTTCGGCGCAAAAACTACAGCGAACGTTAAGATTTATAGATATCGTTAAAATTCAAAACGCCCGTCCTTGCGGTGAAACTTTTACGGCACGCTACCTTTGTGGGGATCGAATGATGTATTTAATGGACTTTCTTAATCTTACATTGGAAATATGTCGAAAAACAAGTCACTTTGATCAATGCTCATTGAGTTTTAATCATAACATCATTTAAAAACAATTTACTTTCATAATTTATCATACCACTTATTTCCATTAAAAAATCATAGCTCATGGAAAGCGTTCGATGACGATGACGCGGGTTTCACGACTTTTTTCATCCAAAGAGTGCTCAACGCGCCTAAAGAAATCATGTGTACGTCAGCAATGCACAATTTCTTTTATAGTTATATAAAATATTTATTGCAATAGTAAATCAATCTACAATAAAGCAATTTTTCGCTTGAGGTTTAATTTTATATAGAAATTCATCACGCTATGACCCACTAAACTCTCGCGCGAGACTCTACCTGTTGCCAAACTTTAAGAGAAGTAGAGTGTGCCGCATTGAGCGTATAAACGGTAACAATTGCTTGCATTAAGTAATTTAGTCAATGGAACACAAAAGACAGCCAATAATCTTCTGTGCTCTCTACGCGATCTGTACATCCTGTATTACACGACAACACATTACGTATTGCTCTACGCCGTAAAGACTTATACACACTGTACATTGATACTAGGATTAAATTATATCATTTATATGTTGCCTTAATGTAAGGTTTCAATTAATTAAAAAAAATCATTTAAACCTGATAGACATTGATTTTGATTTTTTTTGTAGTAAATGAAAAAAAGAAAATAAAAAATTGGCCCGAAGCGGGGACGGTGCCGTTGAATTCCCTTGACTTATTTAACTAGCAATGGTTTATGCATTAATACTTCCTTAAGGTTGTGTTGAGGTAAGCATAGTCAATATGTGTGAATACAAAAAAATACAGTGTATAACAAACACTATAGTCGGTATTACCAGTGACTGAAGTTTCATTGGCGGAGGTTTATAACACAATAGTAATAAATCTACTTCCCAAAATAACCTACGCACTGACTAAAACGTAACTTGAGCCCATTTAACTGATCTCATCTGTAATGTAGTGCAACTTATATCATGTATGGCATCCACCCGGCACGCCTTGTGAAAGTGATTGCGGTTGAAATGAGCAATGTTATTAAAACGAGCTAAATTGAGCTTATCATTGACCGTCCGTAACCTGCATGTAATTCATGCAATTCGCTCGACACGGGCCATAGGTATATTTCTTTTAAAAAAATTAAGTTTTTTTTAAATAAAATACACGCGAACAGCCAGCAATACCAAATAATATTAATTTAATCATTTATTATGCGTATAGTAGTAATTTTATTAATAAGAAGTTTAAAATCTTATAGTAAGGTAAAGTAACAGCCTATACATGTCCCAATACTGGACAAAGGCCACCCCACGCGGCCCCACTGCGTATTGGCGGACTTCATATATCCTTATGTTATCATTTCGAATATCCTTGATAACTTATGGAATGAATGTTTGTTTTCTCATCTAAGGTAATAATGAGAATTCAAAGCAAATCTTTATCACATTGTGAAAAAACATCGTTTTATGAAGTTAACTTTTACTAAAAGAAGGAAACAGTTATATTTGCTGTGAACAAAGATTTATTGAATTCTTTTGAGTGCTAGTTTATAAAAATTATATCAACTTAAAAAACAACATTAAAGATTTGTGCGATAAAATGCTATATATAATAGCTTCAGTTAAATTGGATGAAACTATAGTAACTATACAGCATGTCGATACAACCGCGACAATAAATGAATACACATATAGAGAATAACTTTTTAAAATTGTATTAAGCATTTACATCAATATTTACTGAATTATTAAATTTTACAAAACAAACATTTTTAGAACACCCTTACGTATAAAACTGTAACGTAAAGTTCATTTGTAAAGGTCACAAAGCATATGAATGGGTTGAATTAAAGAGATAAAACATACGTTTAGAAGGTACTGTTTTATTCGAAAGTGTGAATAAAATATAACTCCTAAAAAAATATTCCCTTAAAATTTACCTCCCAAAAAACTTCCATTCTACATTTTTCATTCCGGAAGAAAACTCCTAAGTTGGCATCCCAGTTTTACCGTTTGTTAAATTGTCTAAATAATAGAAATGAGTCAATGGTGCGACTTGTTTTATTTTTTCTCTTAAAAATTAAGTAAGTGGTATGAGGCGTACACTTTAGATTATTCAGCTACTAAATGTGCGTTTTTGAAAATTAAACTTTACTAACATATTTTTTCAAAGACCTGACGTGAAGTGAAGTTGAAGACGCACTAGTCCCATGATTCTTCTATTCCAAGTCAGTGAATAGTTAAGATAATTTAAGGTAATGTCAACTTAAATAAGGATTAAACATACGTATCAATTTTGTGGATTAAGCATTGATTCAAGTGTACTTGGAGACGTAATTTTCCAACACAAAGCAATCTTTTTTGGTGGTAAGGATATAAAATTTGGATTCGCCTAATTCTCACGGGAAATTTACATTATCGTCGTCAGTTTTTAACAAAATGCTATTTTGAAAATCAAGACGTTTTAACAAAAAGCTTTTCCGGTACCGGGAATCGAACCCGAGCCTCCTGGGTGAGAGCCAGGTATCCTAGCCACTAGACCATACCGGATGATGTCAAAATAATGAAATTTGCTTTCAAATTACAACATAACACGGTTATGTTGTGTAAAATAAACTTTTAACAAATAAGGCAAATCCGAACAACGGATTTGAAAAAAGAATGTTTTTTTTTCGTTTTTAGTTCTCAATACTCCTTTTTTTAACACATTTTCGGTTTGTGGTCTTTGTTTGGTGAAAAGGGTATAAAATTGGGAGTCGCCTTATTATCAAATTTGCATTATCAAATTTGATGGTTATTATAACATGAAAGAAAAACAAATACGTGAAAATTATACCCTATACATACTAATAGAGATAGTCATCATCACTCAAGAGATGACAGGTATCATGGTCTAAGATTTCCCATCAAATACTGCACACATAAATCTGTGATTTGGATATCAAAACTGTGTTACCAAGACCTATACACAAGTAAACTTTGTTCACTAAATTGGAAATGTGCATATGTATTATTTTTTAGTTTCTACAAAAAATGTTATATGTGATATGTCAGTTTTGGTTCCGGTGCTCCTCATTTCAAACAGTACTTGAACAATCAAATTTTCTTTTACATAAGTAACCCTTTGCTTTAAAGTGTCGTACAGCTGGCAATCGCTATCCTCGTCTGCCTAGTGATGTTACACGTTAGCTCTCTTTCACTCACGTTAAATATTTACGATCTTTAGCAGCGAGAAACCCTCATTTGCGGCCAGATTTAATAAGGCAACCGTATATCATAATAAACAGAAAAAATTATTAGATTTAATTTGATATATAAATAATGAATGTACGTTATGAAAGTAAATACGTTTCAGAATGATACCTGTTTAACGGCAACCGTGATTTTTCAGTCTTTATGTATATTATTGGCGTGAAGTGTCCATATTGTATTCAAAAAACATGTGAATGAATTTTTTCCCAAAAATCAATTAACAATAATTTATTAAAACATGTAGAAAAAGTACGAAAAGATTGTGGCCGCTGTGGATATCGAACCCACGTCTTCGGTATTCGCGGCCTGACGCTCCAGCCACTGAGCTAAACGGCTGATAGCCACAGCGACGAAAATCTTAACGCCTTCTTTCTACATTATTCATACAATCTTTTCGTACTTTTTCTACTTGTTTTAATGTTCAATTTTAAGTGCAGAGATTAGCACTATAAAAAACTTTAAAATTAACAATAATTGATTAAAAATATTAACGGCACATTTTGATAGGCAACCCAGTAAATATATCTTCTTCTAATCATAAATATGCGTAAAAATTTCAATTTTAGCATATACTCGATGAGAGTAGTAATTCTGCAGCCGGATCTCGTACTATCACACTTTGCACCATAGCTACTGTAACTTGTAAATATGCAAAATAGTATTTATTTATTCTCCATTGTAAACACATTAAATAGGTGAATTCTATCTATTTTACAGGCGCATTCTATGAGTTAGCCCGGTTATACAGGGAGGCTTTTCTAAGTGTATACATTTTTTTAAAATAAATTCTAGACATAATTAATGTTACATAAAAATGATAAATATTTTGAAACACTCGTAAGTAATTAATTACATTCATTTGAACTTATCTGAAAAAGTGCGTGATTTATACGCAACTCATTTATTTTACGCGCGATCATTCATAACTAACACGCTCACACACAAGTTCGTTTGTGTGCGTGAACAGTAAAATTTAGGTATTTATGAATGAATAACGCGTTGTTAACAAGTTCTGTTTTTTAGGGAATGGAATGGTAATTAAAAAAAAAAAGTTTGTTTTTACATCAATAAACGATTATACTACTGAGTCCAACCTGAACTGTTTTTGTGCATCGTTAAACATTCTACGGATTCAACGTGCGGATACTTTATTCATCCAAAGTCAAAGTCAAAGTATATTTATTCAATATAGGCCTAACTTAAGCTCTTATTGAACGTCAACAAAAATCTACCACCGGTTCACTAAACTAGACCTGCACAGAGAAGAACCGGCAAGAAACTCTGCGGTCTTGTTCTTTTTGTTATATATATATATTTTTAATGCAATTATACATCCCTAAGCATCCCTAAGCATTCGTGTAAAATTCTATGTACACAACCAGACCAAATATTTGTTTCCTTAGTAATAAAACGTACCGTGTCACGAAGATCTCCTAAAACATTTTTTCTAACGGATACGCAAAATCTGACGATTGGAAATTTTAAGTAATTTGCAGTTTCACTTTTTCGGTACAATGAAATTATTTGTTACTAGCTTTTACCCGTGACTTCAGTCTCGTTGAGGCCCTTATATAAATATATTTTTTTAAATATATATTTTTTATTAAAAAGAATATGTGTACAAAGTTTCATCATAATTGGTTGAGTTGTTTTGGAGTGAAAGCGTATCAGACAAACTTACATTTACATTTATAATATTAGTAGCGATATAAAAGTAGGGATTAAACAACGACAAATAAACACAGGTAAATATAATAATTCTATTATTATAGCAAATATTGTTCACGGGTAGATTCGTAGATAATGTTCTATCAGATTATATAAGGGAATAATCTTTCTTCAGCCTTAATCATGACATCGCATATTTGGTATAAATATGATCATTAGATTGAATCTTAGCTTAACTTATTTATGGATTATGTATAACGTAAAGATTCTAAAAACGAATACTTAAACCCACGCTTAACATAAAATCATTCAAACGGTTGTCAAATTATAAATAAGGACTTTACTTATCGTACATTAACAATACAACAATATTTAAATACTTCGTGACGTATCTACATTGCATGAATCATTCGAAATTCCTTTTTAACCACTTATCAGTAGACATTGCTACCAACACCAAAATGAACTACGTTCCTGTGACGATTTTATTTAACAGGAGAGTGAACTTGTAAAAATCTTTTATGATGGGAAATAGACTAATTATAACTATAGTTTTTAAACATTGGCATATTGTTTTCAAATTAAACTTAAAAAAGTCTCTTTTGTTCACTTTTGGAGTTTTATTATATAAGTGAACAAAATAATTCGATATGGAAACTTTAATCAAATGCGTAAAAAGAACTATATTTCTTTTTTTCTTGTATAATTTTGACAGGTGATAAAGTCTGTCTGTCTTCTGCCCACTAAGTCTGTCCGTCCGCGATTTGCCACTCCTATCTTGACGATACTTAATTAGATTTTAATTTGATAACCGTGTACGTGAAATGTAGTTTTACTTATTCACAATTAGTGTAGTGCAATGGCTTAGTTGTTTGTGAAGTGTTTATAAAGGAACTCACAATGTCTGGGCGCGGGGTTTTGAGGAAGCTGTTTTATAAAAAGCAGCATAATAAGGATGAGCGGGCAACAGAGATTGGAATGCCTACTAACGTCAAGCAACATATACATGTGAGTAAAAATTCTGAAACGGGAATGTTAGAGGGTCTTCCTGCTTCATGGTTAAGGCTTTTAAATACGCAAATTACACCTGCGGAACAAAATGAAAATCCTGACGCAGCCATCCAGGCTGTTAAATTTCATATGTACACGATCAAGAAGGAAAAAGCGCTAGACGAACCGTTCAAACCGTTTGTGACGGAAGAAGCAATCACCGAAGAGGATTTAGAGATAGAAAAGTTATTAGATAAGAAAAATGCCCACCAAAGTCAAGACTCAGATTTATCAATTGGTCAGAGCAGCGAAGAAGATGTTGCACCTAATGATAAGTTCTCCCAAAGGCAAACTATGCCTGCAGGGCCGAACAAACACAGTATGAAGAAAAAGGATGCCATGATGGATTTAACAGCGGTTGTCCAGGACTTGACATTAATTGGAAACGAGTCAGAGGAAAGCCCCATACTAAGAAAGAAAGAAATGATGAATGCTGCACTCACTGATGAGGAAGTGTATGAAGAATTGAAAAGGATTTGTAATAAAGATGATCCCTATGTGAGGTTTGAGAGGATCAAGCAACTTGGCGCTGGTGCTTCAGGTGAATATAATTAACATTTTAGACTTATACCATAGAAATTGGAATGCACAGCATTTAAGGATCCACCTTTACTTTGATTCACAGCTAATGTCAAGGTATTTTAATTCTAATTCTCACATCTTTTTTATTCTAATAATTCAAATAAATAATATTTGTTATTTAAAAGCCTTAATTCACATATACTTTTTAAATATTATGGGTTCATTTTTCAGTATTATTGTAAATGGTGTTGATGAATATTTTAATATTATTAAATAGGAGCTGTTAGATAGTAAGTAACATAAAACTTTCAAAATTAACCATATTCTGCTTAATTTTAAAAGATTAACCTTATAAGGTTAACTTATCACATGCTCCGCGGTGAAGGAAAACATCATGAGGAAACCTGCATATTTTCCAAATAATAACAAAATAATATATATTTCGAAAATATGTGAAGTCCGCCAATCCGCAGTGGAGCCACGTGGTGGACTATGCCCTGATACCCTCTGTACAGAGGAGGCCTTTGCCCAGCAGTGGGACATATATTGGCTGTTACTTTACTTTACTTTACTTATCAGGTTGCACAATTTTGATGAATATCAAGATTTATAATTTCATGATGAAATAATGATACATATAATAAGTATTAAATTAGTGTCCCATTCTGAAAATATTTTTAATTAAAAGTAAAATAAAAATGGCACAGTTTACATAATGTTTAAATTAGCTAAAAGCTAATGAAGTTTAATATTCCAGTTTGATATGGTTATTTACTAATATTAATTTAACTTTCTATATTAATACATTCTATATTTCTTACAAATCATAGTATATTTAACATATCTTGAATCCTTGAATGGTTCTGGGATGTACAAGTTGATTTACAACCTTGTGTTGTAATTAGCCAGATATAGATTATATTTATTTACATCAGATCTTGTTTAGTGTGTTCAGATTTTTACCTGAACTTTACCCGCCTACCCCAAATTTGCCTGTTCCATCAATGTTTTCCTATACCTTTCTGAAAATACAGACTAAACTTGCTTTTGTTATAACATGTTTAGTCTATATATTACTCAGTACACTTTTGCGATAATAAAACCTTTGTGGTTAATTATTTTGTTTCAAACAAAATATTATAAATTACTACTTTATATTATTTCTCTGTATAGGAAATCGAGTTCCTGGTAGTCAACCAACTTTACTACTCAATTTACTGCCTCTAGGAACTCTTATTAATAAAAGAAGCCTCTTATATACTTAAATTGGAAAATCTCGCATGGATTGATATTATTCTTTGAGTAAATGAAATTGTATATGCATATAATAAAAACAGTAGTTAACTCAGTAGTGGACTCTATTTGATATAATTTGGCTAAAACACATAATCATCTTTTGAAATTAAAATAATTGATGTTATCCAATGTAAATTTTTTATAAAGGTTCATGAATACAATAGGATTATAAAACAACCCGTGTTATTGTTAGCTTACTAAACATTAGCATAAATGTTTTTTTATCTGTTCTTCAGGTGTTGTATTCATCGCTATAGACAGTAAGGACAATTCCAGAGTGGCCATTAAAGATATAGACTTGACAAAACAATCCAAAAAGGATCTCATTCTAAACGAAATCAATGTTCTGAAAGGGTTCCATCACAAAAATCTAGTTAACTTTCTCGACGCCTTTTTGAGCTATGATCATCTATGGGTTGCCATGGAATTACTAGATGGTGGCTCATTGACAGATGTTGTAACAGAGGTTGTCATGAAAGAAGGTCAAATTGCAGCCGTATGCCGTGAGACCCTTCAAGCTGTAGCCTTCCTGCATTCAAAAGGAACTATACACAGAGACATAAAATCGGACAATGTGTTACTCGGAATGGATGGCACAGTCAAAGTGACTGACTTTGGATTCTGCGCTAACATAGTTGGAGACGAAAAGAGACAAACGATGGTTGGTACTCCATACTGGATGGCACCAGAGGTAGTCACTAGAAAGCAGTATGGTAAGAAGGTAGATGTGTGGTCTCTAGGCATAATGGCAATTGAAATGATTGAAGGAGAGCCTCCATATATGAAAGAAACCCCACTACGAGCTTTGTATTTGATAGCGGCTGTTGGTAGACCGAAAATTCCACGGTGGGAGTCATTGTCACCAGCGTTTCAAGACTTTTTGGATAAATGTCTCCATGTTGATGTTGATTTGAGGGCAACAGCTGATGAACTCCTAGCACATCCATTCCTCGAGTGTGCAATGGAGTTAAGGACTTTGACTCCATTGATAAAAGCTGCACAGAGGATTCTCCATAAAAGCTATGACTAGAGGAAAACAAAGATAGATTGGTAATACAATTTTTTTAATTTTAAACATCTATTGTTTTCACATTTGTACTCATTTGCTACACCAGACACTGACTATACAATTAGAATAATGATATTTTTTGCATCAATGTTATGAAATTTTAAATAATTGTATGATGTGTAGGTTAAGCAAATGATGACAATACGAATATAAGTATGTCGTAGGTTTTTGAATAGATGGAACCAAATTTCTGACCATACAAAATAATGTGCCAATATGGAGCTCATATTTTGCTTGTTTTTTGAATCATGAAGATGCAAGACTGCAATTTAAAACCATGTATAAATAGTTTTGTAGCCATTTAACTATGTGTAAACATAAAAATTAAAAAATATTATTTTCCATTAGTATATGAACTTTTTGATATCAGTTGCACTCAAGCACAATTGACATACAAGCAGTGGTAATGTGTAATGATGCATTGCTGTATAGAGTAATACATCATGAAAGTATTTATTTTGCTTACATACTCTGCATTACTTTATTGACACAGCAACTGAAATAATCATATATGCTAAGTAAATTTGACAAGATTGCTGTATGCTCTAAATTCGGGTAAGATTTTAACATTGAAGTTGGCTTCTACAGAAATTAAATAGATGTCTTACATTTGTATTTCTAAGGCCTTATTAGATAATGTGCCACAATCCCTTAGAAAACAATCTAAGTCTCCAAATAAATGGAGTAATTTCTGGTCAGAATGTGTTCAAAAAATTTCAACTATCTCCAATCAACCCATTTTGTTTGAGAATTTTATGTTTATTTTTCAACATAAGCATTTGCTGATGTAACAAAACATTTTTTACAACATTGATTTCATTTTGACAGTAACACAGGGCATTCTGTATTCAGCCTTATCACTACGATTGATATGCTATCAGTCTTGATATGAATGTTTTACATCACATTGCATGGCAATATTTCCATAATGGAAATGAGACGAAAATGCGTTATGTACAATGGAATGCCATAATTATTGTATAGGATATGATTTATTATAAATTAGTTTTAGAATGCTTGTTATAATGTGCTCTAAGAATAAGATACTTAAGAGTTTGTTGCGCTCTGTCCAAAATTACAATGAACGAATTTTTAATGGAGGTTATTCCTACAAAGGTATTATTTCATAAGATACAGCAATGATATTTAGCTCTCTTTACTGATGATACTCAAAAGTAAATATCATAAAAAAAACCATTTTTTTTCTTTTTTAATTGTTTAACAAAAACTACAAGCTGATTTTTTTTCTTTCATTTTGTTAGATATGTTTAAAATACACTCTGTGGGAACAGCCTCTATTGGTTATACAAGATTGATGTTTTTTTTATTGTTTTACCAAAAAAAAACTGTACATATTGATGTATTTGTAGCTAGTCCGTTAAGTGATTTATATGTGGCATTTTATATATTATTTTACCAAATACGTATTTTTGTATTTTACAATAGGACTATTTTGATAATCAGTTTACTTTCCGATAACAGATACTCGCTTGCTCGGTTTACATGGCTGCGAAACGTCTGAATCTAAAATAAACTTCGCACTTCCAGTGTATTTTTCCGTTGGACGCTTTTACATTTGCACATTCCGAAATTTAAAACAACAGACCAACTGTTTATTTTTGTACTTCTTTACAGTTACGTAGAGCTTGTAGGTTATTTCTCTATTTCATATTATTATAAATCTAGTAGTTTATATTAATTATTAAGACTGTAATCTAACTTCACCTTCCTGCTCATAAATAATGGCTTTTTTGCTAATTTGTATCGTTAAGAATTGAAAGTGGCAAAAAATTTAATTGTTGTGTCCGCATTGAGCTTCGTGGGAACTTTATATTTTAGGATACGTCATTAGGAGTAAAGAATTGATACTACATAGGCGCTGCGTAATCTATGAAGGTTGTCGTAAATCCTTATAGATGTACTCTATAGATACTTGTTGTTGTGAATACACTACTGGAGAAAAAACAAATTGGTACAAACACCATCCACAAATACAGACAAAACAATAGAACTGACTTATTTCGTACAAAAGTAAATCTAAACTTTTCTTATTTTTGTTGTCGATGTGAGAATAGGCCAATTTTTACCAATAAAAATCACAGCTTTTTTATAATTTTATTTGCCTCTTTGATTCCCTTATATCGGCCACTTTTCCTCTTCATGCATTCCGCTATAAAAATGTTAAAATTTTCACGTTTCGGGAACAAAATTTTAATTAAAATTAAACTTATCATAATCGGGGCCTGAGTAATAAAAAAATGAAAATATTTTAGGTCACAGTTAAATAATACATAAAATATGATAAAGTTCTTACGCTTGTAATAGTCACCTGTACCTTCAGGTATTATACTTTAAAAACTTTCTGCATATGACATTATTAGGCAAGCTTAAAAGCGAAGTTCACTTTCTCTGAGCCAAATTTTAATTTGCCTCAATTTAATAAAAACCTTTAATCGATAATGCATTTGAAATTTTTTTATTGTCCTAAGCCTCAATAATTTGGTGAATAAAATTAGTATTAAAGAAATCGATTATGTATTATTCTGTAATTTTTTAAAATAGCCATATGTAATTATAAGTTATTATAGCTTTTAAAGTTGATTTGGATTTTGACTGTTGAACATTTTTTGGAAATACGAGCTTGTGACTACGCCAAGAGTGCCTGCTTTTGAGAAATGTTATTACTCTGATAATATTAAGGCGTACATAAACTGCAGCACAACGAAGAATTGCGATAACGTTAGAAGCTAAACAGTTCTATTTATAAGTTTGTATACACCAATGACACTTTTTGAACATTTTATTACATATTAGAGATTTGCCTATTAAATTATTTTTGTAAACGATTTTGCGTTTTTGTATTCTTACACCCAAAATATGTTTTGATTTTGACTTAAACATAGTAAACATCATTTTATATCTTACTCGATGATATATATCATCTATTCGTAATCATCATTGTCTATGATCATTTAATATGACAATCCTTGCATCTTGTATTAACTGATGTTTTTGCTTTCAGTCCCGAGATTAATAAAGCTTCATCTGACGCAGAGCTAGCCAGAACCCACGGGTTTGGGTCCCCCGCTGTGGGTGGGGCCACGCACGTGCTCATGCGTGCCTTTAACTACGGCATGTCATCTAAGGGCCGGTTAATTGGTGGCTGGGGGCGGTGAGAACCGCCCTGGAACGCGGGTGTTGGTTTCGCCGTGCTCGGAGGCGAGGCGAATAATGTGTTTGTTGCTACACTAACTGTGTGTGTGTAGTGTTATCCGGTGGGACCCCGACGGTGGGTCCGATGTACCTAAGTCCCCTTCCTCGACAGAGTCGATGAGGACGTTTCGCGGGCGACGCTTGTTGACGCTCGCGTTTGGATCGGGTTGGTAATTTGCTGCGCAGACCACCAGAGGGTTGGGATGATGTTCTATCGAAGAACAGTTTGGTCAGGTCTTTAAAATATTCGTGAATAGTCGGGAGTCTGCAATCGCTGTACCGGTCGACGTTGCGTTGCGCACCGGTTTCGCGGCGGATGAACTTATTTTGAACTATTTGCAACTTGTTAATGCAAATAGGGTTTGTATGGGCAAAGATCATGCATGCGTAAGACATGATTGATTAATTGACGACAATCCTATTGCTTCAGGTGCAGGTCATTTTTTAACCTGTCTGTTGCGCCAAAGGGTGTGAGTTCCATGCCCTCTACGGGAAAAATGTGTGACGAATGGTGTTTTAATGTAAAAAGAAAAGTATGTTAATTCGTGACCAAGCTACCCATAATATAAGCTTCGCTTTATTAGGGACTAGATAACTTTGTATTTAAAAATGTCGAGGAAGATTATTACTGTAATTGTAAAACAGTGAAAAACGTGGAAAAAGTGAAAAAAAACCTTTAAACTCGTGATTGAATTTAAAGGTTTGCCCAAGGGTGTCAACAGACTCATCTAGTCTATTTAGCATGGTAGTATCTTCAAGGCAAAGTAAACAGGTCTCATAGATTAAAATTTGTAGAAAAAATAAATAGACGAAAAGCTTTGCTCCGCTGCGGGAAACGAACCCTTGTTTTCCGGATTCGCGCACAGACGCTGATTACACAGTTAGCTTAGAGGTTAAAGCATCTGGGCTAATCAAGAAGATTTGGGTTCGATTCCCGCAGTAGCGAAAAACTTCGTCAGTTTTTCTCCATTTCTAAAATTTCATTCGAGTGCAGAGGTTATAGCACTATAAAGTCGAAGTCAAAGTATATTTATTCAATATAGGCCTAACTTAAGCTCTTATTGAACGTCAACAAAAAATCTACCACCGGTTCACTAAACTAGACCTGCACAGAGAAGAACCGGCAAGAAACTCTGCGGTCTTGTTCTTTTTGTTACATATTTTTTTTGATGCAATTATACACACTTATTTAGGTATAAAATCAGCAGCAGCCAGGGGTCTTGCAAGTGCAGAGCAAGAGTCATTTCCAAACATCCTTGTCCTCAATGTATTCTTGGATATTATAGTATGCCCTTGCCATTAAGGTAGCTTTTACAAATTGTTTATACTTAGTTGTTTGTGGATGTCACCTATTTTATTATAAAAGTTGATGGATCTTCCAAGAAACGACTTTCTGGTTTTAGCCAATCTAAACCTCCGTACTTCCAGAGTGTCACGACGGCCCCGACGCGATGTGGATTTTTTTTTTTCGTAAATAGGTGGATATTCTTACGTACATACATGATGTTCTCAAGTATGTATAGCGACGGGAGCGTTAAAACGTTTATTTGCTTAAATATATGCCGTAGTGACTCACGTGGACCCAAGCCATAGACGGCCCGTATAGCCTGCTTTTGTAATACAAATATCGTGTCTAAACCGGATGCGGAACCCCAAAGTAAGACACCATAGGACATTATGCTGTGAAAATAAGCATAATAAACTAGCTAAAAATAAGCATAATAATTTAGCTGTTTCCTCTTTATTTAGCGCTCAATTTCTTAGCTAACTTATCTACATGAAATCCCCATTGCAACTTGGAGTCAACGCTTATTCCAAGAAATGCTGTTGAATCCTCAAGGGGTAGGATTTTCTCATCAATAGAGATTCCTGATTGGTGACACAACTTTGAAAGAGTAAATCTAATACAATTTGTTTCAAAGGAGTTCAAAAGTAAGTTATTGGTAGCAAACCAGCCAGACACAATATCTAGTATTTCATTTGGTTGTTCCAGTGCATTATCTTTCCTTTTAACTTTAAACAATAATGAAGTGTCATCCGCTAACAAAACAATTTGAGACCTTTTTTCCACTATATATGGCAAATCATTAATATAAACTAAAAACAGAAAAGGGCCCAGGATCGATCCTTGAGGAACGCTCATTTTTACTTTTGACCCCGTCGACAATATACCATTTATGATTACTTTTTGTTCCCTGTCAGTAAGATATGACGAAACAAAGTCAATGGCACTATTTCGAATACCATAATATTCCAATTTCCTGATTAGAATTGTATGATCTACACAGTCAAATGCCTTGGAAAGGTCACAGAACACACCAATGGTGTCATGAAAGCTTTCCCAGGACTGCAGGATATGTGAAACTAATTCTATCCCTGCATCAGTTGTAGATCTACCTTTAGTAAATCCAAATTGGTGGTGGTTTAAAATTTTATATTTGTTAAAATGAACTATCATTTGATCCAGCATTATTTTCTCAAACACTTTGTTTAAGGCCGGCAACATAGAGATAGGACGGTAATTAGAGGCATTATCTCTCGAACCCGATTTATATACTGGCACAACTTTACTATATTTCAATAACTTTGGGAATTTGCTACTGTCTAAACAAGTATTAAATATTTGGGCTAATGTGTAAGCAATGTCATAGATTATAAGATCAATTGCCCATATTGATAAGCCCCATAAGTCTTCTGTTTTCTTTTTATTTAGATTTTTAAATGTTTTAATAATATCATTCGGGCCTATATGACAAAATTTAAAATCTGGAATAGAAATATTAACATTTATCGAGATATGATACTGCCTCTGTGGGACAGTGTTGCAAATGTCTAGTAGTTTCACAAGGTATATTTGTGAAAACATTAAGAAAATCATTTGCAACTTTATATTTTTCTTTTAAACCTTTGCCATTAACTTTTAATGTAAAATCTGCCTTTTTTCATTATTTTTGCCAGTTTCCTTATTTATTACATTCCAGGTACTTTTAACTTTATTTGAAGACAATTTAATTTTATTACTCAAATAGTCTGCAAAAAATTCAAATAGCAACGACGACATATCTTGTTCGAATTATAGTTGTAAAACGATATTTGAAATTGTTTGTCTGCTCTGTTCGTACAGAATATAACAATAGATGCGCCAAGAATTGCTTAATGTGGTAAAGTAACAACCTATAAATATCCCACTGCTGGACAAAGGCATCCTCTGTACAGAAGGTATATTCCACCACGCGACCCCACCGCGGATTGGCGGACTTCAAATGTCTTCGAGATTTATTATTTTTTCGAAAATATTTCCTCACGATGTTTTGCTTCACCGTTGATTACGTGATAAGTCACCATTTAAAATTAACAATTTTTTTGGTTCCGGCACCAGGGATCGAACTCAAGTTGTTCGAGTAAATTGAATTAAAGGCGAGCACGACACAGCTATCACGGCTCAAAATGCGTTAAAACAATGTTGGTAAAATACGTTGGAATTTCGTCGGTGTGGCAATCGGAGCGGTTAAAGTATCTGGGTGTTCGTGAGAGACGTGGGATCGATTCCCGCAGCAGCGAATGTCTTCGTGCATTTTTTTCTACAAATTTTAATGTTTCATCTTAAGTGCAGAGATTAGCACCATAAACATGTTGGTCTCTGTGAGACCAAAATGTTTATAGCGTTATTATCACGTACTATCAAGATAGTATAGTCAGAACTCACTTGGCCATGGTTAAAAATATTGCATCAAGTAGATTCCGTTATGACATTAGTTTATTTTAAGTGTTCCGTACCCATAACTTAAAACGGGACCCTATAACTAAGACTCCACTGTCTGTCCGCCAGGCTGTATCTCATGAACCGTGACAGTTGAAAATTTACAGATGTTGTATTTCTGTTGCCGCTAAATAAGTATTAAAAATCAGAATAAAAAAATATTTAAGTGATCTATAAAAGGGAGTCCCTTTTATAGATAATGGTACGGAACCCCTCGTGCGCGAGTACGACTCGCACTTTTTTTCAGCCTCGGCTGTTGCACGAATGGGCAGGCCCGTCCGGGTAAGTACCACGACCTCACAGAAGAAAAGCGTAAAGTGGAAGTATGACAAATACTTTCACGTTTGGTCTGGTGAGTTAGGTAGCCGGAGCCCAATTTTCAAAAGGTTCTCAACGCATCTGCAACCCTCGGGTGTAGCAGATGTCAATGGGCGGCGGTATTCCCTTAACATCAAATGACCCGTCTGGTCGTATGGCAAATTTTCGCATAAAAAAAATCAACAATGTGTTTCTAATCATGACTGATTACAAATACATAATCACGTCTTAATATTATCGAAAATAGCCATAGCTGCTCAAGCCTTGCTGAGATTATTTTTCAAATCAGGTAAATGCGAATGAATAATACGCCAAATTATGTATGATAATTTAATTCCACGAATCGACTAGATATCTCTTGCCTTTTTGCATATCACACACGAATTTCTCTGCTTCCTCTGGGGTGTTATCTTCAAATTCAATTAGACATTTCACTAAGACATCCTTCACTTGAACGGATAATGTCTTCACATCACCGCACACATAGACAAGTGCCCCTTCTTTGAGCAGCCTTGCCACCTCCTGTCCATGGTACAGCAGCGCATCCTGGAGAAGAAAAAAATGTAACCCAGCTGTTTACGATTAACTATCAATTTGTCTACCAGTTGCAACAAAAAACTGGAAATAAAAACTACCTATTACTTTATTTTTGTAATTACAAAATGTGAAGTCAATAAAAAAGCTTGTAAAATTAGATACACTGTGGTAGGGCCATGCAACAGCTTCGGCTGTTGCACAAACGGGCAGGTCCGTCCAGGTAAGTACCATGGCCTCACAGAAGACGAAGTAGAGTGAGGCAGCCGGGGCCCACTTTCTTAAAAAGCGGCAATGCATCTGCAACTCTATGGGTGTTGCAAATGTCTATCGGCGGGGATTATCACTTTACATCAGGTGAACCGCCAGCTCGTTTGCCACCTTTTCACATAAATAAAAAGATCTGAATCTTAAACTATGAGCCTCATTGAACTTAGCCGCCCTGGGCCTCTGAAGTGCTTAGTTTACCATCGGGTCCAAGTCTACCTCGTTGGAAGCCGTCATCAGGGCGCGTTGATTGGTGTTGCAATGACCACACATGCTGTTCAAATAGCTGATGGATCTATTTTAATAAAAAAATTGTGATGTCAATGAGGCTTTATACAAATTTTTCCAGTAATTTGCTGCAGATATTCTGTTCAACATACCTTCGTCTTATTTTTTAATTTAACTTATATTATTATATAATCACCTGTACATATTTAGTTTCACTATTCACCCTTGAGAATGTTGTGGTAAGTTTATTTAATACTCCCGTTGATACAAAGTTCCCTAACTCCTTTTCATAAATGTAATCCAAATCTGGGTGTCTACAGCCGAAAAATAGCCAAACTGGACCCTGCTCTACATTTTTACTGTCTAGCCACTGTCTTTCCTCAAGGAAACCTATGTATGGGGCAACACCAGTTCCAGGTCCAATCAAAAGAATTGGACGAGTAAAACTTTCAGGAAAACTGAACTGATTAATATTCTTTCTCATATATATCGGTATTTTGTTCAAAACTAGTTTTTCATTTTTATTACTTAAACTCAAATTATTAACTAAACTCTCAAGGCTGTTTTCATTTATCTTTCGTTCTATCCAACCTGTGACAAGGCCTTTTCTACCATTGCCTATGTCCATTACAGAAAAACAAAATTTAATTTCATTACAGCTGTTCAAAGAACTATTCATAACGGAATATGGTCTTGGCAATAATCTAGGGAGGTGCTCTAAAATTATTTCAACAGGTGGCTTGCATGTTTTGAATATTTCAAACAAATCTAATATACACAGGTTTCTATTTAAAATATGAGTTGTGTATGCACTGGCGCCTTCTTTGCTGCAAAGGTATTCAAGTGCTTTCTTCTCAGCTTTGTCCTTTGTATACTTTGATAAGGTAAGAAGAAAAAGCTGTAAAATAAACAATTTAATTTACACATATGTAGTAGTAAAAATTAACTTAAGACAAATATACTGTGCCGAGAAATCAAAAATAAACGCGAATATCGGGATTATACTTGCATACACGTGCTACAGTTTGGTTTGTTCATTGATAAAAAAAAATATTTAAAATGATTTTATTATGAGCATAAATAAAATATCTTAGTCATATTTTACGTCAATATTTTAAAGAATATTTTATTTAACAAAAAGAGATTTTTTTTTTGGGAATTTATCGCATTTTTTACATGCTGCATTTTCATCAGTACCTGCTGCTCTGTTGTATTCCGAAGTTTATATCTTTGCTTAAATCTATTAAACCAACTCCAGCTTGCATTAAAACCCACACTTTTATATTCGCGAATATCCAGATAAAGAACTTTAGTCAGGAAAACAGTTTCCATGAATAACTAAATTCGCAAATATTGGAGGAAAAGTGTAATTTTGTAATATATAAAAAGTGTAATTTTGAAAGATATAAATTGAAAAAAAAAAATTAAAACAGGCCTTTCTTAGTTGCAGGACATAGCCCTTCACACAACACCAGCAGATTGGCAGACTTCAACAACTAGGTAACTTTTATGTATATCAATTATTCTATAAACTTTTATATACTACTCTGTAGAACATAGCATCAGGTTCCATTAAGTATTTTGAAGCATCCAAAATAATAGCAGACTTACTTTCTTAACCACACCCCTCAGGTCTATGCAATGCTTAAAAACATGCCTTAATGTCGAACAAACTGGTATATGGGCGGGTACTTTAGAGCCTTTTTGACCACTAATAATGCTTATCCTGTAGCTGAGATCCACTACTGACAATAAGTCCAAGTGGTCTATAATAATATCAACTTCCTCATCGAGATTTTGTGGTATAACACCTATAGTGTCGCCGGGCCTGAAATTAAAATTGCTAGCCTGAAAATTTGCATAAATTTGAGATTTAGTTTGCTATTTGTCATTCCCAGTAAGTTTAACTAAATTAATTAACATTTTCAGCAAGTATTAAAAGTTTACTTGTCTTAACTATACCAATTGCATATGCAATAAAAATTAAACATTTTACAATATTAAATTATGGACATATATAGTTTTTTGCAGTAATTTCAGTCAATATACATATATTATAACCTTCAATTATAATCAACACGATGATCACAATGATGCAAAATATACGTACTGTTACATCAAGTGTAACTTCATAAACAGTTTTGCAATCAGCACTCTCTTCTGTGAGACGTCTCCAATTACAAATAGTTGCATCAAATGCTTTACCAACAGCAAAAGGCAATGGAGGTTCTTGGCCCTGATAAATTATAGCGGTATTCTGAAAAATAAACAACTTATTAATATAAAATCTATCCAAACTTTCTCTAACATTAAAAAAGTTTTTAATTGTTAAATAACTGCTGTGTGATTGGATTTATAAGTTCATAATCTAATTTTTATCTTTTTTTGAGCTATATTTGTATAGTAACCTGTGTCAGGTAACCTATATAATTTATAGGCACATTCATATTATAGAATTACTTCATTAGTAATGACTAGATGTATAAAATATTAATGTCGAAATATTTAGATAAAGACCGAAGCCACGGTGTACTCATTGTACAATCTACGACTCATTGTACCAACGCGACAATAAATGAACACACATATAGAGGATAACTTTTTAAAATTGTATCAAAAATTTCCATTCTTTAAACATCAATATTTACAGAGTTATAAAATTTTCCAAAACAAAGAATTTTAGAACATGTATAAAACTGTAACGTAAAGTTCATTTATAAAGGTCACAAAGCATATGAATGGGTTGAATGAATTTAAAAGAGACAAAACATACTTTTAGAAGGAGAGGCTTGTAATGCGACGCTGTGGCAACGAATGAAAGTCTCTGAATGTATGAATCACTCAGTCGTAGTTGTATAGGATGTTACAAATTTTGTTTCTTTTTTACTTAATTAGTTTGTTTGAAAAATATTTTTTTTCATTATGGATTTCTTTTAACGTTAATATTTTTTGATGATTATTGGCAAGTAGCGTTAGACGTGTGTTAATTTATTGTCGCGATGGTAACGACACGCTGTATAAGACAGCGTTCACTTTTTACAATAATAAGTTAGAGATATAAAAAAATGCCAACAGAGATATATTATAATTAAAGATTATTCCCAAAATTATAGTTAAAGAGTACTATAAAATCTTATAGGTTGGTTACCTTAGGTAATCTTACATCATTTTTTTCAAAATCCACTTTTAAAAAACTTTGCTTGATTGTTGGAAGACTGATATTCTTCTGTTCTAAAGAGTCGTTAAAAACATCGCGGAAATTGGAAAGCACAACCATATTTGTTTACTTTGATTAGCAGTAGGATTAAATAAATAAATTAAATTAGTATGTACAACGTGATGAATGGAATTGAGGAAATGACAAATCAATGGTGGACAAATGAGTGGGAAGAGTGGTGACTAGTGACAACAATAAACTGACAAGCAGTGCTGCCAATTATAAAAGTTATTTTATATTGCTGTTAAATCATCCAATCGGAAAATGATAAAAAAATATGCAAATGCTAAAAAGAGCAAATAAAAACAATGCAAATACGATTTATTTCTCTAAGAATGTTTGGAGCATACATCATTTAGGCAAATGGTAACAGCGTTAGGATACTCCGATTTTTCATATGTAAGAAGTAATTTCGTGAATTAAGCTCGTGAAGTAGCTTGCGCATATAAAGCACGAACAAGAGCAAAAAGAGTTACGGACATGAGCACACGGCGTAACGTGATATGCTTGCTGCGAATGGTACATAACGCCGGTTATGGTATATAACGCCGCCGGTACGTAACACTGGTCAGTAGTCACCTTAGGAGGGTTGATTGAGTGTAATGGAGGAGTGACTAAGTATGTGTGACTGTGTGTAAGTTGTGATATAGTGTGTAATCCTATAAAAGTTTGTTGTTTAAAAATCTAGTATTGTGCATTGCTTGCCGTACCACTCTAACTAGTGATAATTTGTATCTCACGCGCTTTGTCGCTTGAAATCTGTGTAAAATCAGATATTGTGGTAAACGCGTATGATATCGCGATTCGTGTTGGTATAGCGAGTGAGCGAGTATTCGGTACATCAGATTTCAGAAATATCAGATATTGTAAAATACATAGATTTTGAACGAGCCAGTAAGCGATTTTAGGATATTGTACCAATATATAGTTTTCTTATCTGTATACGATTTGTATTGCCCACTTCTACTCTCAGCTAGCTAAGCTGTCTTGACGTCAAATGTCATGAAGTAGTAAGATTTAGATGCGGCAATTGCTAATAGTTTTTAATGCAGATTGACTTACTACTGGGCCCATAACCCAGAGGTCCATGGATCGAAACCACGCTCTGCTACCACTGATAGGGTGGATTAACGGCTACACCAATTAATTAAAACGTAAATATACAAGTAATAACAATGTTTTCAAGTATTATTTACGTTTTTATTAATTGCTATAGCCGCTAGTCCACCCTATCACGTGGTGCTTACCCGGATGGATCTGCCAATTGATGCAACAGTAAAAACTGTAGCGTGTCCCTACCACCGTATAAATATCTCCCAAGAGATCAAAGTCAAGCCGTCGTATATATTGCCATCGTAACGTAAATTACCAGAGGTACCTAAAATTGACGAAAGCAAAAGCCCTACAAATGTGTCATTCTGAGAACCGTGGGAAGAAAAAGGGCCCAGCACTTTTTTGAAATGAAAGTCCGTCGTGGTCAAAGTTGTTTCATTGAAACTACAAGAGCATGGTGACAAATCCGTGGTTCAATTCTCAAGGTACAACTATTTGTGCGACCCACAGGTAGTTGTTTCGCATCTGGATGTTTGTCTGCGTACGGAAACGGTACGTTCTTAATCACTATCTACATATTGAAACAATGCTTTTTGACCCCTCTGCAGCAAAGGAAAATGCCATTGTTTTCGTTTAGTTCGAGTGTAATTATTTTTTCTAATTATTAATTTGAATTAGATGTCCTTTTCTCATTGGCTTGGGAAATATGAAACAAAAAAATCAAGTCATATTCAAATAATTTAAATTAAACATTGAAATTCAAAAGTCATAGAATATGTAACAATGCTTGGCGTTAACTGATGCCATTCCTTTGCAGCAATCACACTTTCTCAAATTACAAAATGTAAAGTAAAAGTAAAGTATATCAGCCTATACATGTCCCACTGCTGGGCAAAGGCCTCCTCTAAACAGAAAGCATTAGGGCATAGTCCAGTATGCGGCCCCACTTTTATTATTAGTTTTCGAAACCACGAAGGTTTTCTTCACCGCTGACAAGTCAGCACTTAAAATTAACAACTTTATTGGTGCTGGCACGGGGATTTGAACTCGAATTGATCGAGCATAATGAATCAAAAGCGTGCACCCGGATACTAGCTATCACGGCTCTTTTATTATTTTTACAAAATATAACACATCAAATACATTTGACAGTTCCTTTATACTACATTTCATTATTTGGTAAATTTATGTATATGTTCATTTCAACGCCGAAGTCGTATTTTTTTCTCCATTTAAATCAGCACAGCAAATATGAATGCCCTTCTCTACCGCCGCGCCGGTTGTCAAAATTTAACTAATCAAGAAATAAGTCAAGAAGTCACAACTCATAAGGGTAGTCGATACATATATATTTAATTCAAAGATTTATTAAAATTTATACGTAGGAAATCAGAAAAAATCTTCACTGTACACAATCCAAGTGGCATGTCCTAACATTTATTGCCATACCAAACTACGTTAAGTCTCCTCTTCACCTGAAAATACTGAAAAAGGAAGAAATGAAATTTTAAAACTCTGTTACGAGGAAACAAATTTTGTTTACACTTTGCAATCTCTTACCCTCAATAGGAACTCCTTGATCCTCCGTAAAACCCTCTATGCACTCGGGGCAGACAGTTGTGTCGCAAGGATTCGGCGTTGACGTCGGGAACGCAGGCGTCAACTCAATCGGTGGAGGCTACACACGTGAAACAAACAAATATATTGATTTCTTGTATTTACGCTAATGTTAATGTTTAAATGAAACTTTTTTACGGATTTTATTACGATTTTCATTTGATTTGAAATTCCCTTCGTTTAGAACACTTTACAGCGTCCACGGTCACGGGACACACATATTTATTCCTAATATTTTCCTTTGAAGCTTATTTTATAATAAATTCAAAACAACATTTTTTCATAAGAAATTATATCTTTTAGCGCCAGTCTTAGCACCTAATACGTTTATCTAACAACCGTTAATTGATCGAAACAATTTCAGGCACGTGTGCACTTATATTACTGTTTACCTTACGAACTTTACTAGTATCTTGTATCTTGTATTAACTGATGTTTTTGCTTTCAGTCCCGAGACTATTAAAGTTTCATCTGACGCAGAACCGGTGGGCTAGCCAGAACCCACGAGTTTGGGCCCTCCGCTGTGGGTAGAGCCGCGCATGTGCTCATGCGTGCGTTTAACTATCCTTTACTAGTAGGTATCTAAAGCATGGCATATTTGAAAACTATCTTTTGTTATTAATTATGATGAGTCATAGACTTGCGTTCATTACACTAAGAATAAAACTTGTAATAGATTCCCTGCGTCTCTGTTATAAAGGGCAATAAAAATATAAATGTTTTACTCTGTTATCCCAAAATACATAGTAAACAAATTTCAGAAGTTGAGGGAAATGGAAGTTTTATAATCAAAACAGTAATTTCAAAATATGCATATCATATACGTACCTCCAAACGATACAAATAGGACAGACGACATGGGTCCCAAGTAGTACACAGTGTAGCATTGTGCATCATGTCTTTTCGAGGCTCGTCACCAAAGTAGTCAAATGTTATAACAACGTTGTTATCGATGGCGCACATATTTAGGAATTCATCCACAGATACCTTTAAAAGAGATATGTTGGTCCTTTAACTGATACCAAACTTACAATATTCAAACCTTATTCGTATCACGTTCCAATGCTATATTCTTTCTATTATATAAAGAGGAAAGATTTGATTTGTTTGTATGTATTGAATAGGCTCCGAAACTACTAAACCGATTTGAAAAATTCTTTCACTGTTGAGAAGCTACATTATCCCTGCTTGACATAGGCTATATTTTATTTTCAAAAAAATTAGGGATCCTTACTAAAACTCCAATAATGTTACTCAAGGTGTACAAAAATTACCTAGAATATTCTTTACATCGCGTGCGCTGCGAAAACTATTGCTGATAGAATAAAATAATGTTCTACGACTTTGCAGACCACATTATTATTTACAAAAAGTGTCGCGAGAGCATATGTCTAACTATTATATTTATGCCACAATAAGTGTTCTTTTATTTTAAAATTTTGATTCAAATGCCGCCGCTAATAAAGGCTGTTTATTTGTATCTTGGTATTAATCCTAATAAAAATAAATTACTTCATATTTAAGACCTTTGCAATATGTTTATAAAACTTTTTGAATTATTAAATTCAGACATTCCATTCCTTAGATATTGCAAGTTTAAAAGTTAGTATATTGTAATTTAACTATCCAAACAGCTTAGTGACTGACTTAGTAGTTCTTATAAGTTTTCTATCACATTTATACTGGTAATTCCTGTTCAACAGTTAGCAAATTATTAAATACTAAGGAAGTTTAATTTTTTTATCATTTTAAAATGCCCAAAAGATCAAGATCTCATCTTTCTAGAAATAGTTCCTAGGCGAGGACATTAAAAATACGTCATAATGAGGAATCTTTACCGGAAACTGACTTTCGTCTTACAAGTCGGAGAGAGTCAAGTAGAGTGTTTGCAGTGGTTTGAAGAGTATAATAATATAAATATACAAATTCACACTAGGGAATCGAGGTCTGAGCGTTCCCAACGTACACGAGATTAGAGAGAAAGATAACAAACGTCAACGACTAGAGTTCGTGATCGAGTTTATGCTCACAGTAACAGATCAGCTTTCATGCATTTTGCTCAACAGTCTTCCGTCCAAATCGTAGCCACGAATAAGATCTGCTCTAAGTGTTCTGCCAAAAATGGGTTGATGAACCAAATGGTATTTGTTGTGCTTCTAGAAAAGGTAGTCTCCCCAATATTGAGGAGCCGCCACACCAATAAAAAATCTTTTTACAAATAATCATTCACCATCAGGACATTTTTAACCAACATCCGAAAGTACAATAGCCTCTTTCAAATGACTTCGTTTGACGCGAACTTTTAAAATAGAGGGACAAGTATACAAGTTATCATCATCCTCCTGCCCCATCAAAAAAAATATATATTTCGAAAATATGTGAAGTCCGCCAATCCGCAGTGGGGCCGCGTGGTGGACTACGCCCTGATACTCTCTGTATAGAGGAGGCCTTTGCCCAGCAGTGGGACATGTATAGGCTGTTACTACTTTTTTTTTACCCTTTGGGTACGGAACCCTAAAAAGTCCATAGAGATATAGTGTTGCACGGTAGACACGGCCAACTTAATAGGGTCTCTGAGTTACACCGATTGTATGAATCATAAAAATATCCCTTAATAGTCGTAACAGGAGAAGACGGTTAATATTTGACTATTCCTCAGGAAGGTACTGTGCGTAACAAAACTATGTATGACATGCATGCAATTGTATGCATTTAGGTTGATGGTTAGAGCTACCTGTTTTAAGCCATTGCATTATTACTGGGACTTATTAGGGTTCCGTACCCAAAGGGTAAAACTGCACCCTATTACTAAGACTCCGCTGTCCGTCTGTATGTCCGTATGTCTGTCCATATGTCACCAGGCTGTATCTCATGAATCGTGATAGTTAGACAGTTGAAATTATCACAAACGATGAATTTCTGTTGCCGCTATAACAAAAAATACCAAAAAACAAAAAAATATAAATAAGTTGGGCTCCCATAAAACAGACATAATTTTTGGCCGTTTTTATAGATAATGTTGACAGTAGTAGTGTTAGTAGTGTTTTGAATAAAGATAATAAATATGATTTTTTTTTAATGTGATAGACTGGCAAACGAGCTGGCGGTTCATCTGATGTTAAGTAATAACCGCCGCCCATGGACATTTGTAAGGTTGCAAATTAGTTGCCATTTTTAAATAAAGTGGGCCCAGGCTACCTCTCTCATCAGACGAAAAGTAGAAGTATAACATTTTTTTTACGCCGGTCTTCTGTGAGGTCGATACATAACCCTTCGTGTGCGAGTCTGACTCGCACTTGGCCGATTTTTATTCAATACATTGTCGATATGATGGCAAAAAGGTATCATAAAGATTGAATTACATATGAAGTCGTAATCACCAGAGACTGAGGGCTGGTGAAACATTCATCTTAGAGACGCTTTAAATCAAGACATTGGCTCATGAAACATCGGACCATCAGACATCGGTCAACAAAAAAACCAAAGATGCGATGATTTATGTCCGAAGTTATGGGAGACCAGACTTATTTGTCACTTTTACGTGACGTAATTTCGAGGGTATTTCATTAAAAGATGAAGGAATTCATAAAATTATTCCCCAAAGACGAAATATTCGGAAGGTTTTATGTGTGTGTATGATAATTTTTATGTTTTAAAAATTTTGTTAAATACCCGTGCGAAGCCGGGGCGGGCCGCTAGTTTTATAATAAACTAGCTGAACTCGGCCACGCTTCTTTGTGGATTTTTTTTAATTTCCTTTGGAATTACGGAATAAATTGTACATAAAAACAGACTCTTGTACAATAGCTATGTTGTGGATAAATATCAAGTAAACAATGACTACTTTTTGAGTTTTTTGAAACAAAGGTGCGGAAGCTAAGTTTTTATATATAAAAATTAAAGCTAGGATTAGAATAGTATAATACGCGTTAAATTTAAATCTAATAGACTAATCAATAAATGAACCTCACCGGACCGGTGGTTAGCAATAAGTCTGATGGTTTTCTAATTACTTAATTTAAAACTAACTACTTAAATTAAAACTACCTTAGTTTTATTCCCGCAGTCCAAAGTTCCGTTCTGAAAATAGTTGTTCTCCCTTTCGCCGTTTCCGAGGCAGAACATCCAGCCCTCGTGGAAGGAGTATTCGATCGGGGCTATTTCCGCCTCGATGCAGGGGTCAATGGGCACTGGTATCGAAGGCTTCCCGTAGGTGCACTTCCGTTCGTGCATGTTCGCCTGCAGGCGATATGCGTCCAGGTCCGGCTCAGAGCCTTCTGGGCACTTGTAAAAGTTTCCTGTTGATTGTAATTTAAAGGTTTTTACTGTGGCACATTATTTCTGTTGCAGGAATGGGCAGGCTCGTCCGGGGAAGTACCACGGCGTGAGGACGGCGTGAAGTGGTAGTCATGCTTTCGCGTTTCGTTTATTGAGCTAATGAAACGGGCCCGTTTTCAGCTGGCATCGCGTATGTGGGTTGCAGGCGCTGTATTGTAGATGTCCATGGGATTACCACGAAGTTTTTTTTTAATATTTCTCTGTGCTACGATGTCGGCATAAGAAGAAACGATAAATTAAAATAATCTTTATATTCGGGTACCTAAACGTAAGGAAACTCATAACGATCAAGAATAACAACATGCGGTTCCTTCGACCGTCCACAAAATTAGTTTTTTTTTTTTTTGTTTGATAATTCTATGACGGGACAAAGAGAAGTTTCCTATAATTTAGAGTAGATTGGAATTTGTGTAAGCAGCGCTGGTACAATCAGTCTTAGGACTAAGTAGTGCTGAAATGTTAGTCGATCGCTTGGATGACAAGGACCAATTAAAGTACACTTAGATCCAATATCATAGTAAAGATTCAGTGAAAGATAAACTTAAAAATTAAACCAATGCCACCTAATAATGTGAGTGTAAATCTTTTTATTTAAACGTGGAATATAGCTACTGCTGGTGTCCTTCTAAATAGATAAATAGTAGTCTGCGCGTCTTTATATTAGACCATGAAAACATCATGGCCTACTTCCTAGACTAGAAAGAATTACCATAAAATACAATATACAATAAAATGACTAAATTTGTAATAAAACGAAATATTGGACCTTGGTAATTCAATCAAGTTCATCGCATCGTTATGATTATTGAAGTGAAACTTCTTTATCGGGGTTAGAAAAAAATGTAGTGTAACATTTTTGCGTTACGCGCCATCTTTTTCTTATCTTAAAATGTTCCTCTAACGCCATGGTTTTAATAGTTGACGCTAGATGGCGCTAGTTCCTCCGAGTGTTCATAACAATATATATATATATATGTTATATTAAAGTGATCAGCAAAATCAAAGGGTTTATTTTAATTCTAATTCTAAAATGTAAACAATATATTTCGTATTTCAGTTACCATAAGCCATTAATAACACAAATATATAATAACGACATCAATGATAGTAATAATTCTGTTACACTTAATGAAATTCAATAATAATCTTTGTGGTAATGACAGTGCTAGCTCTAATACTTCAGAGCACGACACTGTGTCGACTTCCTCTTCTCCAAAGGCAGGCACCGCCCACCGTGACCTGACTGCGCCTTCCACCGAAGACACAATCTGAAGCTGACCGATGATGCTCTTCGAAGCCTCGATTGGCTCCTGGAACTTGCGGTTGCGACGTCGATCCAACACGTCCCCGCAAGCTCGGTTTTCCAAAAAAACTTCACTCACAACACTCGCGCGCGAGTCGAATGTCTGCCTTCTACTCACTGGCTGACTATTCGGCAACGAAGGACCATGTACAAATTCAAAGCGGTTGTATTTTGGGTCCGTGAGGTTAATTGAAATATACAAGGTTGCTATACAAAGCTAAAATGAAATAATTGTAGAATTTGTATTTATGTCTATGATAATAAAAGCCTTTTATTAAACTTTATCTAATTTAACTTTATTTAACCAAGTTCTGTAAAGTTGCATATAGTAAATTATTTTTTGAAAAATAACGTCATAAAAAAGTTTCACTTCTTACGAGTGTACGCTTGTACACGCACACATTTTTTTTATACGTGATGGACAAATGCAATAATAATAATATAATAATATAATAATAATAATAATCTTTATTTCAGACAATACACAAAATTAAGTACATTGTCCATAGTTTGTTAGTATTAGTAAATAACATTGTGACTTAAATCTAGGTAAGTAAAGTATTATTAGTAAACATTAAGAAATTGCGTATTATTATTTTACCAGACCTATAGCAACTGCCACCCAGTGTTGCTGGAAAGGACAGTCAGGTCTGTCAGCAATCATTTTCAGAATGCTGTTGCCACTAGTACGAAGGCGCTGCAGCAAAGAGACCGCTGTTTTACGCATAATGGCGTGGAAGCCATCAGTTTGGGCGTCAGCAAACATTTTAGACGCGCTGCAGCGCCACGACAGTCCCATCAACATCCTGAAGGCGTTGTTATATTGCACTCGCAGGGAATTGAAGGTTCGGCGCGAATATGACACCCAAAGACCGCTGGAGTAGAACGAGTGACAAAATGCCTTAAATAAGGTAATCTTGACACCCGCAGTACAACGAGCGAATCTTCGGGCAATCATATTGCTCCTCACTGCCAACGCCCTGCGCTCCCTGTCTATATCATCATCATCCCTTAGGTCGCTTGTGACAATGTGACCCAAATACTTAAAACTATTCATAATACTCAATGGTACATTGTTGAGAGATATTGATGGCACACAACGCGGCTTCTGCTTAGGAGACCGAAAAACGAGAATAACGGACTTTGCAGCATTATATTTTAAGCCGTGTTCAGTCACATACGTCTCGCAAACGGACAGCAATGTTCTCAAACCATTTATCGATGGACTAAGCAGCACCATGTCGTCGGCGTAACTAATATTATTGACACAGGTACCATCGATGTGACAGCCAACATGAGAGCTGCTTAGCCGTTCTACAAGCTCATTAACATATAGGTTAAAAAGCACAGGCGAGGTTAAGCCGCCCTGCCTGACACCGCATTCCATTTTGTACTCGTCAGACAGCGCTCCGGCCCACCTCACCTGATTCCTCTGGTTCGCATACCAGTACTGGAGAAGGCTAATGTATTCCGCCGGTACACTCGTGCTCCCTAGCTTTTCCCAGAGCCTGTCATAAGCGACTAAATCAAACGCCTTTGTCAAGTCTAGGAAGCACGCGTACACCGACGTTCTTCTCGTCGTATAGTACTTAACAGTGTGCTTTAGGCTAAGAATGGCACTCTCAGTCGATACTCCCGCTTTAAAACCGTACTGTGCATCGTGTATACTGATATGTTCTGTTAGGAAACCGTTCAACACACTGTCAAGCACCTTGGCCGCCGTGGTAGCCAGAGAGATGGGCCGGTAGTTTTTCAGATCTGACGTATCACCTGTCTTGTTCTTAATAATGGGTACCACGATAGTCGTCATTAGCGCCGCAGGTAAATAAGAATGGCCGATGCACAGAGTGAAAAACAATGATAAGACTCGAGGAAGATGGACTCCCGCATGCCTGAAATGTTCGATGCTGAGACCATCATGACCAGGAGATTTACCGCGCTGCATTTTTTTGATTATTTTTGCGATCAACTTAGCAGGTATTTTGTGATTTCTCCCGGCTCTGACGGCCCCACCACCGCTCATCAAGTGCCTCGCAGGACCCAGTGGTGACTGCACAGTGAAATTTTCCCTAAAATATTCAGCAATTTGCTTATGGTCCTGAACGCCACCAATAGTCACCGGCTGACTGGGTCTAACATTTAATTTTTTTGTGTTATTCCAAAAAGCTTTAAAATTTTTATCTTTATGATTGGATGCCAAAAGATCCATTTTAAGCTGCTCCTGTCTCTTTTGGCACCATCTCAATTTATCTTTAAAATACTTCCGTGCCTCCACCATCTCTTTTAAAATCGAACCACTGACCGGTCGACCCGCCAAAATCCATAATTGGTATTTAAGCCGAGCCTCACGGTGTGGTTCTGCTACATATTTATTCCAGCCCGTCACATAACCACCTTTTCTAGGACACCTAACTCTGTATGTTTGCATGGCCGCTTGTGATAAAATATCTACCATATTTGAGTACAAATTGTCAATAACGAGTTGGTGTTTTTTATTATTACAAAAGGTGTCACAACATTCAACCAAATCCTGCGGAAAATCGATAAGCTTCAACCCAGAGTTACAAAGTTCATGATAAGCACTTATTTGCTGCAATCGTCTATCTCCCCATAAAACACGATTAACCCGCAGAGGTACTGACTCGTTAACTCTGGGTTGAAGCCTGTCTAGATTGCATTCTATAATAAGTGGTAAGTGGTCAGAACAAAAAACATCATATTGAACAGCCACGCGAATGACTGCCTCCCTTGCCGATTCAGTGATAATACAATGGTCCAACCACCTTTTACAACTATGTGCATCACTGTAAAAAGTATGTGTATCTTTTTTACACATTAAGATGTCAATGCATAACCAATTTTGATCTTTACAAAAATCTATCATCTCATTATAAAAACAGTTCATTAGGATGCGCATTATAATCTCCTAATAAGTAAAACGCCTCTATGCCGTTGTTCTCTTCTACTTCAATAATAGACCGAATCACACCAAGACACTCCGTAAATAGATAAAGATTGTCATAGTTGTCAGTAGGCATATAGATGCTAAAAAATACAGTGGATCTATTATTTACAGTAACTTTGATTGCACATACCCGCACATGATTGCAGTTCACAACAGACACCGACTCAAACGCACTTTTACGCCATAACAGCGCCACACCTCCATACGGTCTGCCTTTAAGTGGCCCCGTCGTAGTGTCGACCGCAGACGTTCCGGTGCACCCGAAGTCTTCGTCAATCGTGTTTAGTAGGGGTAGATCGTGAGGCAGCAACCAGGTCTCCTGTAGGGCCACCACATCGGCTGACCGGCACAGAGACCTAACATCCTCCATAGATCTCTTTACGCCTTTACAATTAAAACTTATTATTTTACTGATTTTATCCATATTAAGTTAGATTTATTTAGTTCCTATTACTATCAAGGTCTTCAGTGTGCTGCTCCTTATCACGAAAATTAATAAAACGCCTGAAAGATATACCAGCCGGCCACAATTTGTCATCTAAGAATTTACTAATCTTGTATTTGCTAATAAAAACTTTGAAGGCGTTATAGTCTCTTTCCCGGTTCATTTTAATTTTTACCAAAGTTACTTTTTCCTGTGTTTTTTCTAAGATGTAGTTTACAATATCTTGTTCAGAAACCTCCTTGTGTACATTGGATATAAACAACGGCACCTTTGTGTCCGCCGCCTTAAAATTAAAACCCTTATCCGTAGAATCAGCAGACACAGCGCTTCCTCTCTGGCTAATAAAACGGTTTTTTAACCTTCGTCTCTGCATTAAAATCCATTCGTCACTCCGTTTTGGTTCCTTCCACTCACCTTTTTTCTGAATTATCTCCGAAAAAGATGCACGTTTATTATTGATACCACTCTCATTATTTACAACATTCATCTGCCGATTGCAATGTATTTTAACAGCTGATTCATTCAAATGTACAACAGTGTCATTTACGTTTGCCGGTATACTGCGTAACTCGCTCTGACTAGCCGCCTCTTTCGTACAAACGATGCTACGGTACTCGTTCACTTGCGCTAGCGGCTCCTGCAATGTCTCTGTCGTACGCGTCTTATCAATGCGTGATGAATGTAAATAAGGAGCAGATTTATTTTGCGCTTGATGAGAAAGAGACAGCCTCTGGTTATTATCTTCGCATATGAATTTAGACGATTTATTGCATGACGGTGTAAGCGTCATAGGACCGCTCTCAAATAAATCAAGTTTACCCGCACCACTTCTCCGCATATTAACATTAAGCTCTTGATTTGAAAAAGAACAACAGACGGGTTTATGAGTTTCCGAGATAATATTTTGTAGTTCATCCCTAGTAATGTATTGGCGCTGAATGTCCTGTAGAGATTTTTCCATTAGAACTATTTTCTTTAATAAAGGGGTTACATCTACGTGATCGAAGGTAACTGGTGGTAATTTTTCTAACCTTTTAGCCACGAAGATCGGTATTTTCTCTGGATCAGTTTCCTTAAACAGGCAGATAATATCCTCAATATTCCTTAGCATCTTCCCATTTCTTTTCCGCGTCTTTGGCCGCTTACTGACAGATTCAAATAACAGCGATTTTGCTGTTGCGATATCTTCATCAGTAAACGCACTTTCACAAATCTGAATTAAACTTAACTCGTCCATGACGTCCAACTTGTTTTGTACGAACGCCAATACTTCACATATTACCAAATTACATTGGGAACACTTTAATCTTTTAGATACATCTTCCATTTTCACAGCGGTCGCGACCGGTACATGTACTTGCGGTCGAATATGCCGCGCCGTCGCCTTATTTATTTTTATTAAAATTGTAAGTTAGACAAATTTAGTTTTATAAAGATTATAAAGGTTCAAATAAATAGCACCATACCATTTTGTATTATATAAATGGTCTTCTGATGAACTGTAGTGACGGTCCTGACGGTGAGACCGTTCCCGCCACTTTTGATATTTTCCATAAGCACCTCCTGAGCTGCCCTTTGTTCCCTTGACCACTTGGCTGCCTCCTCTGCCAGGATTTGGCGACTCACTTTGCCTTCTGATTGCAGCGACTAAAGAATATGTTTTTGACGCCTTTGAATACTTTTTAAAATCATTTTGTCTCAAATAAATGTATAGTCGCGATTTTATTATACCACAAATATTATGTATCAAAATACTTACTTGAGGTGGATTCTCCATTATCACATGAGGCCGACCAAGTGTATGTTGCCATATAAGTTGTGCCGCAACCTTGTGCTTTGAGCTATGATGAAGCGGTTGAATCTGCAGTATGCCATACCAGGCTAATTCTCTATAGACGCTATCAGGAAGGTAGCCAGTCTAGCAAAATGCGTAATATAATGAATAATTTAAACAACTATTTCTAAAATTTTATGAAATATTGTGAACTCTTTAAATTACCGGCATGAAATCCATGTGCCACTGTAAACAAAAACGCAAGTTTCATTCATCGCAAGGGTTTCATTCATTGCAAAGTTGTATTGTGATACAATATTAAAACAAAAAATGCCAAACCTCTTCTTCGCCGGCTTCCGTTCTCCCAAATTCTGCAGAAAAGATTTATTATTTCGATTAAAATGATTTATTTATTTTATTACACCCATCGTCATAAAATCATTTATCTACTATAAAGTTACAACAAATCTTTATTCACATATAATTTGGATATAATATACTCATATAGACTAATTTTATACGTACCTTCGTCTTCATTTTGAGCAAGCAGATGATTCACCTTAAAATAATTTTAAAGAATTAATAAATATGAATCAAGGTTTTAATTAAACATATAATTATACATTGTGGGAACCTGAAAAAATATAAATGCTAAAAATATTTTCTTAACCAATATGTCCATTTTTTACTGCAAGTATTACAAAGTTAAGTGCACGTAAACCGCAGCAGTAAGAAAGTTTTCGTTTTGCCCTTAAAACCAATTATAATACGTTATCTTAAATTCTCTAACAAAGGTTATTAAATTTAATAGCCTGTTATTTTAGTTTTAACTGCATGATATAGCCTCCCACCATAATAAATCCCACCCGTGGATAGTCCAGTACCATGGACGTCCTTGACTCTAAAAAAATCAGTCAGCTCAAATTCAGCCAGCACGTGACTCGGGTCTCGAACCGGGCAGCCTTCGTACTTAGTCACCTCTATCCACTACTAATAGCGGATAGCGGATCTTATATAAGACGTCAAAAATGCCCCTGCGGAACAAGGTGACTACGTCGAATCCACCACCTGACATCCTAATCCACTAGTCGTATGTGTCGTCACCTACAAACCCCTACCACTAGGTACGATCCGCCGCTTTCCCTGACGATGCGACGACTATCACCATCGGCAGGATTAAACAGTTACGCAAACACACCGCACTCGCCGGTGATTGCGGCAAACACATACTAGGTTCCGCCACATACCTGGCAGATTTTCCCCTGTCAATGATAGAAGCGTTGCTGGAGTTTCTTTCGCCACTTCTGCTCCCAGCGCCAACGCTTTCCGAAGTGGTAGTAACGATAGCTATAGAAATCCTTCTAGCCAGACTTCAGCTACCGATCGAGCCAAGATTCGGTGTTCTCGGCAGGGATCAAAATAACGGTAAAATACAGTAACGTTATCTGGGCCAGTGTGCGATAACGTTATTTTAAAGAGAAACGATATTGTGCAAAGCTTTGCAGGCGCCTATCGTTATAATTGCGTTACGTTACATTCATAAATTAAACGTTTCTAAAATATTGTTATAAAAATAATAACGTTATTATTTATTGTTCTATGCCATCTCTTTTACTCAAAACTGTTTACTCTTTTTTGCGTATGTTCTTTCTCTTTTATCATATGTTCTATCGCGCTTATATTGTGGTCGTCGGTACAGCAATTCAACTAATAGAAAATTTTGCTTAAGTTACTAGGAATATGAGAGGTAAAGGTAGTATTATTTCTTTTGCGGGCATCTTTCTTTGCTATCTATCGCTGGCGTTCACTTAGCGTTTTCATCTAGGGACTTTTTTGAGATAGTACATAAAAACATAATTTAAGTGCTAATGATAAAATGGTGTGCAGGTACAAAGTAGTTAATTGGCAATTTTCAAATGTTATGTTATGTTAAATGCTTTCTTTTAATATGATTTTATGCATTATAAAGTTAATAATTCTGATTCGATTTTTTGTTGCATTTAAAATCGCATGTAGGACATTTTGATCCCTGGTTGGATCCCCGCTCCCATGACGCCCGCCTTAGAAATAAATAAGTTTGGCAACGTTGCATATTTATCGTTATAATAACGTTAATGTCTCTGTAATAATTTCGTACTGTTACTCGTATAACGTTCTAAAAAAAAAATTGAAACGAAATGTTTTCTGAGGTACCGATACCATTATAACGTTATGATATCGCTATAAATTTCGTTATGCATAACGTTTTCAAAAAGTCCCTGGTTCTCGGGCACCCTCGAATCGGAATGTAAAACGGATATTGAGTGACAGCCCAAGCCGAGGCGCCTGAGCCTAGTTACTCCATGGAGCGTCCCAAAGCGACCTAAAAGCTTGGCGGCCTCCCAATCCGGTGAAATTAATAATAGCGTGATGGCTAGAACCGATGCTACCTCGGGTCACCCATGATCGAGGTATAGGCTAAGCACCCTGATCTGTGAAGGCCTCCCAAGGCCTCTAAAAAAAACATGGCTCAAACTCAATGCGTTCGCCGAATGCGAGATCTCTTATTTATTCGTGGCCACTTTTGAACCGGTTATGACGTGTTCTTCGGTGGTTACGTAATCATTTACGAAACTTTTTGCTTTGTACTTATCTTTATATAATATTATATATAATTCTTCTTTACTTTGTATATGTCACTGAACTCCTCCTAAACTCCCCAATTACGCTCCACTACAATTTTTTTTTATTTCTATGTCGTCGAATTTAAGTCGTGTTTACAGGACAAAGTCTGTCCGGTCTGCTGTACTAAATAAATCTTGTGTACATTTAAATGGTTTAATTCTCGTATTTTTTTATGTAAAGTAACTGTTATGTGATTAATTCGACGTTAATAAGTCTCGTAATTAACTCCTACTTAAGTAAGGCGATTTTCCATATCGTCTACAGGGGTCGATGAGTTGCAGCGGACCAGATATGTCTCATATAAATAAAAATCAAGAAGATGATATTGTTCTTTTATTTACATTCAACCATTACATTTTTTAAGACATTATTTTCATAGTTTTTTAAATCAATACAATAGAATAAGAATGACAGACATGTTCAAAAGCAAACGCTCATTAATGGCCAGGGTGTATCATTTCGTGTAAGTAGGTTATGTTAGCTCTTCAACAATGTCTCACTTCGACATAGGATAATATGAAAAAAAAATGCTGGATTGGAATGAAAGCTGGATTTAACGGAAAGGCGCGAAAAGGACTCTCTTAGCCGGCTTAAACAAAAATAATTAAATACTCTGTCTGTCGCGTGAAATTAGAAAGAGTGCTTCGAAGTTAGAGCAAGCTAAATCACACATCTTACCACGGGGCCTGGAAGGGGTCGAAGTCACATCCCTTACACAAAAAAAAATCATTGGACGTCTGGATCAAGTCTGGACGATATTCGGCATCTGTACTTCTCTATTGCAGATAATATATTTGACGTTTTTGTATCAAACAAGCTGATTATCTCGATTTGGGTGTAATTTTTCAGAATATTACTCACTGCTTCAGTGATCACAGAAAAGTTGTTAGTCATAGATAGAAATGAATACTCTAGATAAGCAATTAGCTGATCTACGAATATATGCTAATGAATTGGACGCGAAGCTCCAGGATGATATTAACGCCGCTAAAACGAAACCTTCAATTCCGCCTAAAAAGAGTAAAGCACCGAAGCCACAAATTCCACAAAGTTGCACGGTGAAATCAGCTTGTGAGCCCTCATATTCTTCAAGACTCGAATACGGTAGCCGCACGAGTTCCACGTACTCGAATTTGGTGCCGGTGAAGAGTTGTATAGTGAGAAATACGGCGAGGGTCCGAAGCGGTGATGTTCTATTATACAGCAATCTTTTACCTCCGTGCGGGACGAACCATGTTTACTCTAACATTCCCATGCAACGCGCATCTGAGAGTGTTTACGGTGACCGCGATACAAGATCTGAGTTGTCCAGAATCAGTGATTTAGGTGCGCAATCAAATTACAGTGAACTACGAAGACCTGGCTCTGCCTATCCTCCTTCTTCTGCATCCGTAAATGCACAAGACTTCTCTACATATGGTGGATCGCAAACCTCTTCGACATATGAATCTCTCTATGAACCGATAAATCCTAGACCTTGTAGCCAGTTATCTGGAACATCCATATATGGAGGCTATGTCGGGACAACCGAACCAACGCCCGAACCAGATGATGCACTGTACTGTGGGAACTGCTACAGATGTGGTGAGAAAATCATGGGTGAGACAACTGGTTGCACAGCAATGGAAAGAATCTATCACATCAAATGCTTCTGTTGTCAGCAATGTGGGATTAATTTACAGGTTTTTACTATTTTATTTTTATTATTAATTGATCTTATGAGATTATTTATTTTATTTTGAAAGAAAATGCAACTGCAAGTTTTTATTTATGGCTTTATAAATAAAAACTTGCAGTTATTACCTTGAAATTATTTTATTGTAGTTTGATATTTATCATTCTTACAAAACATGTGTTATTGATTTTTTTAACAATTTTCTTTTTTATTTTAGGGTCGCCCATTTTATGCAGTACAGGGTCGAGCTCTATGTGAAAGAGACTATCTAGATACTCTAGAAAAATGCTGTGTGTGTGGAGACCCCATATTAGATCGTATATTGAGAGCAACTGGCAAACCATACCACCCTCGCTGCTTCACCTGTGTTGTGTGCCAAAAGAGTCTTGATGGCATTCCATTTACAGTAGACGCGGTTAACCGTATCCACTGCATTGAAGATTTCCATAAAAGGTCATTATTCATATTTATTGTATAATGATGATAATTTATACAGTGTGTCGTTACAACCGCGACAATAAATGAACACACATAAGAACACACATAGAGTTATTAAATTTAACAAAACAAACATTTTTAGAACAGCCTTACGTATAAAACTGTAACGTAAATTTTATTTGTAAAGGTCACAAAAGCACTGCGTTAGATGGAGACTTGTAATGCGACATTTATGATTATTGGTAAGTAGTGTTTGTTCGTGTTGTAACATGTGTTCATTTATTGTCGCGGTTGTAACAACACTGTATATATCAAGTCTGTTTTTACATATATCCACAAGGGTCAGCTCAACATCATTTGTGTAAAAAGCAATATTGCTCTAAAACTTAGGAGGACAAACAAATAGAAATAAAGTAAAATGAATGTGAATCTTAGAAAACTGAGTATTTATATATAAGTCCACATCTTTAAATTTGTGGCAAATAGTTTATAATCTTTTTCAGACTTTTTGTAAGCCGTAATAGTCTTGTATTTTGTCCAGTGTATAGCAATTAACTCAATCCCTATCCCATTAGCATTGATCGTTTGTGATTATTCCTTGTAGTGTAAAATAACATAATTTCAGGTATGCGCCGCGCTGCGCTCTTTGCAGAGAACCCATAGTGCCTGAAGGTGGAGCAGAAGAGACGGTGCGAATTGTGGCACTAGACAAGAGCTTCCACTTTGCCTGTTACGCTTGTGAAGATTGTGGAGCATCTTTGTGTTCTAGGGAAGAAGGTAGAGGATGTTATCCTCTAGACGGACACCTGTATTGCAAAGAATGCAATGCCAGGCGTATACAGGATCTCTCTAGAAAAATTAAGTAATGATGTTGGAGAATGGATATTGAATGTTTTACATATTCTTAATATTTCCCATTATAAAGAAACAATGTTACTGTAGGTAGAGTTTTGATCTTCACAATGTTTGGATGCGGTTAAATAACAGCTTTGTAGAACTTTATGATGTCTATAGCTAGAAGTTTATCACATATATTGCATGCTATTGTTATGCAAAATTAATGTTACTCACAAAAGAGTTTAATAATGAAAAAGAACGACTACTACAGATCAAAATGTTAGATATTAAGATATAAAAAGTTGTGGATATTTAGTTTTTATTTATAATATATATACATATTTTTATGAGTGTTCCAAATGGATATTTGTAAAATGATATGGGTAGTTATATATTCTGAACTCCTCTCATTATAATCCGCCTATTTGTTGTATCTGAGTTCTTACAATTCTGATTTTAACTATACTTTTTGCCCAATTTCCAATTTAATATCAATTAATCTATTATGTATATTATAGAGTATTTTATAATTTTCTTTTCTTTATTTAAATTCCATTCAGCTTTTGAAATAAATAAGCTTTTTTCTATTATCATAAAAATGTTTTCAATAATTTAAGATGTAAAGAAACATTAGTCATTGTTAGATTTGTAGAAATATGATAATGGTGACATTCCTTTTGCATTTATTTGTTTTATCTATTTAAAGGCTGTGTTCACACACAGTAGAACCAGATGTTTTTCATTCAGTATTAATATCAAAGGATTTTTGTGATGTAAAATATACAGTGCTGTATTTGTTTTTAGGTATTTTAATGTAAGGTTTTTTTTTAATGTAAATGGTGCCATTTAGTGATTTTTAGGTTGTGTATTATTTTTTACATGTTTACATTAATCTAGCTTGTACCTGTAGCGTACTTAAATATTGTGTAAAACCATTAAACTAACTACACTATATACAAATGTTTATTTTATTAGACAGTAGACACCAAATTTAAGACAACATTCTATCCAAAAAGTGTAATGTAAAAATTGTTGTAAGTGGCTTGTACCTCTTTCGATATTCCCTATTTATTATTTCAAATAGTAACTAAATCACAATGGTAATTTACAAAAAAATAAATTTTCATGTAAGCAGCCATAAGCACTCACCAATATAGTTGAGACCAAAAAAGTTGCTCTTATTAATACCGACTACTTTAAAAGGCTCAAGTTGCCAAAATTGCAAACTTTTTTAACTTATTATATCAGCTTTTAGCTCAGTTGTTTATTCACCTTTTGACCTGAAACCATGTTATGTTCTGACCAAATTAGGAACCGCAAGAAAATCCAGTACACTGCTCTACTCCTAACAATCTAGATACAAGTGTTTCAAGTTCATGGGAATCTAGAAAACTCAGAATAATCATTCTGGCACCATCTGTAAGTCAATTGATAGAAACAGGAAGGAAATGAGGGGGATTATATCATTAGAGATAAAAAATAAAAGAGATACCGTAAACTCGTCAATTTTAACTTTTATTCTGCATACACTAACATGTACAACTCATCCTTATCATCCAAAGCGCTGGACACCACTCGGTCACATCGAAATTCTAAACTACGCTTAGCAATAACAAGAAGACTTTGGCTCCTTTTCAAAAGTAGAAACAATAAAAACAACACTTCATTGGATTTCGACACTCATTAGAATATAGAAAAAAAAGCAAATGCATAACCAATACACTGCCTGTTGACCAATTTAAGATATACCTACACAAACAAAAAAAAAACAAAAAAACATGCTTATATTAGTTTTTTTTTCTCGAAATAAATTTAAGCCATGGAATTTAATACAAGTTTCGGTATATTACTTTTCTTCTCAAATTTAAGCAGTTTTGGTGCAAATAAGTTCGAAACAAATCACAAAGAGAACTATTGATTGAGTAATGCTTAATTAGTCGACAAGCTTGTACCAAATTATAGCCCAACAACTTGCACACTCCATATGCAACAGCAAGTATCACATTTCCTTTTCGCTTAAAATTAGGTGAATTTTATACTATAAATAAAAAATTAATCTGACTGTACAGTGTACGGTAAGATTGAGGTTCTGAAGGCCTGTACATGTATTAAGCGTAATCAATAAAATTACAAATGACGTATCACACGGTTAGGGCAACCATTTGTGTACATATATTTCTCGCTTTCTCAAGTAAAAGGGAAGTTTAATTCAATAAGGATGTCCAACACAGTCCAAATGTAAAAGAAAAAACACTGAAATGCTGAATTCTATTTTTTTTTATACAAAGAAAAAACTTGAGAGAAAACTCTTACAGAGATTCCAAGTGTTAATCTGCAGACAGTCTATATGTTGCTATTCAGTGCCCGTTAAACAGTTATTTACATTTCCGCTTTGCGTTACCATGGGGCTATAAAAACTACTTCTTAGGAGCTAACTTACATTTATAACTATACACACTAGAAATACATTTCATATTTAGCATCCATCGTCTAAACATTGAGTGTCGAATTTGACTTGAAAATTAATCTGAATATGGGTTTGGAAACTATTGTTGATGACAAATTGCTTTGTTAAAAACTATGTTTAATTTAAACGGTGTCAACTTATTAATATAAAAGCAAAGTTGAAATTATTTTGCTGGCGGTTGTTGGTCTAAGACTAAACAATGGCTCTAAAATAACTTGTTCTTTTTCCATAGTTTAATTATATACTCATTAACATAAACAAAAAGTGCACCCTCTAACACCGTTAAACTCAAATATCCCTCAATAACATAAGAAGATTATATGTTTTATGACAAAAACTAAGCTTTTTGAACTGTGCGAGGAATGTAAAGGGATTGGTTTAATTTACATTGGGCTCACTAACATTTGTACACATTTGTCTAGTAATGGAAAGATACTATCATACAATATTTACACAATCGTGAATTACAATACAGGACTTATATTCCAAATCTTAACAATATATAAAGCTTTCACAGTTAAAGTAGTACCCAGTTTTTACTGCGGTAGTCACACAACAACTTCACGTGTTGCATGAATGCTAGTCTGGGGAAGTACCACTTGGTACTTCCCAGAGTGAACATATTATTACTTTCTCGTTTCCTTCGGTGAGTTATGTAACTAGATGCAAGGTCGACAACACACCTGCTGGTTGCAAACATTGTCCATGTCTATGGGCGACGGCAATCACTTATTTTCATTTCGTTCACTGTCCCATTTCATGACAATTAAGATGCAAAATTAAATATCATATTATGCTTAAACATTTCATCTGGTTCAGTTTCGTTCATAAGGTGCTCACTTTGCAATTTTTCACAAAGTTATTTTAATTCCAGGTTGCCTTGGAAATATTACACACTCAAAATTTATTTATAGCATAATTTTTATCAAATTTAGAAAAATATGATGCAGGTAATTTGTTTAGGTTATTACTTGTTATACCATTTTTGCATTATCTCTTATACAGCGTGTCTTTACAATCGCGACAATAAATTAACACACATATAGAGCATAACTTTTTAAAATTGTATTAAACATTTACGTTCTTTAAACATCAATAATTACAGAGTTATTAAATTTTCCAAAACAAAGAATTTTAGAACACCTTACATATAAAACTGTAACGTAAAGTTCATTTGTAAAGGTCACAAAGCATTGAATGGGTTGAATGAATTTAGAAGAAGCTTGTAATGCGATGTTGTGGCAATGAATGAAAAAGTCTCTGAATGTATGAATCACTCAGTTGTAGTTGTATAGGATGTTACTAATTTTCTTTCTTTTTTACTTAATTAATTTGTTTGAAAAATAGTTTTTTAATTATGGATTTTTTAACGTTAATATTTTTTTATGATTACTGGCAAGTAGCGTTAGACGTGTGTTAATTTATTGTCGCGGTTGTAACGACTTGCTGTATATTGTGAAGTGCTGTTATACATTTTTATTTAACAAGGCACTAGACTTTTAGTGGGCCACGCAGGGGTGCTAATCCTTGTGTGATCGTGTCTATAATATTTTCCTAGTTTCATTACAAAATATCGGAAATCAAATAACCATATCAAAATATCAATTTTGAGGCATATTAGAAAAAGAAACGCAAAGATGTGTGTTAAACAGTTTACTGTTCCACACAAACATTCTTTTGCGTCTTAAATATTAACACTAATGCTATTATCTTAGTTTTATATTGTTATTTTTTTGTCAATTTAATATTACCTAACTGCTATCCTTTGTGTATGTGACTGTGAGTTCATTATTTTGTCTGTAACAAGCGCTTTGTAAAAATAGCTTTAATTATTTCCTTTGAAAAAAAAAACCCAAATTGCACTACAATTTTTAATACTTTTTAATATTATCATATTTTTATTTAAGATGAAAAAAGTGTAATCAATCAAATCATTAAGAAATGTAGTATAGTAACATTCAAAGTATCATTAATAGAAAATAAAAAAAACAATAAAGGGGGTCGGTCACATTAATCAGGTGATGTTATTTTAGTATTTTTTTTACAACTCCCCCTTGTGATACTTGGTAAGGTTTAAGACTAACCCAATGCCTATTCAAAATCACATTTTTTTTATTACAAGGTATGAAGTTTTTAAAATATCTTAAAAATACAGGTAAATATAATCTAGTCATGCTCACACACCCCCTGAGATTTTTGATGGACCCCCTTCCCCCGTTTCGATCCTCACGTGAATAACGGACAATCCCAAAGTAATAGCTTAAAATGTTCGATTTCTGAGTGATAGGCGATAGTGGCATGACCCACATTTCACATTATCCATAGTACAATAGAAGATTTATGTAAATAGGGGGGAAATTAATATCTTTAAATATAAAGGTATATTGAGTCTATTTCTGATGAGAATGGAACAAATTTTTGTTCTGCTTGGTTTTATTGTACTATAGAGTTGTTAAGCTTCATTAGAATATGTTACATACAATATCCCCATTGAAACATTGCCTTTTCAGACTTTTTTTGTTGCTCAAATTGGTGGGTCACTGATGTTTTGACAGTTGATGAAAAAAAAAAAACATCACGGTAAACTACTTTTCAGATTCACATGTTAATAACAAACAATTGACTAAGGGCCTTCAAGATCAAGGAATACAATGGTAGTTGGAGACAGTAAAGACAAGCCCTTGTTAAAGAATATCTTTTACCGCAAGAATTTTGGCTTTAAAAACCTCATTAATTCCACAATCGTCTCTCGCATTTTCGAAACAGTAGGTAGTTCGCACTGATTTACCATCCATTTCAATCGTACTCACTTTCATCTGAAAGCGCTCTTTCGCCTCTCGCCCCTTTCGGGTCCCGGGTTCCATTCCGCGTCGTCCGGGTCGTCCCCGTCGAAAAGGAGCGGGGAGAGTGGCGATAGGGTGCTCGCGTCGTCCATATCCACCTCCTCCTCGAAGTTGTCCAGCGGCGAGAGCAACGGAGAACTGCCCCAATTGGAGGGGCTCGTGGGGCGATACTCCCGCGGCATGCTCGACAGCATGTCCTGGTATGTGAGCTCCGTCAGCGGGAACTGGCGCGGCGAGTATGGTCTCACTGTCTGAAATAATAAGAAAGTTGATTATTTGTCATGTTCGCTGTGTTAGTAGTCAGACAATGGGAACGGTTGACGTGGTTAGTGAACACGTGGTGATGCAATAAGAGTTGCTCAATCACCGAAAAAATGGAGATTTAAAAGTAGTTATACAAAATTATTAGTAATTTTTACTTGTTACTTCGGCCGTTTGCTGCTTTTCCTTGAAATAGTCAAATGATTTTTGCTTACTATTACTGTTTTATAAGTTATCACAATTCATGTCCTGCATAAGCTAACATAGCGTTAAAAATGAGATGTATAACAGAGTTTTAAGATCTTAAATTTTTTTTTATTACAAATTTTTTTTATGCCAAATTTTGTATAAGTATTTATCGCGTTTATTTTTAGTCGTTCGTCATTTCGTCATTCATGGTCACAGGACAGATTGAGGCGATGAACGTACGAGTGTGATTGTTAGTCCGGTATACCGCCAGTTTTTGACATAATCAATTTTTGTGTCGATCTACACTGAACATGTTAATTTTATCTTGTCTTGCTGTAGTGGTTAGCATTTGGGCCTAGATTTAATTTTATTAATGATCCCAAGCCGATGGTCGCACCCAACCCTCGAACTTGAGGGGTTGATCCCCTCGGGTCGCTCGATTATATTGAATTAAAGGCGAGCACCAAGACAGTGAGCAAACACGGCTACTTAACACTTTGTGTTCATTGAATAAATCAAAATACTAGCCTCGTGCGGTTGGTGGGTCGGCGAGGCATTGTGTTGGGGCGCTGCTGGATGGGGCGGCGAGGCGGGCTGATGGGGCGCCGCCGCCTGGCGGGGCGACGCGGGATGGGACGAGCTCGCCCCCCGATGGGGCGAAGCGGGATGGAGGGGCGCCGCCTGATGGGGCGAAGCGGTATTCGCCTCCTCGTGCTGGGAGCGACGTGAGCGCTGCTTCCGCATGTAACGGCTGCGCTCGCGCGTCTCGGCGCGCGAATGCCGGGCCTGGACTGCCGCCTCGGATATGTCCTCTTCCTGCATAACAATTTTATTGGAGTAAACGTCATTATCATCATCATTTCAACCTGTTAACGATCCACTCCTATACATAGGCCACCCCATAGACCAAGAAAAACGATCCCAGCCTGCATCGATCATCGACTTCCCCGCACATTTGCTCGCAAATTTTAAATGAGATTTTGTTATAAACTTGTCAATTACTGTTTAGAAAATGTTTCAACGTTTTTCTATAAAACCATAAAAACAGAAACAAACAAACATGAAAACAGCAGTAAAGTAAACAAGACCATTTATAGTAGAACTGAAATGTGTATGTATATCTATTAATCAAGTTAAAAAAATTCATAACAATTTAAACATTCACTGCATATTGACTATTGTTGAAAGTTTGCGTCCAACAAATAAGTAGGTATAGAATAGAATATTTTTCTCATTTGTTTCAGTGGTGTTTTGTTTAGTTTCACATTAACTTTAGGAATCTTTTATATACAAACTTATGTTGTCTCTGCGATTGTTATTTATATATACATACATTCATATAGAATGTTTATTTTAATTAGATTCCCATTCAGGATAGATTAATTATAATTATTATTATGTGGGCCGATTCCCGGCGGCACTGCAATGCCGAGCCGACCCGTGACGGGAGTGGAGCGAGCCCCGAACATCCCGTCGTTTCACAAAAATCAGTTTAATATACTGGTCCCGCAGTGCGGGAACTTTCAGATATTCAGCTGAAAAGAACAGATACTACACTTTGATCTTAGCCAAAAGGCCGAGAAGCGATACCAAATCCTCGCAGCCGAGGGCTCTTATGCGCGGCGAGAAAATCTCAACAGCGCGTTCTAGAGAATGGCTGGCAATCGAACAGCGCCATCTATCCTAATCACGCGTCAACTTCCGACTGAGCAAACTCTAACGACGTAATGCTTTTTTTTATGTTCTATCTACAAGAAACATTATTAACTATAATACTATGTATTAATTATACCTCATAATTATGACCAGATGATTATACAATCAAACAATAGTGGCATAGTAGTTGTTATTTACTAAATATTTACACATTTGAGCCAACACTGTATACTTTTTTAGACAATAAAACTTATTGCTGCATATTTTCGCTTACATTTTTCCTGTAGTAAGTTATGTACACAGAGTAAATATTATAACATAACTCACTTTGTTGCTAGTTATTGTTTTAAAATCTTTCATAGACTGTAAAAATACTGTTTGTAAAAGTTTTAAGACTACGTAAGTTTTAAGTACTTCTAGATATTATAAAAAATAGAAATTGGTATCTGTGATTTACTTCAATTCTTCAAACTATGTCAAGTAAATTAACTAAGTAACATATAATATATATCATATATCATAACATTTAATGCAGATTCAATTTGACAGACTTGAAAGACCAGAATTAAAAATATTTCAAATAGTTCATTTGTTATATTTACATGTATGCTTACCTCACTCTCTATGGACATTCGATTTGACTTCATAACACCATTATTTAGCGGTACTTCAGGTATCTCCATTACCCTCCATCTGTGAAGTAAAAATTTACCAATGAATGTAATTATTGAAAAAAATATAGATAACTCAGAACATGTAGGATACCTTTATAAAATGATAAGTTATCTAAGGGCAGACTGCATGTATCACATACCTAATTGAAGAGGCAATATCTTATTCCAAATGTAATTATATCATATGGACTACAAACACACCTGCATCATCATACACTGGAACATGAGTTCCAGTAGGTGTTGTATGCACAAAAAATCATTGGACTCACTTTGGGGTGATAATTTCCTTGTAGGTGAGAATCTCCGGCCTGGTGTTGGCCGCGATGCTCTGCGGGATGACGATGTTGTCGATGTCGTACGAAGGCCTACGATGGGCGCGCGTTTCTGTGCTAGGTCGGCCACGCGGCTTGCTGCAATAGAACGAATTTATTCTCGAGATTATATTTTAAAAAGATTACATTGCAATCTTTGAGAAAATAATTCATTCTCAATTATCATAATTTCAGCCTGTTCGAGTCCACTACTGAGCATAGGCCTCCCAAATATAACGCCATTAAGCATAATACGTCATTCCAAAAAAAGTTATATATTTGAATCTTCAACGTAAATGGCCGAATGCAACTCGTGATGGGCAGCGTTCGAGAAACTTCGGCATATCTTCTCCTCTAATATCCTTCAATGTTTGAAGACCAAAGTCTTCAATCATATTGTGTTGCCAGTGATGACCTACAAAACTGAGACTTGGTCATTAACTGCTGGCCGTATAAGCTTAAAATCGTTCTGCAAGCTATAGAGTGAGTTATGCTCAGTATTTCTCTGTGTGATAGTGTTCGCAATAAAGTCATTCACAGTAGAAAAAATGTTGCTGACGTAACTCAAAGGCTTAGTAACCTGAAGTGTTTATTTTTGGTAGGACCAAGCAATAGCTTCGGCTGTTGCACGAATGGGCAGGTCCATCCGTGTAAGTACCAAGACCTCACAGAAGACTGGCGCGAAGTGGATGTGATACTTCTTTATTTCGTCTGGTGAATGAGGTTACTGGAGCCCTTAAACAACATGCATGTGGCAACGCATCTGCAATCCTATGGGCGTTGCAAATGTCAATGGGCGGTGGTTATCACTGAATACTAGGTGAACTGACAGCTCGCTTGCTACCTTCTCAAATACAAAAAAAAATGGCAATGGCATATAGCATGAATAACCAATAACCAAGAAAGGTTCTCAAGTAGCCTCGTATCGGTTGTCTTACAGTAGAACAACCCCCCACTAGATGGAGTGATGTCCTGTGTAAGTGTGCATTTTCAAAAATATAAAATTAACCACATCTCTTCAAATTTGTATGCAATATCAGCTGTTAAGTTTTACATACAATGTGCATATAATGTAATGGACATAACTTCAACAGTCGTTTATTACAAATAACAAAAATAGGCAATTGCATATAGCATAAAACATGTTTAAAATCAAATTTGATTCCAAGAAAACAAAATTCTAATTGTCATTAGTGTTTATAATTGAATTATTTGAACTGCAAAGTACCAGTAATAAAAGATGAACTAGCAATGTGACATGTGTTTTTAATAATAACACTATGTGGGGCATTCCACGCGACCCGACAGGTAAAAAAAGTTGATGTTTCCGATTTTAGTAATACTTGACTATGTTATACCTATATAGGTATAACATAGTCAACAGTAGTAACATTGTCCTCAATCAAGATACAAAATATTTTTACAGTATAAAATGTAGTTTACGATGCTCTCGAGCTCTCTTAAGCTTTAAAAATGTGACTTACTGGCCGGTATGCACTACTTCGATTCCAATTATCGGTTATTAAATAATGCACGTAAGCTCATTAAATTACGCATTAAATTTGATTACTTCATTTATTTCCATTTATATTTTTAATACCCGATAATGGGCTTCGAAATAGCGGATACCTGCCGGTTAGTGACATTTTTAAAGCTCTCTAAATCGTAAACTACATTTTATGCTGTAAAAATATTTTGTATCTGGATTGATGACATATATAGGTATAACATAATCAAGTATTACTAAAATAGAAAACATCAACTATTTTTACCAGTCCGCTTCGCGTGGAATGCCCCATGTAAGACACATAATCACTGCCTTCAAGGGCACTTGTTTCAAATTGATCACCACAGTGTTTGCCAACCTATATATTGTCAAAATTATAAAACTAAATTGCATAATGCTAATAAAATTTGACATTCGCATTTATGTGGTATAATGGAACTGAACGGTAAGATTATTAATATTAATTTCGTATAAATATAATATTTAATCTAAATTATAGTACCATGTAACTTAAATGGTATTATTATATGATGTTCTGGATAACATTTTTTTCCATGACATTGTATACAGCGTGTCGTTACCATCGCGACAATAAATGAACACACGTCTAACGCTACTTGCCAATAATCAAAAAAAAATATTAACGTTAAACAAAATCCATAATTAAAAAAAATATATTTTTCAAACAAACTAATTAAGTAAAAAAGAAACAAAATTTGTAACATCCTATACAACTCGCGCCACAGCGTCGTATTACAAGCCTCTCCTTCTAACAGTATGTTTTGTCTCTTTTAAATTCATTCAACCCATTCATATGCTTTGTGACCTTTACAAATGAACTTTACGTTACGCTTTTATAGGTAAGGGTGTTCTAAAATTCTTTGTTTTGGAAAATTTAATAACTCTGTAAATATTGATGTTTAAAGAATTTAAATGTTTAATACAACTTTAAAAAGTTATCCCCTATATGTGTGTTCATTTATTGTCGCGATGGTACCGACACGCTGTATAACCAGTCTTTAATATACTTAGTGCTACAAAAAATTAATGGCTTTCCCACCTTTCTTTTCCAGATGCAGAATTTTCTTCCTCTCGTTCCCTCTCTTTGATTTTTCTGGATAAAGGGGGCCTTCCTCTTTTCAATCCTATTTGAAAATACAAATTTTAAAATAATTTGTTTATTATCAAATATTTATAACTTAAATTAGTTTCATACATTAGACAGATATAAAAGCATGTGTAAAAGTGGCTAAAAACTGGCCGGCAAACTAATGATACATAATGTTCTTATTAAATAAGTAGTTGGGCCCGCGACTTCGTTTGCGTGGAATTTAAAATAAAAAAAATTCTAAAATAAAAGTAGCCAAGTTACTCCTTATTATATCAGCTATCTGTTAGTGAAAGTCCCGTCCAAATCGGTCCAACCGTTTCAGAGATTAGCCGGAACAAACAAACAGACAGACAAAATTGGTAAAAAATGGTATTTCGGTATATGTACCGTGTGTGTATACATCCATATGCATTTATTAAAAAGCGGTTATTTTAATATTACAAACAGATAATTTTATTTATATGTATAGATGATGTACATAAAACATGGAAAATTTGTCACCTATTATAACTGGGATTCAAATCCAAGCTTTCCAGATTACCCGTCCAGATGCTAAATGTCTTCAGAGACTGGGACCAAAATTATTAGTCCTTTCAACACTGCCTCACAGAAGTTTCTATATCTCTTTTATAATGTACATTCCACCTTGTCTCAGATATACAAGCTATGTTATGTTGCCCTATTCGCACAGCTCTAGTGTTTGGCACTACATTCCTAGCCTCGGGACCCCCAACTCTTGTTTTTAGGGGTGCGGAATTATCCATTGCATGTACTAAAAAAATACGAAAAAACAATACCGCAAAAGTATCTTACAAAGTTACAGTAAGTAAAATTAGTGGTGACATAGGGTCTGACAGACTGCTGCCAAACTTTACAGTGGTGTAACTTAACTATTTGGGACTATACTACGCAACTATCCTTGTTTACAGTGTGGACACTAAATTCAAAGCTACTCAGGTGTTGAAATAAAGGAAGCGCGGGAAAATGGGTGAAATGATGTTTCATTGACTCTAGGCTAGGCTTGTGAGACCGCTTGAGAAAGTTTAATATGGGTAATTGGTAGAGTACAAATTAATTATCAACCAATTTAGGCAGAGTATAATAATAAATACCGTGACTATTAATAGCATAAAAAGATAATTATCAAAGATAATATCGTAATAATTATCTTTTCAAACACTAACGCAAATATAAATTCGTCACTCACTGGTGGGGTGCTTCCTCGTGGGGGTGGCGGTGTGAGGGGCGTGAGCGGGCTGCGACTGTTGGGGCTGGCTGGACTGGTGGGACTGGTGGGGCTGGTGCAGCTGGTGGGAGTGGTGCGCCACCCGCGGCGGCCCCGAGTGGTGGGCGCCGCGCCACGCCTTGTTGCAGCGCGAGCGGAACCACGCGCGCGATGACAGCGCGCTCATATGCACCGACGGCGATATGTCTGTGAACAATCATCATCATCATTTCAACCTGAGTACACCACCGTTGAACATAGATGTGGGGGAGCCACAGACCGCCACGAAGCGCGATCCTGAGCCATCTGCATCTATCGACTACACACATATTTGCACAGATCGTAACTCAATCTGATGTGGGGTTGTTGTCTGACACTATGATGGCCAGTTCTTCTCAGGACAGTGATAATGATGACTCTGTGGTGCAGTTGCCAAGGTATTGGCTTCGGTGTCGGGGGTCGTGGGTTCGATTCACACACGGGACAACTGTTTGTTCGCATCTGGATATTTGTCCGCGTGAAATTTATGTTTGTAAAATGTCCTTACAACACAGGATAATGTTATCCAAAAGTAAGGGTAATATTTTGAAAAAAAAAAAAAAAAAGAAAAAAAGAACAGTGGCTTACGTTTCCGAACCGGTGGTAGTATTTTGACTATCAATAAGCGAGTGTAATATGTAATTGTGTAGATTGTAATAAGCTTTCAGACTAAAACCTATTCAAAGGATAACCACCTATTTTTTATATCTCTCTTCAAAATAAGACTACCTTCTAAGTATAAGAAGTGGTTTGATATCTCAAAATGTAATTTGACAAATGTTTCTCTTTGGTGTTATATATCACCATGATATTTATACCTCTGACATCACTGAGCACTGGATGGTAGCCAGGATCGACCAAAGCCAGTCTCTGGGCGGCCGATAAAGTGGAGCAAGCTTGGGGTTGCGTCGCTTCAGCTCGCCCGGTGCATACAGCACAACTTTCCAGAGGCTGACGGCAGCTACATCTGAAAATTTTTATTTATTTATTATCAATACAGCAAGTTATAAAAACAGTATTAAATGTAGTGCCAAAAAACCATTACATAATTAAACTTGAAAGAATGAAACTGCAAATTAGGTAACGGTCTATAACATTTGGTAACTATATAACTGGTGTTGTACAGTTACCAACAGTTTTAACTGGTGTTACAGCAAGACTTAAATCCCAATCCAATTTGTATTTTCTGTGGTGATTCCGAGGAGACTGCTTCACATAAATTGTAATATTATTACAAAATTTGAATGCGATGCCCTGGTCAACATTAGGCGACTCCTAATGTTGACCAGGGCATCATATTCAAATTGCATGGACCTGAGTCATTAACCAAGGAACTTCTGACTAGCCCCTCATTAACTCTCAACTTCGTTAGGGTTGTTGGTTTTGGTGAAGGCTATCTAAATTGAAGGAAAAACTACAATAGATCTTCCAGTTGCATGCTTGTTATAATCATTGTCATAAGACCTAAAGCAATAAACAGTGATAACAATCACATTCATATCTACAACTAAATTACTCTCTTAAGCAAAAAATTGTTAATATAGTATCTAATATATGTCTCAATGATACATAGATCAACTTACTTTATATCAGAAGGTTTAGCAGCCTTTGGAGTGGCAATGTGTAGATTATGCATTTGAAGAAGCTTCCTTTTCTTAAAGGTATCCCTCCTCAGTGGTCGCACACGGGCGCAAGTAGCCGGAATGTCCTTATCATCCCCAGGCAAAGCACCCTCATATGCTACAGGCTCACCTTCCAATTCTATGGGCCCCTTGGCCTCACGAACCTGAAATAGATAATGTTGTTGATAATAATTATTATATGTATTATAAATATAATGAATGTTTTATTATAACTTAAATCCTTCTAGTATCATATTTATATTCAGGATACACCAATGATATTTTTATGTGAAATACTGTTAATAAGTAGGTGGTTCACCCGATGTTAAGTGATTACTTACTGCTGGGCATGGACATCTACAACACAGGACGAGTTGCAGATGCATTGCCCACCGTTTGAACAGTGGACCTGGTTACCTCATTCACCAGATGAAACAGTATAATACACTACTGCTAATTCACAATAGATTTCTATGAGCCACAGAATTTTCCCTGATGAGCATACACTGTTGTAGGGCCACATAAGGGTTTTCACTGTTGCACAAATGTGCAGGTCTGTCTGGGGAAGTACCTCGAGCTCACATAAGAATGGCATGAAGTAGAAGTTTTATACTTCTGCGTTTCGTCCAATGAATGAGGTAGCCGTGGCCTATTTTATTAAAAGGTAGCAATGCATTTGAAAAAAACACCACGGGTGTTGCACTATGGGCGGCGGTTATCATTTAACATCCGATTAACGGCCAGCTCAAATACCTAAAAAAACCTTCTTACATAAAAAAAGCCTACACATTCATCAAATTATAGAAAACTAATAAAAATTATGGACAAATTACAAAATTTTTTGTTTTTGTTAAATAAATATTTTAAATTATAAAATTTTGCATCATGCTGGTTCTCATTAAATGATTTGCATTAAAATGGAAAACTTGAACTATGCTTGAACACTGTCAGGGTAGAAGAAAACAAAATTAAGTGAATATGCCAACATAACTTTCCTAATGAAACTGATAGACAAGTGATAAGATAAATTGCATAATGAATTATCTTGTAATTATATCTATCTGGGTTAAAACAGAACTTTCATAAAAGATAATGCTGGTTTTAATGCTAAAACTGTCAGAACTAAAAGCTATGCTTATTGTTTATAATAATTTTAAGAATATTTGTTATTAACTTGCATATTGCAAATCATAAAGTGATGCAGATGATATTTAAAAAAATTGGTAAATTTTTTTTTAATAATAAATGTTCTTATATAAGATAATGAAAGACTATATGATTTTAAGCCTAATAAATAAACATCAACATTTAAATGGCTTTGATTAATCCTTTCCAAAAGCTTTTCCCAACATTATTTGAAGTATACCATGACCTTGTGGTACAGTAGAGGAAAACTTTAATACTTTGGGTTATTAGTTAGGGAATCACCAAGGTATTAGTTCCATTCACAATTCTAATACTAATTATCAGTAACTCAAATATCACTCTTTAATAACATACTATAATCACAATCAAATAAACAAGATTATTCAATACAAATTAATTATGCAAAGCAATTTGCCTTATCATTTTTAGTCAAACTTCAAGGTTCGCTATATACCTGCTTGTGCAGTTCATTGTGCTGTCGGATCTTGTACTCTAATTCCTGGACCTGAGCCTGCAACCAGCACCAACGTGAAGCGATTGATGCTCTCGCCTTTTGCCAGGACCACAGCGCTCGTTTCTCACTGAAAAGGGTTACAGATAATATTAGTTGTATAAGACTAACAATGTCAGTTCTTAAAAGCCACTTCTGTAAATTGACAATACAAAATTCCACAAGAAATATATTTACTAAATTAAAAAATTGATTACTAATAAATGCAAAATGTTAAACTAAAACAACACTAAATTCTATACATTTACAAAGGTAAGGTTGAGTAGCAAGTGAAGTAACTTTGTCTTTAACTAATTATCTCAATGCAACACGAAGGGTTCTTTAAAGCTTTATTATTATGATTCTTTAGTGTTCTATAGTATGTATTTCATACTTTTATTCGTAGTATTGTATTTGATTGAGAACCTTATGAAATATGTAACATATTACATAACTATTTCATCACCTGTCACTATACACAAAGTGCATCTGGAGCACATGTAATTCTGTATCAACCCCCCCAATATCACCTCTCTTTTTGTAAACCATAAACAATTATTCTAATAATTGATATTGATATTTAACTAGTTTTTGGTCAATTCTTTTAATCAAGGGCTAGTTAAAAACTATAATGAGTTAAAAATTATATCTAGTTATTATTAACTAACCTTCCTACTGAGCTGCCTTCTTATAAGAAAATCTAGCACATAAATTGTAATAAACTTTATTATTTGAAAGTGAATTAATTATAGAATTGCCATTTGTGAGATGTTTTAATATTCCTTCAGCAAATTTGCAATAGGTTCAAGGCTTAAGGCCATTGGTACACTTATTCATTCTAATCAGATTAAAATATGACACACATGCTTTCAGTTATTCAGTGTTATCACTATACACCTTTGTTACAAACATGACTGCATGCCTTATTCAAGCATTTCAACAGTTCGAAGTTTATTTTAACTTGGATAATAATAAGTTAAGAACAGTACAATATATTTTGATTTAGTATTCTATTTTTCTAAATGCTAATAGAAAAAAAGACAAAAAATTTAATTAAGTCAGGTATAAAAACAATAAACAGTAGCACGGAGGAAATATAATTATCAAAGCAACCAAGAAAACGTTGTGTGTATAATGTCAATTATATACAAAAATAAACAAAAACCGATACATTCTGCCATGATCATTTGAATTATATAAGCATATTTTATCTTTAGAATTAATAACTCTATTCGGACTTAGTGTTAAAAATGTTTGTAAAAATACTTTTATATAAAATGTATTTGATAATGAAGCCTCGACTAAAATTCACATTATATTTAATTGTTTAGTTTATTAAAAACAAAATATGAGAACACAATTTCAGTTAGAAAAGCTAAGAAATAATTTGGGGAAATTTAGAGAAAAATATGAAAACAACTTACATTGCCATTTGCTGCTGGTGAGGATTGTTATATGTGACAGCCTCATCATTGCTTTCAGCTCCAGATGATGAAGCCGTGGCATCAGAGTCCAGTTGAAACTTCACCATAGATAGATGTGAACGTAAAGCACCAGCAGTGTCATCTAGTCCGGCCAGGGTTCCCGATGCTATACCAATAGACGCAGACCTAGATGCATCTCCTCTTGATGTACTTGCATGATAGTACTTGGGGCCCACAACGATTCTAGAAGCCGCACTAGCCTGCAAGGCAGCAGTTGTTTCTATTTTCTTCAACAGAGCCTTTATGCCCATCGGTCTACCTCCGCCATCTTTCCGTGCACCTCGTGTGGACTTTTCAAACGTTTGAGCAACCTCTTCGGAAATCCTTTTGCCAATAGCTCGTGCCTGTAGTATTCGTAACCGCCTTTGCAGGAATGCGCAACGACGTTCTAACCTCGCTTGCAGCAGTCTTACCTTGTCTTCGGCTGCGTCGCCTTCTGAATCTACAGTTTCAGTTAAATCAAAACCGGAAAGGGGAAAGATAGCATCAGGGTCACCGGTAGACAGTGCGTCTCCACCCGACTCTAACGTTTTGATTGCTTGTAGCAAATCTGCCTGAGCAAGGTCACTGCTTCCTAAATCAACTAAAATCTGCTCCATTTCTTGTGAATCTTTGGCGAGGCTAGGCTGGTTTTGGAGGCCCATGTCTTCTTCCTCCATGTGTGTTGCAAGGTTATCGACGGACGCGAGCGCCCGTCTAGGGTGTGATGGCTTTTCGAGGTTTTCTATCGTCTCGTACTCGTGGTGATCTCGGGAAGCGACGGAGAGCGCCGGGGCCATGACCCGGGCGCCGCCCGCCGCGGACGCCGCTGAGCGCGTCAGGGCGGGCTACCGAAATTAACCATTTTTGCCTTATGTAACAACACTGAGCACACTTCACTACACAAACACACTGCACTGCAATAAACGAGAATCCGTGGCGTACATTATTTGCAAAGTCAGTCTTCCGCCGGTTCCATAATTCACCGAAATAGGAGGTCAAGCGGCTCGGCGCGCTTCTGAAAACAATATTTAACACTTATTATAAGCCGGTCTTCACGTGTTTAAACAGTATGTAGGCATTTATTTATGATAGTTTACGGTAAACAATGAAAATATATCACAGATATCAACATAATTCAAAATTTAACCCACGTGATAACAAAAAAAGAGTACACTAGCAAACGCAGCGGTTTGTTTCTGTATGATATGAAACAGGAAATGATATACTTCTTAAACACTTTTACGGGAAGCCAATGATGCGTCGAGTCGAATAAATTACACTGAATGAATACTTATGAATATATTATTCACTTAAACAATGACTATAAAGAGTTCTAAATGATAATGGCGGAATAAAGCCTCAAAACACTTTTCAACAATCCACTTTATTCAAGCAAAGCGCAATGTAGACCGCACCAAACACTAGAAGGCCCGAATAAGTTGTAAAAAAGAGATGGCTAACATGTCATGATGTAAATTGGTACTTGCGCGGTAAAGTCAAATGTGTAATCATAAAAGTACTTTATATAATTTTTATATAGATAGTTAAGATAAAAATGTTAATAAATCTTGTCTGGAATTAACAATACATATGATTCACACTTTTATCGCATTCCATTAAATTTGAAGAAATGAAAGGTTCATATGATAGCATTTTGTTTACCGCCACGCTATTACTCGACAAAGAACCATTATTGACGAAATTGTTACGAAATTATTGATAATTTATTGTATATTAATATATTTTATGATAAAAATTCTTGAAATAATTTAAAAGTGATCAAATTTCTTTAATTAAGAAGCTTAAATAAACTGTTCTCAAATTTTAAATTAAAAATTGCCTCGGAATACTACTTCCGGTAGATTAAATAAAACAGATAAAATGTTAAATGTTTACAAACATAGAACTTTGTTAATAAAATTTGAAAAAAGAAACAAAATAATAATATCTTCATTTTTTTTATTTATGGGTACCTATTTGTATTTTAGACCACGACAATATTTTGTAAACACCGCGTTTCGTTTTACGGTAAGTTTGTTCTGTCATTCTGTCATGTCAAACACTAAATAATACATGAACTCGATGAGCTTACACTGCAATTGCATAGTCCTTTACAAAATACTAGACAAATATTTTAATAAATTTAATCTTTTTTCAAAACTATTTTTTATGAGATATTCTACATTATGTATTTACGCTCTATAAATATGATTTATACTAAAAGCTGTATTTCTATTATTATTTAGACCTATTTTTAGATTATGTAATCAGTGTGATAAAATATACAATAATTACCACTAATGTCAAAAATTTTGTTGTATTGTGTAACCTTTTATTCTATACAACAATGCCAATCATTACTTCATTATTAAGTAATAATACATTAAATTTTGATGTGTTCTAGTGTAATATCACTTTTATTACATGTAAAAAAGTCTGTTGTATAAATTATTTAGAACAAAAGTAGCACAATCACACATGAATACCACTTGATACAACAAAATTAATAATAAAAAAAATATTAAAAAATGATTGTATGTGGATAGAGTATGGTAAATGGAATTTGTAGTAGATTTATGTAAATCATATAAAAAATCAATTCACAACAGTTCTTCTTAATATTATTCTCACCTTAGTCCAAGTAAATATTGTAGATCCGAATCCATTATATTGACTTCTCCACACGAGATTCAACCTACAATTAAAAGTAAAAAACTGTATTGAATTTTCTTTGAATTTTTCTTTCTTCAATTTGAAGACCACCATAATCTATATTTAAATTAAAATTAACAGGATTTTTTAATTCTCTTCTTTATGAGTAATTTTTCTTACAAATACTAGAAGTAAAAACTGTGTGTTAAATAGAAAAAAAAATACATAAATTCAAATATTAACATATAATAATCTAAAATTTTGAAAATAGGTGTGCTTCTTAAGGTGTGAATGTTTTACAAATAAGTAAAATGTTAAATGCTGCACGTTTTAATGCTCATAAAATTCAAAGTAAATTCTGTATAGTAGAGGAACATAAAAGTAGACAAACTATATCAGGATGTGATCAGATTGACAGGATCACTAAGCTGTAACTTACAAGTAAAATTATAAAATTAAAGCACAATACTTATGTTTCCAATAATGTTGAAACATAAGTAATAATAATGTAACAATCAATAAAAAGTTTTAAGGCAACAGTGAATAAAATGTATGAAATTAAAGCTTTTTAAAATGTGATGTTTCTTCAGAGCATTATATAGGTATACTTATATACTTTATAACAATAAAATTATTACTTAACAACAATTTTCGCAAAAGAACTTCGATACTTACTGCTTAAACATAATATTTCACTGGTAAGAATACATTAAAAAAAATAAAAAGTTTCATGAACTGAAGATGTAGAGATACAATATTAAAACAAGTAAAATTATTAAAATATATTAGAACTTCATTTATAAAATGACTAATTATTCATAGAACGTATTATTTTTAAAATAAAAAATATTATGTTTTCTTTTAGAAATTTGTTTACATGTTTAATACTTTAATATAATGCTATCTTACCTTTGCGCGCAACGACTACGTAGAGAGAAAAAGAAAGATTAAAGAGGAACACGCAGGTCTTACGGGTCAGTACGACATGAAATGGAATATTTTTTAACTATCAACATTTTGAGTAAATAAAACGAAGAAACGTCATTCTGAATGATTTTATAAAGATTTTCATTTGAAACAATTGTATTTACAAATCTTCTTAGCCGTGAGTTGAATTGAAATATTGGAACTACTAAATAAATGATTTGGGAAATTATAATTATTTTTCTATAAAAACTTTTTGAAGTGTTATTTTTTTAATATTTAAATGATTTCATTTATTACTCTATAGTTTAATTAACTAATTCGTTAGTAACTAAACTAAATTTTAAGGGAAAAATAGGGACCTAGTTAACTTAATCCTACAAATATAGTAATAAGCTCTTTAAACCACCGTATAATAATAACATTGGCTAAAAGTACTAGTAACTGTAATCATGCTTAATTATTAATACCACGATTATGTAAAAATAATAAAAATATTCTATGGAACCGCAACAAAAGTAAAAGTAACCAAAAAGTAAAATATTTTGGATTTTATCGTTATTTGAATTATTCTGTTTTCGAAATATTAGTTATTTTTGTCAGTTAATTTTTTACATTTTAAAATGAAAATCATCATTTCTAAATTTTATATTACATTTTAATATCTTAGGGTATTGAATAGTTCTCCTAATATTACATACTTAATTAGCTGCAAATACAGAACACTTTTACTCAAAAAGTTTGGCTGCAAAAGACTAAATGTAAACATTAGAAAACCACTTTCGTAGTTCGTATTTATAATCTATAGTATATAACAGATTAATTTTTCTCTGTAATGAAAACAATTTTAGTAGTTTTCTGGCGCGCTTCGCGGATTGTTTTGGAATCTTTGCAGTTTGCAATAAGTTGATAATTTAGCAAATTAAAATTGATTTTAATACAATTAAAAATGAATTTTGACAAAAGTCAACTACATTCAACAACCCAATTTACTCCGTTGAAAAGCAAACGCACAAGACACTTGTTAGCCAGAGAAGATACGCTGAACCTTTCGCCGATATTAAATGAAACTTCTATTTTTAAAAATATAAACGACACCAGTTTAAGACATATCTTGGATGAGTCGTCTGTGATTGTGAATACTGGAAATGTGGGCGATGGTTTAGGCGAAGCCTTTTTTGAAATAATTCAATCGAGTCGTCCAAGTGATGTTTTAGGTACATTACAGAGGTTAGCTCAAGTTTGTTGTGATTCTTTAGAGTTAGTAGAACCTTGGAACAGATATAACGCTCAGAATTATTGGCTGGCTGAGGAAGCTAATACATGGAAACTTTTGTATTGTTTATTTGCCGACTCGCTGTCTGATACTCCTGAGTCATTAGACAATTTAATAACAGAAACAACTTTGTCGCAACATACGTTGGTCGAAGCTCTTTATCAAAGTGATTCTGAATTGCGACTAATGCAGTTACTAGTAGACTGGCTTGAAGGCACTGCTACTTACCAGGAAGAGGCAACAAAAACCTCTGCACCAGTCATTGGTAACAACATTCATTGGGGGAATACACTCCATGAGTTGCTTATTGGGACCAGTTTGTTTAACAAAGAGAAGAATAAATCCCTTATTACATGTATGGACCCTGATGCACCAAGGCGCCAGAAAAAAACCATCCACACTGATGATCAGAAAGATGATAATGATTTGTGTAAGAGAATATTTACTGAAGTTAGATGTGGTAAATTTAAAGAAGCTGTGTCTTTATGCTTAAGTGCCGGTCAAGCTTGGAGAGGAGCTGCTCTTCAGGGTTGGATGTTACTTCATTATTTGCCCGGGGAAGATCAAAATGATTCTATAGAAATAACTGGAAATCCATCAAGAGATTTATGGAAATGGTGTGCTTTAGGTATAGCAAACAATGTGGCAGAAAATTTACATTACCGAGCTACAATTGGAATTTTGTGTGGTTATTTACCAAGTACTATACCAGCTTGTCAAGGAAATTGGGAGGATTTACTATGGGCTCATCTGAGAGTACAGATTGAGACAAGAGTTGATAAATTTTTGCATGAGCATCATGCAACTGCTGAGGCTAATACAACTCCATCAGATGTTTTAGATTTACTACAAACTGAGCTCCATGTAGAAGAAATGTCTCTGCATCAAATTTTCAGTGCAGTCAAAGCATTGATGGATGGCAAGAGGGAATCTAATTATCAAACATGTCAGAGACATCTTATGTTAGGTAACATAAGAGCTATTATGCAAGATTCTTTAAACTGGCTTGAAGGTGTGGAAGAAAAATTCATAAGATTTTTAGCCCATTTAATCCTTGTATTAAGATTGATGGGCAAGGATCCTCATCATGACATAGGTGATAAAGTGTTGGAGAAATATGTTGTGCAACTTCTGGAGACATTACATGATGGATCTGTTGAATGTCCTGAGCTCATTGCATACTATACATCAACTGTACCGGGCCCTAGACAAATACATTTATTTGCAGATTTAATGGATAGGATACATAAGAGTGATTTCAGAGAAGGTGTGGTAAAGGCTGGCATTAAGGCAGGAATAAATGTTGCAGTATCTGCTAAATTAGCAATCAAGAAGGGCATTGCGGATATTCAGCAAGGTTATGGAAATTTTGAGTTATCATATACTCAAACCACAATAATGGAAAAAGATAAATTATTAATTCAAAAAGTGATATCTTCACTAGAATGGCTTTCACTTATAGAGAACCAAATAACTGAATACTTATGGTTGAGTAATTCTATGATAAGAACATTTATTTTTATTGGCAATACAGAAGCTGCTCTGAATTGTGTTGCTAGTGTTGGAAAAATGATGCCAAGTTTTGTAAACAACATTTCATCAGACTCCTCAGAGTTCCGTGAGCATTTGTGTTTAAAGTCCTACCTTGAAGCAGTTGAGGGTTTTGCTACATGGTATAGGCATTATGTAAGTGGACAGCCTAAGGATGTTGAACCATTACCGTCAGATGCATCATTCTCTGACAAAGTTCATCACGAACAAAGAAGTGCTGTTGTTGAACAACAGAAGGTGCGTTGGAGGAATGCGGTGCTTCATCAATCGTGTCATGCTAAAAGTTTGTTGTATAATGTTTTATTATTTCCCGGCGGATGGCTTCAGGACGAAAATGATAACTCCTCCACCCAAAGTTTTACAGAAGATGAGAAACAAGAAAGAGCAAAGCAATTAGAAACTTTAAGACGTCTCTGTATTCCGGAAACTGTTATATTGATTTTAAAAATTTTGCAGAGCAATGACAGCATTGAAAATCATAAGGAAGCAGTAAAACTAAGTGACTTACTTGCAGCGGAAAACAGATGTTTATACAAAGTCTTCACAAAGTCAAAACTCATGGAAGTGTTGGAGAGAATTAAGGAATCCAGTTTAATATTATTAGAGAAGGGGAGAGATATGTTTGGTTATGAATTGGATGAATAATGTTTTTTTTAATTTAATTAAATGATTGTATTAATAAAATGCCATGTTTTAATTTTTACAATTCAGATTTCAACTATGATATTTGTAGATTGAGATCTGAAGAATTTGTTTTCTTTGGATATAAGTCTCTATCTTGTGATAGTGAGGATTTGCAGTAACATAAAGTACTCCACAATGTTAACATTAATACCTGCATTACTTTTTAATTTATGGTACCTATGTAGAATATAACCACTACATTTATTACATATTGTATTTGAGTTATAGTATATATTGTTGTTCTGATAAAAGAATATTCTTTATTCAATGTAAGTTATATTTTCACCATAAACTGTCAGAGAGAGGTTAAACATTAAAGAGCTTAGGTTGATCTCAATTATATAATTAGTAGGTAACACTAAGATACAAACTTTACTTTGACTGATGGTTTTAGCTTTCAGTACATAGACTATTAAAGCTTCTTCGAACGCAGAGCTCGTAGGAAACTAATCTGCTTGTGCGTGCTACCACTGTATAATGTAATGGACCTATGGTTGGTCTGGAATATTATATAGTAGTATGTTCTGTAATGCTTCTATATTGAAGATATTTGAATTTCGTACCCTTCCATTACCACTAGACAGTTAAATTAATTTCGCCTCTTGAAGAATCGTTTCGTTATGTCTCCAAAGTGGTCACGTTCGGGAATGTTGGTTGTAGGGCCACTGAACAGCTTCGGCTGTTGCAAGAATGTGCAAGTCCGTGCGGGTAAGTACCAAGACCGCTTCTGGTGACCTTCGTCTGGTTAGTGAGTGAGGTGACCGGGTATATTGGGGACTATTGCCCAATTTATTAAAAGGTGACAACGCATCTGCAAACTTACGAATGTAACAAATGTCCATGTTCGGCGGTTATTACTTAACATCAGGTGAACCGCCAGCTCGCTCGCCACCTTCTCACATAAAAAAATGTGAAATCGCTATGCAGTTAAGTGCCTTGCTGATTCCTTACACCGATTGAAATGGAATGTATTTTGAACTACTTGAATTTTCTTCGGACGTGTTTGAGAAGCATGCGCGAAAGAGACGCAAGAGTAGGACATTATGGGTTAAGGAGCAGGATAGGCGTGCTTTATGTTCCAGCGCGCTTTACGTAAGTAAGGGCGCTTGGCTCCCAGTACCAAAGGACTGAGGAGGCGTGCGGAAGTGTTAGTCCTAGATGGAACAGCGTTCCATCTGGGGAAACGGGGTTCATGAGTGGTCGGAATGTAGCTACAGATAGATATATCTATATTTATTTATCACCAACAAAGTACACACTGTGACAGAAGAATTATACAAGATATGCAAAAAAGTGATGAGTGGTACCTTAATTATAGGTAAAAACTACTTTACAACAGGCAGTGGAAACGAAAACCAAAAAACTTTTACAAAACCAAATGTGAAATACGAGCATTACAACAATACAAACATTAACTAAAATACGGTAAAAACAGAAAAAAAAAGCCGTATAAAAAGTACGTTACTAAAAAAAAAAATATGTTACAATAAAAAAATATATGAATTGGCTGGTGAAGATATTAACAATTTATAAAAATATTATTGGCACTTAAGTACAATTTTATCGAATGTTTGAATATGGATATATTATTGTCAAAAATATCGATTTCTGTTTCCTTACTTAATAAGTTGAATGATTTAATTAATCTATTAATAGGAGCATTGTATCCCAAGTTAGACCTAGCCGCATTGCAGCGAAGTAATGGCCTACTGCACATTCTGAGGTGCTTCGAAGGAGCTGTGAAGCATAAGGTTTCAAGTAACTGTGGGCATTCAAGTAGGCCGTTTGCTAATTTGTATAAAAACATGTTGTCAAGCCCAAATATCTTCGATCGGAGAGTGCATGCAGCCCAAAGTAATTAAGTCTGTCAATATACCGAGGTAACTTTTTTGTTAGGCCGCATTTAAAAACCAAATGCCATAAGAAACGCTTCTGTATACCCTCTAGTCTTTTGATGTAGATGTTACTAGCGATAGGTATTTGACATTAGCTCCATACCATAATACTTATGTCAAAATTCTAAAACGGCCCTAGGACGTCTATTTTAGTGAACCAGGATGTTCACGTCCTGCCGCAAAGCATCGAAAGGGTTTAGTAAGGTTTATCCTTTCCCGAAGCGTGTTCAGTAACGCGGGCTATAGAGGTGCACCAGTGTGCCCCGTAGATTTACACATTTTTATTATCTTTACCACACACACATCATGAACAATATTACTCAAACATTTAAATTTATAAACACACACATACCCTTCTATTGTCATTATATTTATTGCTATTTACCTAATTTTAAAGATCCAAGACTAGCAAATTGGGAGTATTGAATACTGCGAGTCCACGTTTCTAACATAATGTAGGGTTCATCAAGCAAACGCGTATAAAATTCGAATCAATGTTTTTTTACACTTTTAGTTTAAATAAACCTTTTATTATTACAGAGGGTTCGATGACGCCGTGGCGAAGTTCTCAAGGTGTTAGCTTCAGCGCCAGGGTTCGTGGCTTCGAATCGGCACAAGTGACAAATAGTTGTGTGACCCACAAATAATTGTTTCGGACCTTCATATTTGTCCATATGTAATTTTTTTTTGTGTGTGATTCTTTCTTCCAAAATGTTATGCTACAGCATCCTTACTGTATACAATGGTTTTCAAAAAAAAAAAATAAGTGAGGGATAAGGACCCCACATAATGCTTTCTACCCCGAAAAGACTGTGGATTATGCATTAAAACACTTATCAAGTGGAGTAACTGTGTACTAGTTAATACACATATGGATATGCTTTTATGGCAAGAAGAGATTACGACACAGGGATCGGATTTAAGTTGATCAAGTCGTTGCTAGATTCCGCCAGATCCGCAATGGAAACTCTGCCACGCTGCTTGATAAACTTGGCGACGTCTTCTAGTTCCTTCTGGGAGATGTAGATAAATTTCCCCCTGTCATCTATTACACCCGTAAGTTCTCCAGTGGCCTGCAAGTCGGTTATTCTGTCTATGGCCGCTTGCGTCTTTAATTTGAAGTGTGCCGCTAAATCTTCGAGCAACACCACTTTCTGGCACTGTAAAGTATTTCTAATTAATTAATTAATAAAACATTAATTAATATTAAAAATGCAAGACTGTTTGTCACAATGTTTCATCACAACAATAGCAGAGCATTAAATTTTAAGGATTCGCAATACAGTAAAGATGTTAGTAACAGAGCAATACATGAAATAGACATGGTTTCATAAATTCTGCGTAAAATTGTTGAATTGATTCATAGAAGGCACGGATCACTAAAAAAGTCGATCGGAAAACAAATATAAATAAAATATAAAGTTTATTGTACAAAATTACCATCAATAAATAAAACAATCTATAAATTATAATTTATATTAATATTTTTAAATTAATAGATTGTTTTATTTCTTGATGTATAATTGAAGAAATATGTAATTACATATTTCTTTGTCAGATATAAAAAAACAACCCTACAGGATGATTATTGGCAATCTGCCTTATTGAGGCCTACTAAGTTTTTTTGAAATGCAAGTAGGTCATGGGATTAATTGTTTAGAAGTCAGGTTTTTCTACTTCAATTTGTCTTCTAAACATTCTTCGTATCTTTTTCGTTCCTGCTTCCTAAGAAAGCTTCGTAAGAGTCCTAAGTTCGCGCTTTTTGACCAGTTTTTGTTTTATACTATAATGTGAATCGATTATATTCGACGGATCTTTGAATCGAAATTCAGTTGTTGGTATCTATCAAAATCGTTGGTGATTTTGATTGAAATTAAATCAATGGATCAACATGATTCTTCGATTATTCGTTTTAAAATTGACACGCCTAATCCGTACCTGTATTATAAGTACAATATAAAGGAAGAATATAAACGAAGTATACATTAGAAAAATCCTGAATTTCTATGGCGTTGCATCTGCACGTAGGACTCGACTATAAATTCTTCTCTGTCATAAAAGAAATATTCACCAGACGGAACCGCCCATTCTGGCGATGACGATTTAGGCATCGACACCGGGGGTCGTGAGTTCGATTCCCACACGAGACAACTATAGGTGCGACCCACAGATAATTGTTTGGATCTGGGTGTTTTTCCACGTGAAATTTATGTATGTAACACATCCTTAAAACACTGAATAATGCTATCATACAGCAGTAAGGAAGCAATGTTTTCGAAGCGAAGACAACAATATATCTTTATAGGTCGCACACTAGACCATTATAGGTTGCACTGACCGTTGGGACTTACTATAAAACCCATTCCACACGAAATACAAAAAGCAAACGAAGGTAGAGTCAGCGTTACAAACCATTCAAAAAAGTACTCCTAAAGCTAAACGACAAAAATTCACGAATTTCAAACCAAGACTTCTTAGATGAGAAACATTAAGGAAGTTTTGGTTCGTATTTAACTCTGGAAAAACTTCTATTGAAAATTTTTTCTTTCCAAATTTAGCGAAGAAAATTGCCAAGTCGGCATCCGTGGGTACCTTGACGTAGTCAATGAACTCCTTGAGTAAGTTCTCCTTGTCTTCCTCTTCGTTCTCATCGAAGCCCTCTCCTTCCACTGTGAATGCCGCCTTCATCGCCTCATATTCCGCCTGCTCGCGCATTTTACGTTCTTCCTCAGCTTTGCGCTCCGCTTCCTCTTCCTTCCGTTCTTCTTCCTACGATTGGATTTATTTTTTACCTCTCACCTAGCACAGTACTGATTGAAAGCAAATAAAAAAAAATTAAAATCATTTATTCATCGCCACATAACGTCGAAACATACATTTCATCCATTAATATCATCCAGTAATTTTGTTTTTTAAATCTATCCGTTTCGTAATGAGGTTCCTCTAACAGCACTTTTTTGTATTTTTTCCCCCCTCAAAACATTAAAATATCTTACAAGTTCTCGTTTCTCTTACAAATAGCTTGGCAGCGATCTATTCATTCCCAGGGGTTTTTGTCATTAATTTATTCATTTATATTATAATAACCCAATAATATATTAATAAATTTTATCTCCATTTACTGGGATATTGTTGTAGAAGCGTATACACCGCCCGATGAACGCGTTACTTACTCTATACAAGTCTAGTAATTGGAAGGTAAATACATGTTAATGTTAATTCCGATTGCAATTGTGATAAGAATAAATAAGAAACTCACCTCTCTCTCTTGTTCTTCTTTTTTCTTTAACTCCTCCATTTCCTCATCTCTCCTTCGTCTTGCTTCACGCATCTGTTCCTCGGCTTCTCTCGCTTTCTTCTTTTCCAGCTTAGCTTCTACCTTTGCACGTTTCTATTTCGGATTAGCAAAACAAACAGGCGTCAATTATTGTCTGATTTTCTAACACAAAAAAATTTTTGAGGTATCAGGCGGTTCATCGGATGTAAAATGATTACCGCTGCCCATGGGCATCTACAACATCCGAGGGCTTGCAGATGCATTGACAAACTTTAAGAAGTGGGCCTCACTTTACAACACATAATTAATGCATTTGCAGCAATGACCACCTAAAAATAATCTTCAGAATATGGGGTCCTCCAGTAACAATGTAATGACTTTAAGCATTTTTAACCAGTAACTAAAAAAAGTGTAAATCTCACATGTACATCACAAAAGTTGCGGACAACTTTTTTCTGATTTTTCAACGAGATTTTCACTGTGGCGCTCTGAAGGGGAAGCCTTTGTTTAACAGTGGAAATCTCTCTGCTCCACTCACGTCATCATGGATCATGATGAAGATACATGTATCTCTGTATTTGTTATGTTACTTAAGACTAAAATTTCTGTTTAGGCTTAACGATTGAGCTTACTTTTGCCCCCATTCTGTCAACAAACTCCAATTTTTCAGCCTGGGGAATATGTTCTTCCTCAGCTTCCTCCGCTACACCTGGTTCCTCTTCAATTAAAGCCGCTTGATGACGAGCAGCTGTAACATTAGTTATAGAGAATTTACCATAACAATTAAGCATAAATTATTATTTATGTGGCCATAAACTTAATTACTTAATTAAAATCTTTAAAATAATTTTAAAGTAATGATTGCTTACAAAGTCCAAAGTTTACTAAGCTTCACCATATTCTTTTCTAATTTTTAATTTTTAGTGCTACTCAGCACTTAGGAGGTAACTTAAAAATGTGTACATAAGTAGAACTGCTGCAAAATTTAAGTTTATTAGCTTTAAGAAAGATAAATAAGGTTATACATTTAATGATCTCAAACTGATTGGTTAGGTTTGGTTAGTGCAATTTTGTATAATTTATAATAATTTTTTTATGTTAAAAAGCCACAATGTCACCAAGGCCCGATTCATCTGAATGTGAGACCTTCCTTGATAAATATAAAAACACACAGCTATCAAACCAATTGGATTGAAGCATACTAAAACCTAATCTATGTACAAAACAATAAATTAAAATGTAAATATCTAGAATGGAAAGATTTCACAAAATTTGTGAAATAGTTATAGTAATAGGCTATACGCCGCCGAGTATAGACCCCTTCTGTAAAAAGGGTATTATCAACGGTCATAATCAACAACTTGAACCCAATGAAACCAATGCGGATTGGCAATCTTTGATTGATTTAAATAAGTTACTTTTTTAACATGAAACTCGTAAATAAGCGACATTCATAGTATAGTACAACATACATACCATTAGCTCTCATACGGGCTCTTTGATTCCTAACAGCTTGCACTCTACCTGGACCTCCATCACGTTGGGCAACTGGCCTTGGTTTTTCTCCACCTAGACGAAGAATCAATGTTAAATAATATATACATTACCATAAATAATAAAATATTTATATTAAATACTTACTTTGTGGTCTAATCTGGGTTACACGTAAAAATGCGATCGATAGAATTATTATAACTATAGCGCTTAAAATAGCAGCAATGATAAATGGATCCATTGTCTATAATATATAATGTACTCTAAAATTAAAACAATTACGTATGTTATTGATATTTAGGAAAAAATTAAACAATATAATATATCTCTGTCAATTTTTTTCGCTTTTTTTATTACAGTATTATAGTACTACAGTTGGGATTTCTCCATACAGACTATGCTTCCTTGATCATCAATAAGTATTGATTTTCGCTACACGATTTGGGTCGTGACAGATTATAGAAAAGGAGTAGAGTATCTCAAAATGAGTAAAATAGACTACAGCTACACTAAGATGGAGTTACTATAGCATTTCAAAGGTCCAAAAATTGTTTGAACTAAACTACAGTCAAAGTCAAAGTATATTTATTCAATATAGGCCTAACTTAAGCTCTTATTGAACGTCAACAAAAAATCTACCACCGGTTCACTAAACTAGACCTGCACAGAGAACAACCGGCATAAAACTCTGCGCGCTTGTTCTTTTTGTAATTTTTTTTGATGCAATTATACACACTTATTTAGGTATAAAATCAGCAGCAGCCAGGGGTCTTGCAAGTGCAGAGCAAGAGTCATTTCCAAACATCCTTATCCTCAATGTATTCTTGGATATTATAGTAGGCCCTTGCCATTAAGGTAGCTTTTACAAATTGTTTGAAATTGTTTATACTTAGTTGTTTGTGGATGTCACCTATTTTATTATAAAAGTTGATGCATCTTCCAAGAAACAACTTTCTGGTTTTAGCCAATCTAAACCTCGGTACTTCCAAAGTGTCACCACGGCCCCGACGCGATGTGGATTGTTTTTTCGTAAATAGGTGAATATTGTTATGAACACACAAAGGAACTAACGCCATCTAGCGTCAACTATTAAATCCACTAAAGAACAAAGACGACATAAAAGCCCCTATTCAACACTAGATGGCGTTAGAGGAACTGCTGTGGAACTATAGTCTCGAAAACCGGGTACATTCGCGATCTTTCCGGAATCACGAATATGTTCGTGCGTGTCGGGTACGTCCCAGGAAGGATCTTTCTGGATTAGTCCGGAACCGGTCTCGGCCCATATAAAAGCCGCAGGTAGGCGAGCGATCACAGTTCAGTTTGAGCTACCTTCGAGGCGATTTCGGAGCGAAAACTAGTGATCAAGAGCGATACCAGTGAAACCTACGACTTGGCTACAAAATAGGACATCGTTAGTGCTTAGTGTTTGGACTTAGTGCTTTGTGTTGGACCTAGTGCTTGAATAAAGTCTTCAAAAGAGTCAGCAGGTCTTTTTCTCCAAATCCTTCGAACCCCTAACACGTAACAATATTATTACCTACATACATGATATTCTCAAGTATGTAAAGCGACGGGAGCGTCAAAACGTTTATTTGCTTAAATATACGCCGTAGTGACTCACGTGGACCCAAGCCATAGACAGCCCGTACAGCCTGCTTTTGTAATACAAATATGTGTCTAAACCGGATGTGGAACCCCAAAGTAAGACACCATAGGACATTATGCTGTAATATACAACAAAATAAGCATAATAAACAATTTACCTGTTTCCTCGTTAGTTAGCTGCCTGATTTTGCGTATGGCAAAGACGGCAGCGCTCAATTTCTTAGCTAACTTATCTACATGAAATCCCCATTGCAACTTGGAGTCAACGCTTATTCCAACAAATGCTCTTGAATCCTCAAGGGGTAGGATTTTCTCATCAATAGAGATTCCTGATTGGTGACACAACTTTGAAAGAGTAAATCTAATACATTTTGTTTTATTGGAGTTCAAAAGTAAATTATTGGTAGCAAACCAGCCAGACACATCTAGTATTTCATTTGGTTGTTCTAGTGCATCATCTTTCCTTTTAACTTTAAACAATAATGAAGTGTCATCCGCAAACAAAACAATTTGAGACCTTTTTTCCAATATATATGGCATATCATTAATATAAAGTAAAAACAGAAAAGGGCCCAGGATCGATCCTTGAGGAACGCCGATTTTTACTTTTGACCCCGTTGACAATATACCATTTATTTTTTATTATACTTTTTGTTCCCTGTCAGTAAGATATGAGGAAACAAAGTCAATGGCACAATTGCGAATATCATAATATTCCAATTTCCTGATTAGAATTGTATGATCTACACAGTCAAATGCCTTGGAAAGGTCACAGAACACACCAATGGTGTCTAGCATATAATGTATTTTCCATCTGGTTCGATGACCTTTTGCCATCTCTCTGACAACTTTAAAATTCCACGCTCGTAAAAGTCTGATCTTTTTTGGCCAAAAACTGAGTGTAGTGAGATTTTACAGCGCCATCATCATTGAATGTTTTACCATGAAGGGAGTTGTCCAGGGATCAAAATAAGTAGTAATCGGATGACGCGAGATCAGGGCGGGTGTAACATCAATATCCAACAGTTAACAACTTCGATTCGGAAATAATAGAGCAAATAAGGCGAAGTACATATTATTTCGATCACCAAATCCAAGACACAAGCGCGCTAAAACGCAAAGTTTATCTATACACTACGTGTACATTACGTAGCATAAAGAAATACGGTACGTGAGTTTGTTTTATGTAAATTCTAGGCATGAGATATACCTGCAACATTCTATACCCGGCCTCAAAGGTACGGGTATCGCCGTATACCCGGTGCTAAAACCTAGTATCAAAATACCTATAGGTATTAGTTATGTTCAGGCCTCCTTTTAGAGACGCGGTCGAATCAAACGAATTGAACCTTTGGTTGGAATTGGAACATTTAAATGTTTTTTTAGCAATCAGTTTTTTTAAATTGAGATTTAATCAGTCTAAAATAAGCTCCATCTTTACTAACGTAAAGAACCCTATTATCAAAAAAAAAGTAATTCAAAATAAATGTTACTGTTTACTGTAACCTTATTACGCAATTATTTATTTAACTTATGGTCATAGAAACAAAGAATAAATTTATCTCAAGGAATTATTTGGTATAAAATGCCTAAATCATACGTTTCAATTCAGGCATGATCGGGAAGAGCCGCCGTAAGCGTTTGGGGAACTTCGTACCTATTCGGCCGGCGGGTTGTCGCGAGCGTATATACTGCCACCGTCGGACGAGGCGGCCATCTGTACCTATCGGGTATGGAACGGGCCTCTGCCGTACTTACCCGGTAAGCGGACGGGTTGTCGCGAGCGTATGTACCGCCACCGTCGGACGAGGTGGCCATACCTATCGGGTATGGAACGGGCCTCTGCCGTACATACCCGGTGTGCGTACTGGTATGTTCATACTGGGTATTTATACCTGTGCTAGTATATACGCCTCATCCCTAGTAAATTCGTGCCGTTTTCTTAAAATAACTACCGTGACTACCCTTTTAAAAGCGTTGATAAGACATTTCTATAAAATAAACGCACTATGCACACACCACATAATAAATTAGTATACACCAAGAACAACACGTTCTCCGGCGAATGCGAGTTCCCCGATTATATACATATATTATGTAGTGATGTAGGTATTTAAGTTTGAATTCAGGTCTCATAATCTAATTGTTTTGAGAATCCTTATTAATTAATTTATTAGGCAAATTAATTGATTTTTTTTATGAATTTTCGTAAGACGATATTTTAGAGTGTATACATCGATTTAAATCGCACTTTGGATCAGTTTTAATTATTGATGGGGGATTAATTATTGATTATTATTAATACCTAATAATAATAGTGTACTATTTACACATTTTTTTAATGTGAAAAGTTGCCAAACGAGCAGATAGTTCACCTGATGTTAAGTGAATACCGCCGCCTATGGACATCCGCTACACCCGAGGGTTACAGATACGTTGACAACCTTTTGAAAATTGGGCTCCGGCTACCTCACTCTCCAGACGAAACGCGAAAGTATTTGTTATACTTCCACTTTACGCTGGTCTTCTGTGAGGTCGTGGTACTTACCCGGACGGGCCTGCCCATTCGTGCAACAGCCGAGGCTGCTGCGTGGCCCTACCACTGTAAATTTCGGTCCAAACCAAGGTTTGAAACTGCATCGTGTGATGCTGGTCGTTTGTAGGCCTGGGTTCTTAGTCGGAATACGAAGCCACCAATTTAATTGCTGATTTTTTTTAATTATGTTCCATATATCCGCCACATATTATTACTAAAAATATATAACTATATAAATTCGAAGTCTTTTACAAATATTAATGAAGTCTCACCAAAATTATTTCTAAGACTTCTTGCAAAATAGGAACGTGAAAATAAGCTGTGTTGGATGATGTGTGTCATGTCATTTTCTTAATTTTTGCCGATGTAATTTAAGCACAAAAATAACATGTTTATTAAATTATCATCGTTTACAGCTCTAGTTTTATTGCTGGATGTGACTTCGGCGTTATATTTTCATATAGCAGAAGGTGAACGAAAATGTTTCATTGAAGAAATACCCGACGACACCACGGTCATAGGTAACGGTCACCTTTTCTATATCATATTTTACTTTAATTAATAGTGCATATTGCTACAATTATATTTCTAACTTTAAACTTATCATATTAACTATCTATTCATGTGCGTCGTAGTCTATTACTAATATTTGAAAACACTATATGAATTTCTTTATTGCTGTTCGTAAATTACAGCTTTGGTGAAGGTATTCGAAAAAAAGTTTATATTTCAACCTGACGTATAAAATTTACAGTGAACTACAAAGTGGAGCTATATGATCCTCGATCAGGAGGGTTTATGCCTTCAACTCCTGGTATTGGTATGCATGTAGAAGTCAGAGACCCTAATGACAAAATAGTGCTATCACGTGTGTATTCCTCAGAGGGAATGTATTCTTTCACATCTACTACTCCTGGTGAACATGTTATTTGCATGTACTCCAACAGTACATCATGGTTCAGTGGCTCACAGCTAAGAGTAAGTGTACAATATGATTTTAGCCCTAAAAGTTTTATATATCCTTCTAAATGGTACATTTTTATTAATCTGAATACTTTACTAAAGACAATAAAATAAAAAAAAAAATTGCTAAAAATTAGTCTTCTACATTTATAAATTCATTAATAGAATCATCACTTGAAAATAAACTTATGGCAATTATTAAGTAGGTACGGTGTCTGAATGAAATATAAATAGTTTATTAAATGTTTCTTTAAAATTACAAAATTCAAGATGTACTATGTTTGGAACTATGTCTTACACCTGTTTAAACAAACTTAAAATGAGCAAATGTGTAAAACACAATATCTACTATGGAGTTCAATTTGCTAAGTGTATTAATATTAAAAAAAATATTTTACTCCATGACAACTCCATAGATTATAAATATCTTTTTAACTTTTATATTTTTTTTTACTTATATACAATATAATACATATATACACAGATTATTTATATCTTTAATAACTATTTCAGTGTAAACTAGGATATGTTTCTTATGTGTTATGAACATTATTTAAAAAAATGAAAGTTTAATGGGCAGATTAAAGACATAAAGACATGAAAGATTAAGTGTTAATCGCAATTTAATTCTCAGACAAATTTAAGTTTTCATTAAATATAATTTTTTAGGTGCACCTTGACATTCAAGTTGGGGAGCATGCAGTTGACTATGCCAGTGTTGCAAAGAAAGACAAACTTACGGAGTTGCAGCTTAGAATCAGACAGTTGCTTGATCAGGTGCACCAGATAACTAAAGAACAGAGCTATCAGCGGGTAATTTATAATGCTATCTTTCTTTGGTTTGGTTCTCTATTCACTCTTTTCTATAATGTAAAAAACCAGACTGCTCTATTATTTTCAGTCAAAGTTAAAATTTCATTATTCAATATCGGCTCATTTTAAGCTGTTATTGAACATCGAGAAGAATGAGCAAGAAAATCACAGTCTTGATATATATTTTGCTTCTACATTCACGACTACATACTACAAAACATTTTGTGGCATGTGTGTTCATTGAATTGGTTGATATTGTTTTAAAGGTGTTCCTGTCTATTATTTCTGATATAGTTATTAGGGGAATGGATGATATTTGACACAGCCATAGACGTTAAATTAAAACGACAATTAAAACACTAACACTTCTTTTTCTTAACTTCTTTTGATACAATATCAAAAGAAGTAAATAAAAAATGTTATTATAAAAGGTTACAAATGAAAAAGTAATTTATTAAGAAACAAATTAAAAATTTAGGCAAATAATAAACAGTTTTAGGAGATGAAACAAAAGTGAAGTGTAGATGTAAGAAGAAATGTATATTTGTGTATGATTGCTGCTGACGGAGGCAACTACGGTTGTCTGTGATGGTGTGGGTTGTTAGTAACAAAAAGTGTTATGTTTGCACAGCACCCAATAGGTTATTTTGCAAGCTGAAAAGAAATGGAGCAACCTGCTAGTATTTTTCTTATATCTTGTTTGTAAGGTAGGTTCAAACAATTTATATTTTTTTTTCACAGCAAAGGGAAGAAAGATTCAGACAGACCTCAGAGAGCACTAACCAGCGTGTGTTGTGGTGGAGTCTTCTGCAGACTGCTGTCCTAGTTTGTATTGGCTATTGGCAGATGAGGCATCTCAAGAGCTTCTTTGAGGCCAAGAAATTAGTTTAAAATATCAGTACATGTTGTTCTATTTTGACATATTGTATTATAAAACCCTAAAGCAAGTAATTTAAAAAATGTTTTGTAATTTGTGGTTTATTACAAATGATCTTTATTTTTTAAATAAAATAATAACAAGTGTCCATGTTTTGTTTCAAATTTACTTGAGCTCTTGGCTCTTTGAGCAAGGAAGTTATATTGATTGAATTGTATATACAAATGCTGCTATCTTCAACTGCTTCATCTTTAAAATATCTTTGTCAGAAAAACCCTTGAAGACTTGCTTTAATCTGTTTATTATTGAATTAAAAAACAATACTATTTTTGTATGACCTTTAGTTGTTTACTTATTCTCTTAATTATCTTATTCACTGGTAAATTGCAGAGCAATTCAAGGTTTGAGGTTTCTTACTAAACTATCCTATAAAAACCGAAATAAAAAATAAAATTATAGATTAGTACAGTTTTTTGTTTTTTATTTATATTTAAAAAAGATAAAAAAATGACTGAAAATAGTTTTATTCATCATGTACTAACATATATATTTTGATTACATTCATGTATAACATATTTAAGAATTTATCACATTACTGGAAGATATAAGTTTACAAGTAAATGCTATTAAAAAAATATTATATACAAGTATCATTCCATATTTAGTTTAAAACCTTATTATGAATAAAATCACAATTTAATTACTTAAAATATATAGTTTGTTGGATAAAAAATATGGTTTATTAGAATATACAGGAATAATTTTTTACCAACATTGTAACAGTTTTAGAGAGTTTGAGAACTTTAACTATTTAAGGTAAGTTGCTCATGTTTAAATTTAAATATTTATTATATTTAACATGTTTAAATACAACGACAACACTTATCATTTAGGCTGATGAATAAAATAAATGCACATTTTATGTAACTTAAGCATTTTTCTCTAACCTAATATTTAGATATGCTATAAATAATATTTATTATACTTCACTATGTAACCAATTTCATTAACATTTAACTTTGAATACGTCATCTAGGTATTTAATAAATAATGAAGGGTCAGGTTTAGGAAACGGTGTGAGTAAACTGAAATCGACTATGCTTAGAGTGCTTTCCAAAGTGTCACAAGTACAATAATACAAGTGACCGTCAATTTTTAACTGTTCAGCTAGTTCTAACTGATGGTTATCCATCAAGTCTTCATTTATAACTACAAGAAGTGGTTTGTTCGCGTCTAATACTTCAAGGCAACTTCCAGCACCGGCGTGACTTATCACTAAGTCTGCTTTATTGATGTCATCTTGTATTGAATCTTTGAACTTGTACAAGTGAAGTTTGATTCCTTCTTTTACGTATTCTCCTACCTCAGCATCGCTGTTACCTATTTGTAAAGTTAATTGTTTACAGCCAATTTGTTTGAGTGCACGAAGTATAGTAGTAGATGTAATATATTCGATAAGTAAATCGAAGCGGGTTGTGCCCACTGTCACGAAGCAAGTTGAATATTTATATTTTTCGGACATATTTCGGAATATGGAATAATCGAAAATCTTATAACATTTACCAAATTAGCTAGTAGCATGTCAATGTCAAATAAAATAAAATTGATACATGACATTAGACACGACAGCAGTTTTTTTTTTTTGGAATTTAAAACCCGGTATCGAGGACCTTTAGGCTAAACAGCAGTTGTTTATATAAAGGTAAAACAGATAATAGCCAACAAAACTGTAATTTCTTTAATTACCAAAATTAAATGACGAAAATAATTAATGTAAGAAAACAATAAATTTACGACAGTTCAATTATTTACGTACCACAAAATTTATGAAAATAATGAAGTCGGAAATACTCACCACGAAGAAAGCGAATGTTAGTGGCCTGGCCCCCAACATACCCCGAAACCCTGTACAGGTTGCGAATAGAACACCTCACGTTAGCGAATACGTTGTGTCCAGTATGCATGTGCGGATGACTGTGGCCATTACCTGACTATTTGCAGATGCATTATTTTTTTTATTAAGAAGGTGGTTCACCTGATGTTCAATGTTCAATGGTTGCACATGCGTTGCCGCCTTTTAATGAAGTGGGCCCCAGCTATCACACTCACTAGACCAGAGTTCTCCAAACTTTTTTGTGTCGTAGACCCCTTGCCATGTTTTTCCGTGTTGGGTAGACCCCCTACTTACCCGATATTGATTTCTTGTAAATTTCTAACTGTAGTGAAGTTTAGTGTTAAAAACTTAAAGTAAAAACACATGTTAATTTATACATTTATTAATTTAATTTAAATTAAAACTACTCAAAATAAAATTTTGTATCTGTTATGTAAAATATACGTAACATTAAATAAACATAAAATAAACTATAAATAAAATAACATAAGCAATAAGTCAATATTTTTAGTGAGAAGGATGAACCTGATGCTTTAATAATAAATTATCAACATTTGGCGTCAATTTTGTAAGGGTTAATCTTAAATTTCCTCGGCTAATGATGTCCAGTCTGTTTCTTTTTTTCGTTAGGAGATTGGTAACAGCGCTGAACCCCCTTTCCACTAGGTATGACGATGGAAAGGAAATTAAAAATTTCCTCGCTATATTCCATAATACGGGATAAGTAACGGGTATGTTGTTTTGCAGCCAGAATTGCTGATATCCGTTTTTAAACTGAACCTTAAGTTCTTCGTTTGTACTTAGTTCAGTTAGTTCCTCTTATATTATGACATTCGTTTCTTCTCCACCACCGTATAGATTAATTATCCACGGTGGTATTACCATAGTCAAAATATCCTCAAACCTAGATTCAAAATCTGAATAGAGGGAATTTAAATGTTGAACGTAAGTTGAAACGTCGTCTTCCTGGTAGCTTGTCTGCAAAGAGAATGTAATCACTACGTTTGTTTGTCTGTGACAAATTGGGGAACTGAGAAAGTTCGCCCCATCCAATATTTTGCTTCATTAATTAAACTCTGGCAAGAAACGCTGATAAGATGGACTTTGTTTTAATCAAATTTAAACTGTCGCCTTGTAATTGCAAATTAACCATATTAAATTTTTTAAACAAATCTGTTAGATAGGCGATGTCTGTTTTCCTCTTCATTAAATTTTCTTTTAAAATTATATATTTAGTATCCAGAAATTCTAAAATAGTCTCAAAAAGTGAAAAAAATCTTGTCAAAAATAAGCCTTTCGACGGCCAGCGTACTTCAGTGTGAAGGAGTAATTGATGAAAGTGTTCGTCATTTTCTTCAAACAACTGAGCAAATAACTGCGTATTCAACGCGTTGCTTCGGATTCGGTTTACTGCATTAATGATTATATGAAGTGATTCCTGCAATCTAACACTCAAATTTTTAGCAACTAAATGTTGTCGATGGATGACGCTATGTATTGCTAACACCCCTGAGACATTTTGTTTTAAATAGCTTATAAATCTACGATAACGTCCAACCATGGCAGGTGCTTCATCTGTAGCCAAGTTATCAAAGTTCTTGCGAAGAGCAGTTCTTCGTAGATTTCTTGATTCATAATAAAACGAACATATGCCAATAATAATGCTGCATTATCAGGTAAAGCTGACTTTCCAGTCAGTTGTATATAGAAATGGTTCGTTTGCAAATAATTACATAAGAAGCTTTCAATATCAGAACTCATTTCATCAATACGTCTTTCACCAGTATTGTTGCTTAAGGGAATTCTTTTAATGATATCAGATGCAGGTTTGTGTAAAACAGATTTTAAAACCTCTTCAACAGCTGGCAAAATTAACTTCTCTCCGATAGTATGCGGTTTTCCGGATTTTGCTATAAGTAACGAGATATTGTAAGACGCTCACAAACCATCATCATTTCTTTGTGACGTCGAAGCGAACATTCTGTCCAGTGTAGGTCTCTTCTGAAGTTTATCTTTGAAGTGTTTGAAAGTATTTCAAATCTTTCTCTGTTTTATCAGGGTGGCATCTTCTCAGATGATCTTGCAGTTTAGATGGTTTCATAGCGTCATTGCCCAAAACTTTGTTGCATAAAAGGCACATAGGCGATTGTTTGTCCGGCAATGATGGAATGAAGCCAAATTTCAAATAATCGACACTGTACTGTCTACATTTCTTTTTAGATTCGGACATGGCATCAGTCATCTGTGGGCAAAATTAAATTATTTAAATAAGACAGAAAATCCAGCAGCTGTATATTAAAAATATTTTTTGATTTTTCCGAAAACATTCCATAATTCGAACATCTTCTTGCAGCAATTAGCTCGAATTACGGAGATTGCACTGTAATTATAATACCGATTGCTAAAACTTTCAAAAAGAAACTATTGAGGAGTACTCGTGTAATTTTGCATGATTGAATATTAAACTACTAATAACTACAGTCATGATTGGCGTAATTTATCTATCTTTGCTAACTACGAGTACAAAAATAAAATTTAATAAAAAATAATGTACTTACTTTTCTCCAGCACTCTCAAACAAAATAACACTGACTCACTATAATTTGTGTGATATACTATATGTTTATATTTTTTTAAATATTTTCTTAGCACTTTCCTTTTCAAGAATCAAGAAACGAATAAACGTATTTGTCCCACATTCGTATTTATAGAGTGACGAATTGAACAAGTCAGTGCAAGGCAGCGAAGCTCTGAGACTGCGACTCTCAGGTTTTTACAAGTTCAAACCTGCGTCCGATGAAGCTTTAATAGTCTCGGGACTGAAAGCAAAAACATCAGTTAATACACGACAAGTTCAAAATGTATTGCGACCACAAAGCGAATACCAACATCCTACAACTTACACAATTTTATAAACATATATAATAATTTTTTTACTTCATAGGTACTATCAGTGTATGTGTAGAGATCCACTATCGTGGACCCCCATTTTCATTTCATGGGCCCCCAAATTTTCGCTGACGTAGACCCCTTGCAGGTTGTCATAGACCCCTAGGGGTCGATATAGACCACTTTGGGAATCACTGCACTAGACGAAACGCAGAAGTATAATACTCTTCTACTTCACACCGGTCTTCTGTGAGGTGCCCGTTCGTGCAATAGCTAAGACTGTTGCGTGGCTCTACCACCTTGAAAGCTTTTAAAGAAACTGGGCCCCGGGTACCTCACCAAACAAACGAAACGCAAAAGTCTAATACTTCCTCATCATGCCGGTGTACTGTGACTGTTCTTTCTGGAACGAATCTGCTCATTCCGGATAAATAAGGGCCAGATGGGCTGGGCTCATTGTGGTCCGCAACTCTTTAATCAGAGCATCTCATTGAGAGAAATTTACCTTGACAGGGTTAGATAGTTAATTAGTCAGACAGTTTGGATATTTTGTTTATATTTAAGTTTAAATCCTTTCCATTTAATTTCTTATAGGGTACTCAAGGCAGGTTTAGGTTTCTTAATTAATTAAAAGTCTGGATTGTGCAGTAAAAAGAATTTATTACATCAACCTTTCTACTTGTATAAATTAATAACGGAGCTCTTATTCTCTGATCTTAGGCTTCTCTCAATTAAATAAATCTATAAAAACCCTAGCTCACTCTAGCAGGATCCACCACACTGCACATAGAGACGCATATTTGCGGTTAAAGTCCAGAAGTACCCTCTAGTTATTGTGTTTTTAAAATGTATTAGCTATTACTCATGGCGCCTTCTCACAAAAAAAAAAAGCGTTTAACAAACATTTCCACAGAGATTCTCCGGCAGCAATAACAACGGGGTATTTTGTAGGAGTTTTAGCTATTGTGGTAGTTTTGTAGAACTTTCCAACGAATATAAGTGATATTTAGGGGCATGAGCGCCGGCAACAGGGTGCAAGGACAAGGAGTACATTCCCTCTCCTATGTCCCTTCCGTTAAGTAAGAAAATCTATAAAAATATTAAGTTTATAGTACAGCGTCTAGATGCAGATGCCCCTCTCTAAAAAGAATTTCTAACGGCGCCCGTGCATATAATTATGTGTGTGCTATACTTATTTTTATTTAGATAATGGTATGGGATAGCTCAGTTTCCTGTCGTTTATTTTTAATTCAATATAATCGAACAATTTGAGTTTAAGTCCCGGTGCCGGCACCAAAGCCCGCTGATCGATAACGAAATCGTGAAGGAAAGCATATAAAGAAAATTTTCGGAAGATATGTTATATCTGCCAACCGACGCGATAGCTGCCATACCTAAAAATTAATGCAAAATGAATAACTAAAATATTAATTTGAAAGCGATGAAGGCTAAAATGAAATTTCGGACGGCACAGACATAACGTTGGACGTCGGTAATTACTGACATCCGCATTATTTATTCGAGTAACCTTTTCAGACGAATACGAAGCAAGAAAAGTACAGGATGATGCCAACTGCTTTATTTTAAACTACAATTTTTATAGTAGCAGATTAGAATTTGGAGAAACTGAAACCAATACTGGGGATGAAAGCGCGCGTTGTTACATCACTATAAGATAGCTGATAAAAATATGGTTTAAAAATATCTAAACCAAACAATTAAATATATCATTTTTTATTTTAAAGGGATAGAAACTAATGTAAGTTAATAAAGTAGTAAAAAAGGATCAGGCGCCGTCGCAGACTATAATGAGTGTCGGCCCCCAGCTTCATACCTCACCGAAATATATTATACTTCGATATGCATACTAAATACGCATATATTATACTTCGATCATTATACTATTTCGTGCCAAAAGACCATATAGTAAACAGTATTTAATTTGTGTCAAATGATAATTATTAAATTTATTCCAGAAATAAATGAAACACCCCTAATTTGAACTATTTTCTTGAAAGTTCAGTTAACGCCGTATTCGAGGCATTAAGTTCATTCATGGCCATCGTATAAAATGTTAACATGTCTCGTTTGGTAGTGCGGCTCGCATTTTCAGTTAATAAGCCTTTAATAATAACACTGCTCTATGATTGAATATCAAAATCTACGCGAATAATGACCAGGGATTCATTTTTCGAGGCAGCTCAAAGCGAAGCGCCTGTGGTGTTGCAAGATGCAATTATGGACGATCGTTGTGTTTTGTCTTTGTTGCTATGTATATGCGGAGGAGTTTCCTTCATTGATCACCGCGAACGCTTCGATAGGTATGGATTTAATTTCAACATACATCAAGACAACTCATATATTCTGTAAAGTAAAGTAAAGTAACAGCCAATACATGTCCCACTGCTGGGCAAAGGCCTCCTCTATACAGAGGGTATCAGGGCATAGTCCACCACGCGGCCCCACTGCGGATTGGCGGACTTCACATATTTTCGAAATATATATTTTTTTTGTTATTATTTCGAAAATATGCAGGTTTCCTCACGATGTTTTCCTTCACCGCGGAGCACGTGATAAGTCAGCACTTAAAGTTAAAAACTTCATTGGTGCCGGCACCGGGGATCGAACTCAGGTTGCTCGAGTATATTGAATTAAAGGCGAGCGCCCGGACACTGAGTTATCACGGCTCTATATTCTGTATAATACCCATATATTCTTTATAAAAATAAATATACATAATATTAGTTTGTAAAGATAGGTACCTATATAGCTAAAGATATATTATAGAAAGTGATGAAAAAATATAACGTTAGTAGTAAGTAAATACATATACTTTTAATTTTGACATACCTTTTGGCTACTATCCTAGCGACGAACTTAAAGAAATACACTGTGGCGTTTTAATGCAGTTATTGTTACTAGCGTTAACAAGCTTTTTGAACAAGGAACAAAATAATAGGAGTAAGATTGCTAGTGGGTAGTGAAACTGCCGCTTGCGCCAGAGGGTGTGGGTTCGAACCCCACTGCTGGAATAATATTTTGTGATGAACCTAGTGTTTTCCAATGTGTCTGGGTGTTCACATATCTATAATATGTATTTATTTACAAAAGAAAAGTATGTTTAATAAATATGTTTATTTAATATCTAGTACCCATAGTGCAGGCGTAGCTTAGTTAAGGACTAGAGAACGTTGTGTAAAAATGTGTCCCGAAATATTTAACAAAGCCCAGAATCTCTCTGTATAATGTACAGTAGTGGGACGTGTATAGGCTGTTACTTTGCTTTTTTATGACTTGCCTTAAGCGTTTTTAAATAAGAGTACATTCTGTATGCCCGCAGCCGTCATTTTAGACAGGCAGTTTCTCGGCGATCAGTACCAGCCAATACTCGACGAATTGAAGGATTATATAAAGGAGTTGGCGAGGGTTGAGCTGAAGCATGGCGGAGTGGTAGTCCATTACTATTCTTGGACCTCTATTAACATCAAAAAAGGTTAGGGAATTGTTTAGTCGTGGCTTTAGTTTACATTTTCGATATTTTTCTAAATGAAATTAATTTAATCTAGATACATATTTAAAAATAAGTACAAAATCTATCTTCTTTTAGCCCGAAAAATAAATTATGTATAACTCAGTCATTTCCTTGTGCCATGTTGTGTTAAATATTTGTATCATAAAATTTTGTTTTTACGTTTCATTTCATAATTATATTAATGTTTTAGCGTTTCCTCTTTATTTAATTTTTATTGATTTGTATTTTTATTTTATCTTTTATATTATTGTCATGTCTCAGAGTGTAAATCGTTACTCTACTACTCGTACAATTTTATTTTATATATATATTATTTTCCCCAACTCGTCTAATAGGGTTCACTGAAAACCGGCGCTGTGTCTAAAACCGCAGCAGGAGCCGAGTGAACACCCATTTAACATCACACTGCCTGTCGTAATGTATAATAATTATAGCCTATTATTTATAATAATAATAATAATAATAATAACGTTTATTTGCAAAAAACATGGTATAGAGATGTTACAAACAAGTATAGTACAACATGTCTTGCCACGACAATACGAAGCATGCAAATATAAAAAAATAAAAATAATTTAAAATTTGCAATATTTGAGATTTCTTGGACATAAAATCATTAACATTGTAGAAACTATTCTCGATTAACCAAATTATAAAATTTGGTTTTAAATAGCCTAGTATTTAATATTTTAAGTTCTTTAGGTATCTTGTTGTATATCTGCACACACATAAAGAGACAGTTTCTACTATATTTTCTCAATTTAGGATTATCACTCAGTACAAGTCTGTATGGGTCCCGGCGGTTCCGAATATTTATATCATCCACTGTGTTAAATAATTTCTTGTGCTTCCAAACAAACATGCCTACTTCATATATATAAAGGGACGGTAGAGTCAACAATCTAAGTTTTTTATAAATCTGCTGACATGAGTCAGTAACTTTAAGTCCATATATCGCTCTGATACATTTCTTTTGCGCTATAAATGCTCTTTTTTGTTCAGTGCTATTACCCCATATTACGATTCCATAGCGAAGTATCGACTCAACATATGCGCGGTAGGACAAGATAGCCGTTTTCAAGTTTGCAATATTTTTGATTTGTTTAAGAGCATAAACAAATTTATTTATTTTAATAGATATATCGTTTATGTGTTGTTTCCAATTTATATCTTCGTCTATAGTTACACCTAAAAATTTGGTATATGTAACTGCCTTTATTTTCGGTATATTTAGTTTAGGGTTATATTTACTGTTATTACACTTATTAAATTGTATGTATACTGATTTATTTAAGTTGATTTTTAGATTATTTGCATATAACCATTCAATTAAATTATCTATTGTGTTATTTATATCCTTTTCATGATCATCTACCGTGCAATATTTTTTGTCTGATGTTATAATAATTGAAATATCATCAGCAAACAATATACATTTATGATGAGTAACATTAATAATATCATTTATGTACAATACAAATAATATGGGTCCAAGTACACTTCCTTGGGGTACGCCATGTTTATTATGTTCATATTCAGATGAGTACGGTGTAACGTTGTTTTCTGTGTCTATTTTCATGCTTGTGACGCGTTGTTTTCTGTCACTGAGATAAGATGATATCCACTGCTGCGCTGGTCCCCTAATGCCAACTTTTTCTAACTTTTGCAACAAAAGATCATGAGAAACCACATCAAATGCTTTTGATAGGTCGAGAAATAGACCCGTAGTAAGATGATAATTATTTATATTGGATATTATTGTTTTCATAAGAGAAAAAATAGCCAGTGCCGTCGATTTATTTTTTTGGAAGCCATATTGTTCATCGCTAATGGTATGATATTTAGTGCAGAAATCCATTAGTCTTTTATGCATGCGCTTTTCGTATACTTTGGCCAAAATAGGTACTAAAGTTATCGGGCGATAGTTGCTAATATCATATCTGTCTCCTTTTTTAAACATCGGCTTAATAATGGATAATTTCAGTGCATCTGGAAAGATGTAATATCAATGTACTTCATTTTTTTCCTGGATGTGTTATTCTTTACTTTAGATTATGTTAAATAAATTTCTTTCTTTATTTCCTTCTTTCTAATAAAATAAGAAACAAGTTACGTATTTTTATTTATTTCTTTAATTTCTAACTGTTTAATAGGTAGAATTATTTAATGGTTTGATTCAAGTTAGCTTTGTACGCTTTAGGCCTTTATCGGCATGACGTAATACATCGTTTACCGAAAAATAGACCATTGACCATTGTTAAATAATGGGTTGCTGTAGATTTTGTAAGAAATAAACAATAAAGAGAAAGAGATGGAAATTTGAACGTGTCGAGAGTTTCAGGTTTCCTGGCAGTGTTCAGCGTTGCTTCCTGCGAAGACACCTGGACTTTGTTCTCCCGCGCCGTCGAGGAAGAGCTCCTGTTGGTCGCATTGACGGAGGCCGGCTGTCCGAGGTTGCCAGCAGACGCGGCGGTGACCGTCACCTACACCGAAGCCGGCCAGGAGCTGCCACAGATTATACTAGACCTGAGGGCAGAGCGGGCTTTCAACTGGAAGTCCGCCGTCATACTGCACGACGATGCGTTAAGTGAGATAAGATGAGATTATCACTTATTTGATTTTAACATGCTATATAGGTGTTACAAAGCATTAATATTAAACAAAATGAGCTAATTTATAAATAGCATGCAAATATATAAATGGTATCAACAATGTTACGTGTTGTACTTTGTGTTTTTCTATTTGTTGAATTGCACGTAATTTGATTTACTTCAAAACATGTAGAAAAAGTACGAAAGTTGGTTTACTTATTGATATTAATTTTTAAGTTATTTAATTCTAGCCATTCTATAATGTAGGCAATTTTATTATTAATATTAATTCCTTGATTAGTGATTGAATTATTATTTTCATTAGATGTAACAATTACAGAAATATCATTTGCGTTAAGTCCTTAAAGATTCTATATACTCGTATATACCAATTAAATCGTTAGTGCGTCCATCAATATTTGCGCAACTTCTAAACGAATTGACTGATTGCGGTCATAAATATAACACTGACGTTTGTAACCTCATGTTAATTTCCGTATCATACAGTATCTTTTTCCGACCTGTGATTGCGAGTCATATTTAGCATACTCAGTATTATCACATATTATTCAAGTTATGCCAGAGGTACCAAAAATAACTGTCGGGCTAGATACAATCTACTTTATAAAGGGTTGAATCACGTTTTTTTCTAATAACATAGTCCAGCGAATTCCGCCTCAATTTTTCTTTTCAACTTCTTTAATTACCCTATTATTTAATCAGTGTAAATATGATATGGTATAGAATCTAATCAATTTGTACCCACTTGTACCTTTACACACTAGACATGGAGACGATATCCCGAGTGGTTCAGTCCATGACATCTCAAGTGGTTAACGGGATGGTGCCATCTGTGTCCGTCGCCGTGTACAAAATGAAGTACATGACAAACGAGTACCTGAAGAAGAAGGAAATCCATCGAGTACTGTCCAAATTGCCAGTGAAAAAAATTGGTACGTAGCTTTTTTGTGATCATATCATTTCATTTCAATTTTGTATGGTCGTAAAAGGATGTTATGTTTATGTAAAGAGAATTAATCTGCGATTTTCACATGAAATACATCCATCGGTATTATTAAATAAAATATTTCACCGCTGAGCACGCGATAATTAAGTACTTAAAATTAACAATTTCATTGGTGTCTTAACCGGGGATCGAACTCAGGTTGCTCAGAGTATATTGAATTAAAGGCGAGCGCCTCGACACTGGGTAATCACGGCTCAACACTGAGCTATCTCTAGAGAGAATGGTCTTTTCATAATATCTGAACACTTTCACGGATGTTATTCGGATTGCTTTTGCCTATTTCCTGCTGGCACTGTTGCAAGTAATTATTTAATAACTAAAGTCAATGCTTTTTTTATCAGGGGAGAATTATATGGTGATAGTTAAATCGGACGTAATGCCAGTGATAGCGGAGAGCGCTCGCCATCTTCAGATGTCACACACCCAGGCACAGTGGCTATACATTTTACCCGATACGAGCGTCCGCAACAGAAGCTTCGAGAACCTGATTGACAGTTTACACGAGGGTGAAAACGTTGCATATCTCTTCAACGTTACGGACGATCACCCAGAGTGCAAGGTGAAGATGTCAGTTTCACTATAACGGTTATGTTTGACGGACTCTAAGCTCCAGCGTCACCAACTTCTTCAAAATCATCCATCAGCCGAACAGGTTCTAGAATGGATAACGCTGTTAAAATATATTAAGTTAGGTTATGAAAAAGGCAATACTTGAATGATTTTCAAAATTTCATACAAGTATGGTGATCATGAAATCGGCTGGTCCGTTTTGACCAAAGTTTCGGTGAGCTCATATTATTATGATTAGGAATATTTATAGTATTCTGATCGTCACGTTGGTCGTCCGATCGGCTGAACTGCAGATTATATGTTTACATGAAATCTAATATGCGTGCCCTTTAAAGTGTGAAGGAGTGTTAATTTTAAATTATAAAGATATGGTTCTTTTCGCAGGCTACATATTTGTAGGTACTTTATATAAGCGATTTTCATGAAATTTAGTATGTGCGTAGATTCGGGGGCGAAAAATCGATCTGACTAGGTTTCATTATTAGAAAATGTCGTTTTATCCCAGTTTTCAGGGAATGAAAAATATTATTCGAATACAATAAATATTTCACCGAAAAATGTTATAATAGCTCGGTCGGTAATCGGGCGGCCGCTAACAAACAGCCACGAAACAGAAGGCCGTTGTTCGTATCACGATCATTTACACACTTATTTTTTTACTTTTTTTTCGATTCCAGATCATTGCTTTCTTTATCTTTTATTTTTTGTCGATTTGTTATTTTGTTATTTTTTCCCTTTTTTTTCTAAGGTTCTTTCTTTTGTGAAAAACACCAGTTCATATTATTACGTCGGTAAGATCGAAACATATTATGCATATTTCATTACTTAGTAATTTGTATATAAATGTAATTTCCAAAATACACGATTTACCAAAAAAAAAAAAACGGCCCACCCGGCCCCCCCGCTATATACGCCTATACGTACGTAATGTTATCTACTTAGCGAGTAAGTAAGGTGATTCATATTCGGACAATGTTATACGTTCTCACATGAGACGTTTCGGAGATACGCGAAATTTGTACGTGTACAAGAATTGCTCGCATAAATTGAAAAAAAAAAAATGTAACACTAACGCCCGATTTCTGAAACACTGATCATCGTAGATGTCAACTAATTAGCTGGCAAATGGTTTTTAAAATATCATTTTAGTTGCCAAGAGTAATTCCAGAGAGTTTAACCAACGTTAAACTCTCTGGATTGACCAGAATGATCTTCTTAATGATCAGAATGATCAATTACTTTTTTTATAAATTTTAATGTTTAATTTAAATGCAGAGATTAGCACTGTAAAAAAATTAAATTTCTAAAAAGCAATGGCGACATCTCTCGTTCGATTTATCGTTGTAAAACGATATTCGAAATTGTTTGTATACTGGAAAAGACATGAAAATGGTTGCGCCAAGTATTGTTTCAAATGCTAAAAACTATGTAGATGAAAGGCGTTAAGATTTTCGTAAACGAGCTATTTCATTGTATTTGAGTAATGCTTTATAGAACGGGATGATGTGCTATTGCAAGGAGATCATGGACGCTTTCGTATCGGCTTTGGATTCGGCTGTGCAGGAGGAATTCGACGTGGCCGCTCAAGTCTCCGACGAGGAGTGGGAGGCGATCAGGCCGACGAAACTGCAGAGGAGGGACGCGCTAGTGAAGCACGTCAAGGTGGAGACTTAATGTCGTTGGCAACATTTAATTTTAACGTAGTACACGTATGACTAACTACGAATGGTTTATAAACGACTAGCGACCCGCCCCGGCTTCGCACGGGTGCAATGTATTATACATATAAATCTAACTATCGTTGTTCATTAAATATAACAAGTTAACTTTTGTAGCAACACATACAAGCCAACAGCAAGTGCGGGAACTGTAGCTCTTGGAGGGCGTTGGCTGCCGACACTTGGGGCGCCACCTACCGGCAGCACGCCGACAAAGCGGTAACAGTTGATAGTGACGTTAACACAACAAACGGAGTAATAGAGGATGTTCAACTGTTGCAAGTGAGAACAATAATGGCACATATTATGTTTAAGTTCGGGTAAAAAAAGGATATCTTTTTCTCTTCATACGAAGTATTATATTGTTATTTGGGGTCGGCGCATTAAGAATCAATTATGTTTAATTCATAATCATGTGGCTTCTCGCCCGTGGCTTATTTCCTGTTTTATCCAATACCTGAAATTGTTCTATTTGTTAATCTTGTGATGAAAATTTCTTATGCTTATCTTAGAAAGTAACCTCTCTATGGTATAATGTCTTGTAAGAGGCTGAAGGGAAACGAGAATTTAGTAATAAAAAATGGAAATAACGGTTGCAGGTGGGAACGTGGAGATCCATCGACGGGATGAGGTTTAACGACGCCCTGTTTCCTCACATCGCGCATGGATTTCGCGGGAAGGAGTTACCAATCATAACGTATCATGTAATGTACAATTCAATATATATATATAGATTAAGCCATAAATCTTAGCCAAAGGTTCGGCGATGAAGAATAATATCGTAAGCAGTCTTTTCCTTCTATTGACTTTAAGTCTGGCCATTAATTTCGATATTTATGTTTATACAAATGTCTATTATATGTCCTGTCAATTTACTAAATATTCTCCTTTTTTTAAATGTCTATTTTATAGAACCCCCCATGGACCGTGCTGCAAGCGAACGCGTCGGGAGCCATCGTGGGCTACGGCGGCCTTATATTCGAAATAGTGAAGCAGCTCGCAAAGAATAAAAACTTTACGTACAACTACTCATTATTCTCAATCAATCTTTTACACATTCTATTTCTCCGCATTTAAGTTCTTATTATTTAATTTTTAAATGTCAAATAGAGATGTGGTAGATATAAGGGACATGAATTAAATTTCATTCATGCCTTAAATTTAATTCTTTTATTTGCGTCTGTTTAATAAGTGCGTAGAATGTTGGCTTAATTTTGTCAAGTAAATGCAATGTAAGTTGCATGTTCCCGAGGATCGTCAAGTCCGTCGGATCTGTGAAGGCCCATAAGGCCAACAGTGGCTCGTCCAGCAAAAAAAAAAACGCAATATTTCTGTATATAAAGAAATATTCTTTTCACTATACGTATATAAAAAAATACGACACAGACGACGGAACATGATTTTCTTCTTTATTTATTGTTATTTTTAAATGACATTTTTTTTATTATCCTTATTTTTATGGAGTTATTATCTCTAAAGATACGCCAACCCCATCGTAACTTATACAGTACAACAACTTAGGAAATACGACTCCTTAAAATTATAGATTCTTAAACCGGGAACTACTGTTTGTTGATTTGAACAAGGCCGCATATACGTTTAATTGTTTCACTTTTGGGACTCACCAATATATTTAACATAAGACCAACATCTAATAAATTTACATTCAGATCTTTAAACAGCAGTTCCCTTTTATTTTAGTTCCATTCACAGTCCATCAGCATACGACACACATCTTCGATTTTATTGCATACCTCACAATATGGTGAGGCAGCCTTTCCCATTTTTAAAGGATATATACAGCGACACGAAAGCATAAATACATACAATAAATGAACACACGTCTAACGCTACGAACCAATAATCATAAAAAAATATTAACGTAAAACAAAATCCATAATTAAAAAAAACTATTTTTCAAACAAACTAATTAAGTAAAAAAGAAACAAAATTTCTAACATCCTATACAACTCGCGCCACAGCGTCATATTACAAGCCTCTCCTTCTAACAGTATGTTTTATCTCTTTTAAATTCATTCAACCCATTCATATGCTTTGTGACCTTTACAAATGAACTTTGCGTTACGCTTTTATAGGTAAGGGTGTTCTAAAATTCTCTGTTTTGGAAAATTTAATAACTCTGTAAATATTGATGTTTAAAGAATTTAAACGTTTAATACAACTTTAAAAACCTATCCCCTATATATGTGTTCATTTATTGCCGCGATGGTAAGGACACGCTGTATAATATGACTTTATAAAAGCTCGTTAGATTACTACGAATTCGATCCAAAATGATCGTGTATGGGACGTAAAAAATTGATAGTTAACAAATAAAATATTTTTTTTCCAGAATTCACATCTTGCTGCCGAGTAACTTAAAGGGCAAATACTCTAATGATACATCAAGCGATGTACGTATTGGTATTGCGCTGTATTTTTATTCTGCACCATAAAAAAACATGTTGACTGAAAAAGAACTGTCCTGTTAATCCATTTTGCAAATCCAAAGTATTAGTTAGTTTATTTAACAGCATAGTAGCGATGCGATGTTATTTCATGTTCAATTTCAGATGATTCACAGCCAAAGCGCTAAATTGACAATGGCGGCGGTTGCCAAGGGTTTGGCGGCATTGGGCGCCGCGCCGTTTAGTGTTCTGCCAGATCCGATGCCAGGTAACAAGTTACGACTGGCCGTTGCTTACTTAGAAAAGATTTATTGCGATGGCTTCGCGTCCAATGTTTATGCTGTTTATACTGGCGTGTGCAATGTTAGTGATATATTCAGAGAATTAGTACAAGACTTATTGTTTTTAGTTCGTAACAGATATGTTATATAAAAGTTTTATCTACACGAGCTGTTTTAGTTATGCCGTTTTAGTATTGCGTAGTTGTACGCTTGTATAGCTCATTTATTTAAACTTTGTTATTACACCTTAAGATAAGGGCTTCAATGGGCGGACTTAATGCCTAATGACATTTTCTACCAGTCAACCCTTGTTATGTCATGTAGTGCTCTATCCATTAATATTATGTACTCGTACAGCCTGATTTCAAATCCAAATTTAAAACAGACGTTAAAATCGATAATTTCAAAATTGATAAAATCACTTTTAAGCTCTGTTTTGCGACGTACTTATTTGCTTATGAGAGATTTTTCCGTTATATGAAATCAGACAAACCGCGTGTCTTCTGTACAGAATATACCTGGGCCCAGATGCGGCGGCTACCACTTAAAATCGGGTGAACCGCGAGTTCGCCTTCCACCTTCTATGATAAAAAAAAGTCACGAACAGGTCTTTTGTTGAGGCTTAGTATTCGACATTCAATTCTGACGATCAATGACTTTCGATAGATGCAAACTGTAGATAATAAAAATGACACCACTGAATAAATAATTCTTATGTTTAAATATATTTTTCAACACGAACGGCTGACCCTTTCCTGAATTCTTGTCTAGTTCTATTAACATTTAAACATTTTTCAACACGAACGGTTGACCCTTTCCAGAATTCTTGTCTAGTTCTATTAACATTTAAAAAATTTTCAACACGAACGATCGACCCTTTCCAGAATTCTTGTCTAGTTCTATTAACATTTAAACATTTTTCAACACGAACGGTTGACCCTTTCCAGAATTCTTGTCTAGTTCTATTAACATTTAAACATTTTTCAACACGAACGGTTGACCCTTTCCAGAATTCTTGTCTAGTTCTATTAACATTTAAACATTTTTCAACACGAACGGTTGACCCTTTCCAGAATTCTTGTCTAGTTCTATTAACATTTAAACATTTTTCAACACGAACGGTTGACCCTTTCCAGAATTCTTGTCTAGTTCTATTAACATTTAAACATTTTCCAACACGAACGGTTGATCCTTTCCAGAATTCTTGCCTAGTTCTATTAACATTTAAATATTTTTCAACACGAACGGTTGACCCTTTCCAGAATTCTTGTCTAGTTCTATTAACATTTAAACATTTTTCAACACTAACGGTTGACCCTTTCCTGAATTCTTCTCTAGTTCTATTAACTTCTTGCAGGTATAAATTACACATTAGCCGTGAGTACGCAAGCCTACGCTTTCCTCATCGCCCGACCGAGAGAGTTGAGCAGAGCTATGTTGTTCCTGCTGCCTTTTACCACCGACGTGAGTCCGTCCATCTTTGCACTTATCAGATGGTGTTTTCGTGATTATACAGGAATCAATAGCAATATAACGAGTTCCGCTTTAAAAGTGATTACGTTACGTGAGATGAAAATGTGTTTATATATATGTATGATTTCAATTTTTTTACATATAGTAAAATTATTATGTCTATGTGTGCCAGACAATAGCTTACTATCAACGTGTATTTATTGGCAAAAAATTCTTATTATTGGTATGTTTAATAGTTTGTATCTTAAACATAGTTTTCATATGGTAGAAGCTTCGCAAGGTATCGGTGATTTTCAACTTACTCGTACTTTTAGTCTTCCCTACATTTATGTTATGGTCTTGGTCAGATTAACCTTTTAGTGTTTAATATACCTTTTAAAATAACAAAATTAAGGAACTATTTAACGAATCATTATCCACTAGCAACCGAAAAGATTTAACTTTTTTTTAATTTTGGAATGTCCGGCCACTAAAGATTTATTTGAATTAACTACTATTTCCCAATTTGATGCCTGGCAGTAGCCAACAAAGGCATGTATATAAATGTTTGACTCGGTTAAATTTTTCAGACGTGGCTGTGTCTGGGTTTCGCAGTGGTTCTCATGGGGCCCACATTGTACGTAGTACACCGACTCAGCCCTTACTACGAGGCAATGGAAATAACACGACAGGGAGGCCTATCGACGATTCACAACTGCCTCTGGTACATTTACGGTGCACTGTTGCAACAGGGTTAGTGTAAAGTCATCATCCTCCTACCTTATCCCGCCTAGGTGGGGGTAAGCCGTTTTGGCTATGTTTTTACGGCCTGCCTGACGTCAACCCTTCTTGGGAAGGGTCAGTATAAAGTAATGACTTAAATATGTCTATAATAATAATTTTCATCAAAAACAGTTTACATAATTAGTTGACGTTTAAGCTTGTGCGATATCGAAAGGCTTTCATTAATTTAGATTATTGGCTTTATGCAACCACGAGCCTTCATGTTTGCGTAATTTCTTGTCCCATTGGTTTAATTCTTGTCTCAAATTGCAACTTTAACTTTTAATAATTTTTGAGCCTTCCTTCATATTGTAATACAATATAGTAATTCGATTATTTTAGCTTTTTTATTAAAACGTTGTCTGTAGGCTGTTGATAAATTATGTATATCTGCAAAGGATTCCAAAAAAAGATAATATCAAACGACTTCAGGTGGAATGTATCTCCCTAGAGCGGACAGTGGCCGCTTAGTGGTGGGCACTTGGTGGATCGTGGTGTTGGTCGTGGTGACGACGTATTCCGGAAACCTCGTCGCATTCCTCACGTTCCCAAAGCAGGAGCTTCCGGTGACAACCATTGCTGATTTGTTGGAGAACAAGGATGTGTACACATGGTCGATTAACAAGGGCTCTTATTTAGAGATGGAGTTGAAGGTCTGAACATCCGTTTGAATTATATGAGTTATATATATATATATACATATATATATATATATATATATATATATACTAGCTGCTGCCCGCGACTACGTCTGCGTAGAGGGGTGAAAATTGAGGATTGTATGTATTTTTGTATGTTGTATCATAAAAAAATAGAAATTAAAAATTTTGTCTAAAAAATAAAAAAAAAAATTTAGGGGTGGACTACCCCTAACATTTAGGGGGATGAAAAATAGATGTTGGCCGATTCTCATAGATACCGGATAAGCACAAAAAATTTCATCAAAATCGGTCAAGCCGTTTCGGAGGAGTATGGCAACGAAAACTGTGACACGAGAATTTTATATATTAGATATATATATATATAAATTTTAAAGTTTTTTTATAGTGCTAATCTCTGCACTTAAGATTGAATATTAAAACAACAAATAAATGTTTGTAAGCTGGAAAGGATATAACAATAGATGCGCCAAGCATTGCTTTAAATGCTAAATAACAATGTAGAAAGAAGGTGTTAAGGTTTTCGTCGCTGTGGCTATCAGCCGTTTAGCTCAGTGGCTAGAGCGTCAGTCCGCGAATGCCGAAGACGTGGGTTCGATTCCCACAGTGGCGACATTCTTTTCGTACTTCTTCTACATGTTTTTATATCTATATATATAATTGTGGCAGAGCCACGCAGCAGCCTCGACTGTTGCACGAATGGGCAGGTTCATCCGGGTAAGTACCACGGCCTCACAGAAGACCGGCGTAAAGTGGAAGTATAATACTTTCGCGTTGCGTGTGGTGAGTGAGGTAGCCGGAGCCCAACTTTCAAAAGGTTGTGAACACATCTGCAATCTTCAGGTGTAGCAGATGTCCATGGGCGGCGGTATTCACTTAACATCAGGTGAATCGCCTGGTCGCTTGCAACTTATCACATAAGAAAATATATTTGATTTCACTGTTCCCTGCTGCATTTTCTTATATTTATCGTGTACTATGAAATATATGTATTTTTGTCTTTTATATTTTCTATACTATAAAAAGCATGACTGTCTTATGACTGACTGACTGACTCTACGATCGGGATTAATAGAATAATGATACTTTCATATTTCATCTGAGAAAGTCTTTTTGGTTTGATTCTCATGGTTTCATGACGGACTTTTCATGAAAAAGATAAGTAAAAGTAAACACTCCTCAATATAATGAGAAACTAGGTGCGATACTTCGTGCAATCAATGGATTTTTTAATAGATTGTGATACTTAAAAATCCGATTTTTGTATAGTTTGTACGAAAAAATATAAGCTGGCCAAGTGTGAGTCGGACATGCACACGAAGGGTTCCGTTATCCACCATTATCTATTAAAACGGCAAAATAATCATGTCACTTAAATATTTTTACATTCTGTTTTTGGTATTTGATGTTATAGTGGCAACAGAAATACGTTATCTGTGAAAATTTTAGCTGTCTAACAATCACGATTCATGAGATACAGCCTGGTGACAGAAGAGCCTAATTACTAGGGTCATTATCCCCTTTAATTGAATGTTACTTTTATAAATTATTATTTTTTACCAGAATTCTGACGTACCAAAATACATATCGCTGTTAAAAGGTGCGGAATTAATAATAAACAATGAGAATGCTGAAAAGAATCCAAAATCAGGTAAGGACAATATAAATCATGTCGCCAATGAGTTCTTGTGTAAACTATATCAAATGTTACCAGTAAACATTTTGATATTTATATTATTTTTATCAAAGTTCAAATTGCAATAAGTTTATAATTGCAATTTGGACCTTTATTCACTGTTTTTATTTTTGAACTTTTACGAAAATGATAGATGGTTAAATAAAACTATTAAATTTCAGTTGGAATGCGAAAAAACAAAGTAGATAAAAGACGTTGAGATTTTGGTCTGTTTGGCAATCAGCCGTTTAACTTAGCGGGTAAACCGGAAGACGTGGGTTCGATTTTCGAGAGAAACTTTTCGTCCATGTTTCTACAAATTTTAATGTTTCATACTGTTAACAGCGACATGGTCGTATTCATTGGACGTTGAAAATATGGAGAGACTGAGTTATTTTACGTCTTTGTGTCATAGATAATCTGGGCTAGCGTCGATATCCAATTATTTTTAAATATAATAGCTATAAATAAAATTCATTGCGAAACGTTACCACTGAAATAATAAATAAACGAAATCTGGCACAAAAATTCATATTTTGTGAAAAATAAAAGAAACTTGTAGAAATATTTCCGTAACTTATGTTTAAGAATCACGAACATATTTTTTTCGTAATCAATTCCTAATACCAATTAAAATTATAGTAATTAAAAACAATATCGTTAAGTGGGTAATAATTCAGATTCGTCCATCCTCGAACGGGTGCGCAAACGGAGACACGTGATCATCGATTGGAAGATGCGTTTGAGCTACGTCATGCGGGCGGCGACCCTGGCTACGGACAGATGCGACTTTACTGTCAGTAAGTGTTAACTGTGGTAGGGCCACACAACATTAGACGCTGCAGCACGGATGGGCGGGGACAGGGAAATAACATGACCTCACTAAAGAAGGTGAGTGGTAACTGGTGCCCAATTGATTAAAGGATAAACGCATCTGTAACCCTTCTGTATTGCTAATGTCCATGGGTGGCGCTTATCACTTAACACCAGGTGAACCGCCATATCGCAAAAAATACTATTTACTGTCAAAGCGTCAAATTAGAGCTCCCCTTATTGCACAAATGGGCAGACTCGTCTGGGAGAGTACCACGGGCACATGACTGGGATGAAGTTTTATACTTATACGTTTCACCTGCGAGAAACGGCCCACTATTTTATAGGTTGGCAATGTATATGCAACCACACAGCTGCTGAAGATCTCCATGGGCGGAGGTAACATCAGGTGAACCAACCGCATGCCTTTCACCTTCTTATTTTCTTTCATATTTACTTTATTAGCTAGATTTATCAAGAAATTCCGGTGTGTATATTTCACTAGGATTTACACCAGACACTGAGCTATCTAATGATTTTTTTTTACCAAGGTGCAGAAGAGTTTATGGATGAAAAGGTTGCGATGATCATGCCCGCTGGCAGTCCATATCTTCCAGTCATAAACGAGGAGTTAGTAGAGCAACAGTTTTTATAAATGATTTATTGCTTATTAATTGAAAGAAGAGAGTTTTCTTCTCTTATGCTACGATATGTTAGACAAAGCAAATAGCCAATGCTAACAAGAGCAAAAAGGCTGGTTTGGTTGTAAGGCACGCCAAAAAGAAATATTTCTTGACGATGATACGCCATTAATCGTGACATGCCTATTGCGTCTTTATGACGTTTGTTTGAATGCGACTTCATTTAATTCAACAATTGATTACAGTGCATAATTATTTTAATTTTTCCTCATAGAATATTTTAATTGATTGTTCGTCTGCACGTTTATATTGTGTATGTTTATATACAACTTATACGCACATGTAGAGATAACCGTACTAGTAGTTTATGTAGATAAGATAAATTATGTTATAGTTTCAAATTAAAGTTCACACCGCTTTGCCACATTTGTGTCCATTGAGAGCAGTTCACACTGACCTTCGTCACGTTCCTGTATATTCCTTGGGCCTAGGAGCACTAGTGATTATCTCTTGTGCAGGTTAAGTCGCATGCACAAAGCGGGACTGATAGAGAAGTGGCTGGCCGAGCGGCTCCCTCAGAGAGACCGCTGCTGGAGGAGTGGCACGGCCGGACAACAGATCGACAACCACACGGTGAACCTGCGCGATATGCAGGGCTCATTCTTCGTTCTATTTCTGGGTGAATGTTTTTGTTAAATAGCGCTGGTGGTCCAGCAAATAGTAGTGATCACCGCAAAGCGAAATGCTCCAGCTACGTGCCCTTATGTGATACGGAGAGCCCGTGCTAACAACAATTCTCCAGGACCCAACAATTTGAGTGAGTAGTTGGTAAGCGGGGAGGAGGTTCGACTTATGCTAAGTGATTATCGCCGCCAATGGATATCTACAAATCCTTTATGGTGCGAGAAACGTTACCAAATTTTAAAAAATTGGGTTACAGTTCCTTCACTCTTCTAAAAATTATAACACATCCACTTCACGCTGGTTCACTGAAAGGACGTGGTAGTTCCCATTCGCTCAACGTCAGAAACTTCTGCGTGGCCCTTCTACTGTGATAATATATAATAGAGATACCGTTGTAACTCTGGAAATTCTTCATTGAAGGTTGAGGTATCAATAGAAATATGGGATTCTTTCTTCGCTAAGTTCCTGTGACGTGCATGTTTATTTCAATATAAAGTGAACATTTTCAATAGGATTTACGAGTTTCGGACTTCGTGGATAATATCACACACATTAGTGCCCCGGCTTCGCTAGGCCACGTCAGGTTTCACCCTCTTAAATTGAACAAACACATATATTAGGATTTGTATATGGCGAGATCGACACATGAATTTTTGTCAAATGTACTATTTTACTATATTGAGTCCCTTCAAAAATCTCACTGTAACTTATGACAGTGCCACAATCATACCCCTTTAATGTTGTACATGGTCATTGCATTCGTGGTACCATTTTTTACTGAATTTTACGTAAGGAATTGATGAAGCTGTGCCTGTCACATAGCTTCTTTACTTCCGTTTAATGCAATCGTCAGGAGGAATATGGCTTATTTAGTATATTAGAACTTTTTAATTTTTTCAGGTATATTTACAGCGTTCATGGTACTCTTCATGGAGCACATGTATAAGAAACGAAAGAATAGAAAAGACAGTGATATTATAAAACCCTATACCGAATAAAATTAGAATGATTTGTATAAATCTATTAAATAAAGCTTCGAGAAAATGTTTGTTTTCTCATTTTTTGCCAGTGTTATATTTTTTTAGTTATATAGATTTGCCCACCAATCGGCCCTTACATGACTTAATTAATTGTTCGTATTTAATGCGTGAGAAAGGCTCATTTATACCTTCTTGTCAATTCTCTTTTTTCACTATTGAATAAAGGGCATTCTGACATCGAGCCACCGAATTGGCGTTTCACAAGGATCTCGCCTCTCGCCATTGCTTTTTCTGCTTTACACGTGAGCCGTCCATAAGGATCCTCTTGTCGCACTCGTGCCTTTCACAGACGACACGACTCTATTTTGTTCGGATAAACTTGCTTGCAAATGACCACCCGCTTAATTATATCCATAATAGAGCCGGTTTCATCACTCATCAGAATAAATGCAAAAATATGACACTTCCACTTCTCGACGGTCTTCTTTGAGGCCGTGGTACTTTCCAGGGCAACGAGCCTGCCCGTGCAACTGAAGCTGTTGCGAGTTTTTATACTAAAATTCTAACATCTAATATCTATCAATCAAATCTAAACATCTAACAGAGACAATTACACATCTGTTTTCTTACTTTTGAAAGGTGTATTCTTTAATGTTCCGATGACTCCGTTGGGCAATTGCCAAGGTACTGGCTTCGGCGCTAGGGGACGCGGGTTCGATTCCCATACGGGACAATTATTTATGTGACCCACAGATAATCGTTTCGGATCTGGGTGTTTGTCCAAGTGGAATGTCGGTAATTACAACAGAGGATAATGTTATCTTACAGTAAGTTCGTGTTTTGAATAAAAAACGAAAAAAAAAACGAAAACGAAATTTAACGTTAATTACTTATAATAGTATAACTGATATTTACCACTACAACATAAAATACCTTTTATTTAAAAATGCACGTGTACTTATTTCTATGTTATTATATCATCATAAAGTAAATATCTGATCATGATACTGTGCCAGATATTCACATTGATAATCTAAATTTAGTTTGACTTAAATCTTTTGAAACTACATTATTAATAGAAACAAAAACTAAAAGAATAACATCACACAAAGACTACGTGACATTTCGCACGAAACTATTTTTCCTGTTTTCGGTTATTTTGTTTTTTTATATCTTTACTAAAAATTATATTTGGCTTTAATTTTACGCATACCAATATGCGTTAGTCGAATTTAAAATATTTCCCGTTGTTTTTAGTGCATTGTGTTTATTAAATATCGTATGTGTAACCTTCCATTGAAGGATAAGTGTTAAGCATGCTTTAATTTGTTAGTAAAAATTACTAGATATGTGGTTCCAAAATGATGTATCATAACCATCGTTTTAGGAAAAATCCTCGGCGTTATTCATTGGACGTCTGACGCGTACGGCATCCACGTGCTGGAACCGGCTCCAATGGTGGCTACATAAAAGCAAGCGTGTGCCATTCGGCCTCAGTTTTATTCGGTGCGAGCAACGATCGGCCACTAAATTCATTCCGGTGTATTGTTTTCGACTCTCCAAAGAAATCCTCGGGTGTCAATGACAAGATCGAAGAGAAAATTCGCGATCACAGACAAATTTTTACCCAGGTCAGTTTTAGGAATTTAGACAGTCGTAGCACGGGGCGATCTCGTGTCGCCCGAACGGGTTTTGAGCGCGTTGCCCTTTCGAAAGTTGATTTTTGCTTTGGGCAAGTGATTTAAGATATTCAAAAATCTCCAAAGGATAGATTTTTTGAAGGACAATCCAATGTATGAATATGTTAAGAATTTGAAAAAAAAAATAACACCGAAAGCCTCAGATGCTTGTTACAGAGACATGAAATGGTTTAGTCATTACTAAGGGTCACTTTATGATTACATACATAATATACACTTTATAATAGTTAATTAATGAAGCAGTTAATTAAGCATAAAGGAACAAGAAATATAATATGTTTTAAGTATGTTTCGTCGAATGATTATGGTTATTACAGGCGTACCTCAACAAGCCGTTGCAGAGTATTTAATTCAAATAAAGTCAGATAAAGATTATTTTAAGTGTATGATTAATTATTGTCGTTAGTTTTATACCACTCAAGATTTATATTAGAAGTAAAGTAGAAGTAAAAAAATATACTTATTATTTTAACTTAAATGAAATAGGTATATAGCACTTATATACAAGGAGATTTTTTGAGAAGTACCTAAATTTACACAGGAGGTTCAGACTCGGTAACATAATCGTTTATTAAAATAAAAAACAAAGTTTTTTTTTCCAAAAAATGCCATTATATTCCCTAAAAAACAGAACGTATTGACAATGCGTAGTCATTCATAAATACCTAAATTTTATTGTGCATGAACTTGTGTTCGGTAGTTATGATCTCGCGTAAAATAAATGAGTATAAATCAGGCACTTTTTGAGATAAGTTCAAATGAATGTAATTAATTACTTATGAGTGATTTTAAATATTTATCATTTGTTTTATAACATTATTTATGTCTAGAATTTAATAAAAAAATGGACACACTTAGAAAAGGCACTCTGTATAAATATTAACTTTTAATGCCGAATTAAGACGTATTTCTGCATCATATTTTAATTTAAACGAATTTGTTACGTTTACACGTTAGAAATAACTTGATGTGAAACAGATTAAATTATAAAGGAATTTGTGAGATAATTTGGCTTGGCATTATTCTAAAGATTAATTTAAATTGTATAGAAATTTTCAATGAAGAAAAAGGATTTTTTTTAATACAAAACCTTTACTATTTATTTATTTTATTTATTTAATCTCTGTTGCACTAAAAAGGTACAGAGGCGAGCTTAATGCTATATTGCCTTCTCTACCACCTAACCCTGGATAGAACAGAAACATAATGACATGGGCATATTCGTATCTTTACTATAGTAAATAGTCACATTTTATGTGATAAATACACAAAATGGTAACTTTCTATATATTATGCAGATGTAAGAACATCTGCCTAACTTCCCACTTGCTGTTATTTAAAAACTATTCGTTTTAAAAATGTTGTTAATTTATTGTGATGTGATTTTAGCTTTCTAAACAGCAACGTTCAACAGAAAGATAAATAACTTAATAGGAAGACTTTCAATAGTTCGTAGACCTTAAGTGTAACACATATTGCTGAGCCATTTTTAAAAATATTGAATCTCCCTTTTGTAAAGTAACATCTTATACATTATTCCTATCTTATTAAGGTAACATTAGAAATAATGGGACAGGGAAGGCCTAGGGCTAGTGTCTGAGAAATTCTACTTGGACTTAATGAAGTGAAAACTTCTTTAGTAACGTTGAGCACTTTTTGGGTGAACAAAAAGCGTGAAACTTGCGTCATCATCAGAGAAAGCTTCCCAAGAGCTATTTTTCTAAATGAAATACGCAAAAATATGTTTCTAGGTATGGATAATATGATATACATAATATATATGCATTGGTTCGTTTTGTTTTCGTTGTGTAGAATGGTATGTTTATATTGATATATTTTTGATATACTAACCATGATAGGTCATTGGCCCGGCGCCTGCTTTTAATTCGTGATACTCGAGCAACATCGAGCAGTTAAATCCCCGGTCCACGCTGGGTAGAAATGGAATCATGTCTTAATGTGTACGTTATCTCAAACGTGAGATATACGTCACCTATGGGTCATCGACCCCAGGCACGGACAGCAACTCAGATAGCCATTAATTAAGTTAAACGTGTATTAATCGGTATCTGGGGGCGGTGAGAACTGCCCTGGAACGCGGGTGTAGCTTGTTTCGCGTTTTGTTAGTTTCACCGTGCTTTAAGATGAGGACGAACTAATGGTTATGAGTTGGTTTATCTATCTTTGGTTACAGCGAATAGAAGGTTTTGGGGAAAGGTACATGGACGATTGAAATCAAAAGAAGGTACCCTGTTGGGTGCCGCGATTGCTTACGCACGATCAAAAAAGAATTCGGGTGTCAAAATGTCCCCATACTCGACCGGAACTGGTAAAGTTTGTAAACAATCGCGCTTCTGTCAGGTTGGTAATTCGCTGCGTTTCCCACCATAGATATTGGTAACAGTATGTTTAATTTTATCACGGAAAGTTAAGTGTTTTCTTATTAGGCTAGTTACTTATCATCCCGCCCTCGTAGATGAACTGTTTACGTGAAAGTGTTCGCGTAGCGTAGTTTACTGTGGTGGATCCACCATTCGGCATTCGCTGTTGCACGAATGGGCAGGCTCGTCCGGGCAAGATCATGACCTCAGGGGAGATCGGCGTGAATTGGAAATGTTATACACTTTATGAAAACTGGCAACGCATTTGCAACTCCACGACTGTTGCAAAGGTCAATGGGCGGCGTTGTCACTTGATATCAGGTGAACCGCTAGCTCACTTGCCATCTAAACTTTAAAGAATAGACATTATCCCACTAAGGAAAAATACGAGGTCGATTTGTAAAGGAGAGAGCCTTGAGGAACGGCATGGGTTATGTCATATTAGTTTGTGTTTAATATTTTTTTATTCCTCTTTTTTTTTTCTTTTTACTATGTATTTTTTATGTTTATGGTTTAAATGTACATGTGGCGTATTTGAGCAATAAATGTTTTCTTTCTTTCTTTCTTCTTTCTATATTCCTTCTCTTATATTACTTACGTTCAGATATTAGGTACCAACGATGTTTAATAATAAAGATGATGCATGTGCATACTGCGTGCCGTTTAAAATTGTTCCGATTTGCATTATGTAGCATATATAAGTGAACGTGAAAGATGATATAGAACGTATTATACGGAAAGTGATAGCAGTCTATAGAATTGTAATCTAGTTATACCAATTGGTGTAATTTTTGTGTCACAGTTTAGGTACGCTAGTGTCATATTATGTATTCCTTATTTATATATAATATCATTGGTAGGTATAATGAAAATGACATTAGTAATAATCATCACAATCATGAAAATGACATTAGTAATAATCTAACCAAAATGA